CGCCCTTTCTCGGGTCGGGCAGAGAAATCAGTGGTTTCAGGAGAAGCCCCTCCGACGGCGAGAGGTGGCACTTGGACGATGGGGAATGGCATCACTGGATACTTGGCCCGATATCGGGTCGTGCAAAACACGAGCCCTAACGTGCGGCGGTCGACAAAAGATTAGCCCTTTGTAGAAGGACAGGTGCGAGGTACGACTCTCACGCCAGACCGAGTCTTGGTGGTCACCGGCAGGGACATGATTCTCCTACCCATGGCTTGAAACTCACGATGCCAGATCAAGTTACTTAAAGGCGGCCCACACTTTCTACAACACCCGATTGCCACAACAAACTGAGAACACATACCATGGCGAACAACCATCCAAGTAGACCAGTCCGCCGCCGCCGGATTGACGTAAACCTACCTTCGATCGAAGCCACAAACGCAGCTTCTATAGCATCCACTACATACTTTATCCCCAGAGAGAGGTGCCTAAAACGGAAACGTTCCTCGCGTTCCTCGAGCCGGGGCTCTTCTTCACCGAGGGCTGGTCCCTCACGTCCACCTCCGCCTGTCCAAGGCGCACTGGCCGCTCGACTCAACAGTGCGCATGCAGTCGCGTCAACGATCCCGCCAGTCTACCCGCAAGACTCAGGGGTCGAAATTGATTATGACGACAGTGACGGAACCGAATATGATTCTGTTGAAGAGGACGACCTACCCTATGACCCACAATCCACGTTCAACATGGTGGTAGAGACACAGAACACCATAGCTCAGGCCTTTGAGGAAGTCATAGGCGCTCTCCGTGACGAATGGGAACGGGCCGACGGCAGATTGCGGTCAAGGATGCTTGCGTCTTTGTCTATCGCTCTGAGAGAGGCAACTGATCGTTGGCTGACGGCATTACCTCAGTGACATGTCGAGCAGCAGGAAGAAACAACATTTAGCTGGTTCGCTCTGCACAATGAGTGAGGGTTGAGTTCGAAGATTTATTGTGACAAGTAACCTGGTGAGTCCGAATCTTCTTAGCTTCCCGCTGCACTGTTGGTCGCGAAGAATTGGGCTTTCTCGAAACTAATCTACTAAATAACCCTCTCTGGGGCTTGCACGGGTAGGTGAAGTCTGTTTGGGTACTCTTGTACATACCATATCAACCTACATCCACATTTTAGTATTTGCTCTAGAGTGCTAGATGGACGTGGCTAGTGCCCTTCCATGTGCCTTACGCTCACTTTCTCTTGGCACCTTCTATTTTTGGCATCGGATTTTCGGGCCCGGTCAGCAGCTGTAGCCACCACCTGCTGGCAACATAAAACCCTCGTCCCTCTTTCTTCTGCACCCTCCCCCTCCATCCGCGCAAACACGAGAAAAACTGCGAACTTCTGGTGCATCTCAAAGGCCGGCTGGGACACGCGCGCGAGCTCCAACGCAAAGAACGACAAGGACTTCATGCGGCAGTACAATTACGCTAGGCTGATTGTGGAGACTGATGCTGGCGTCGACCGTGAGCCTCCTTGCATCAAGTGCCGGTCAAATGCGGCGAAATGCAAGGCTTTTGCTCCCGGCAAGAGCCCTAACAACACGGAGACCTGCGCCCGCTGTCGGATCCATAAAGGCGGCAAATGTGTACCGGTTGGGCCTGCTATTGGCGAATCTTCTCAAGGCGGTGGAAAACAGCAGGAATGGGTTTCAAAGGAGGTTGACACCCAAATTCTTTTTTTTGTATGTGCTCATATCATCATCCAATTCCTCCCAAGCTATTTAACCGTATCTGTAAAGACATGACCGGTCCCAAATCAAGCTCTGGTCAGACTGTTCCTTTATTTTACCTTCTTTCTCTTTTTATCTTCTACTTCTTGAGAAGCTTGGTCAGCTCAGCGACAACGGCATCACCCATGTCCTTGGTGCTGGCAGTGCCCTTGATGTCAGCGGTGCGGACGCCATTGTCCAGGACGTTCTTGACGGCCACGTCAACGGCGGTGGCGAGCTCGGGCTGGCAGAGGGAGTATTTCAGCATCATGCTGACAGACAGGATGGTGGCGATGGGGTTGACGATGCCCTTGCCAGAGATGTCGGGGGCGGAGCCTTTTTTTCATTGCATGTCAGTAATTCGATCGTGAGAGACTGGTGATTCTAATCGTTTGTGCATACCGTGGATGGGCTCGTAGATGCCGTTGACGGGCGTCTTGCCGTCAGGGATGGCGCCAACACTGGCGCTAGGCAGGAGACCCAAACTGCCGGGGATGACGCTGGCCTCGTCGCTGATAATGTCGCCGAACAGATTGCTGGTGACGATGACGCCGTTCAGGGCGCGAGGGTTCTTGATCATGAGCATGGCGGCCGAGTCGATGAGGTGGTGGCCGAAGGTGAGCTGGGGGAACTCCTTCTCCATGATCTCGGTGAAGACCTTGCGCCACAGACGGCTGGTTGCCAGCACGTTGGCCTTGTCCAGACTCCAGACGGGGGCCGGGGGGTTCTCCTGCAGGGCGAGATTGGCGGCGAGGCGCGTGACACGCTCGATCTCCTCGCGCGAGTAGGGCTCTGTGTCGAGGGCGTAGCCGCTACCGTCATCCTCCTTGCGGTCGCCGAAGTAGATACCACCAGTCAGCTCGCGAATGATGTTGAAGTTGGTGCCGCGGCACACTTCGGCCTTGAGCGGCGAATACTCGACGAGCGACTCAGAGGCGAAGAAGCAAGGGCGAAGGTTGCCGAAGGTGCCCATCTCCTTGCGAAGCTTGAGGATGCCCTGCTCGGGGCGAACCTTGCCGGTACCCCATTTCTAGACAAAGGACAGGGTGGATCAGCGCATGGCGGCCGCAGATGTGTGTGAAGGGTGGGACAAACAGGACCGCCAATGGCACCGAGGAGAACAGCATCGGCGTTCTTTGCGGCGGCCAAGGCTTCGTCGGTAAGGGGCTCGCCGTTGGCATCGATGGAGGCCTGGTATACGTATGGGTCAGGAGCATGCCACCAGCCGGGATGTGGAGGAGAGTGCGTACGCCGCCGAGAAGATGGTGCTGGAAGTTAAACTTCACGTCGGGCCTCTCCTTCTGGATAGCCTCGAGGACCTGAGGCGGTTAGCTAAAGTTCCGGTCATGACTGGAAGCTGGTCTCACCTTGATGCCCTCTGCTGTGACCTTTCGCTGGCGTGTGAGCTCTCATGATGGCGAGGGTGGCAGCAAGGTGCTTACTTCGGGACCGCAGTGGTCGCCTGAAGGCCAATTAGTATACTCGTTCGGGGATTCCAAGGCGGAGACCAACCTGCAAAGACTACGATGTTGAATGACGGCATGGCGGGTGGTTGGCGGGTCGGGGTGGGTGTTGGTAGGGACTCGAAATATTCAGTCGCGGGGTGGAGAGACGAGAGGCAAGCTCCGGTCTCGGCGGCGCGCGCGGCGCGGGGCAGCCCAGCGCGCAGCGCGGAACAGCGCGACTCGCTTCACCCGTCACCAGTCACCACCATCGCATTACTATCCATCTGCATCGGCCAAAGCCGGCTAGCGGGCTCCGACTGCCTTCTCAACGGCCTCCTCGCCCGGGAGCTCGACCTCCTCGAACCTCGTCCGCCTTCTCCGCCTCCTCCGCAACATCTGTACGTAGCCAAGGCTGCAGGCTGCCCGTGCTGATGTCAGAGGGCAGGGGTGCATGGGCGCGCGCGCCGCACCAGCCCCAGCCCGAGTCGAGCACCGCCGCATCTCGCCCGTTTGGCACACCATGTCCGTTTAGCTCGTCTTCGTGGAGGGATGTGGCCGATTGCTGCCTGAGAACGGGACCGCCGTCGTTGGCGAGACCAGGACGAGACTGAAGCACCCATGCAGGTTGCGCGACGCAGCAACATGCAGGTCTCGTACAGCTCACGCCTACCCGTCGGCCACAACAGCGCCGTAGTGACCAGAGTGCTGCTAAGTTGGGAATGTAAGCTGCAACACCCGCGCTGCGGCTATGGCGCAACTATTTTACGACCATCTGCCGGCAAAGAAGACGGATTCGACGTAGTCCGGTCGATGCTGACGATCGTCTGGCCAGCCGTGGGGGCCAGAAATGGTCCTTTCTTGCGGCCCGCTTCCACCCAGCCGAGCGCTCGACTCACAGATGGCGTCGGCGGCTGGCTTCTGTTGCTAATATTCGACCGCCTCGCCGCATTGCTCACGGTAGCCGCCCTCGTACGCGCCCCCGTACGCGCCCGTCACCGACTCTGCTCGCGATAGCGAGCACCGTGGTGTTTGTCAGCTGCGGGGGCGCCGCCGAGCAGAAGACGTCTCGCTGCATCGAGCTGGCTTTCCATCCAGCATGCCCTACGCTGGGCCCGAGGCGGCAGCAGCCCGGGTCTGACGCGCCGCGCGCCTGCACGCCGCTCGCTGGTCACACCGAACTTCGCTCAGGCAGACAGCCTGAGACTGTGCCTTTTGGGCAAGAGGTGTGGCGGAGTGTGCGAACAGCGATGGCCGCTGCGGCAGTGCAGCCGATATTGTGGCACTTCTCAGCCTCAGCCGGTTGGGGGCTGCCTGGCCGCTCGCCGCGCCTGACCCGCCAGGCACACTACTATAAGCCTGATGATCGACTCATTTAAACCGATCCTGCCTGTGCGTTCCTGCTGGCCTTTGCTTTCGTTGTCTCCGCGACTGTGTTGGTTGAAGTTTTGGCCCCATCACGCCCTCGTAGGGCACAACCCCCCAGGCGCCTGTCTTGGGCCTATTCTCTATTCCTTCACCGCCGAGCCTGGCCATACGTCGTCATCAGTCACTCTCGCCAGCCTTGAAAGTGGACTCTATCCGACACTCGGAGACCCGAGTAATGAATCCACCCAGGGCACCAACTTCTCCCACCGGACCCGGGCCGGACATATCTACCGCCGCGGATATCTCACATCGGATTCCCACAACATTCCCGTCGGATAGGCCCGCCACCGATTTTTCCACCGCCTCCAGCGCAATGTCTTTTGGATCCATCCCTTCCGGAACTTGGGACGTCAGCTTCCACGGAAGCTGTCCCAGCTGCCATCATTGGCACAACAAGATGACGCTCAGGCTTTCTCGCCTTCCCGGCGTTTACAACGGCGTTAGATGCGAGAACTGTTCCTACAAGTGGTTTGGCCTTGGCGGCAACTCCACTCACACCTCGCTCGTCTCTCAACAGACCAGAACGTTGACCTTTGCCAGCGACCTTTCTGGCTACGCTAGCACTGCGCCTACTGGAGATGCTACAGCCGGCACCTCTGCCCTGGTTACAAGGCTACATTCCATGGGCGCCCTCGGTAGCCCCTTCATCACGAATTGCTCGATTCCTCAGATGCCAGAAGACAACCATGAGCAGGTAGAAGCCAGGCCGCCATCACGGCTTCGCGCCTACATACCCCCCTCTTTAGGACGCCACGCCAGCTCCTTGTCCAAACACTCGTCCAGAAGTAGTCGGGCCAGAAGAGAGCAGCCTCAGCAGTCCGGTCAGGCTGATCCCGCCTCGCATCCCGGGCAAGCCCACCAAGGCACCGATAAAAGTGGCTCTAAAATTCGAGGCCTTACAACACGCGTCAAGGGGAAGCTCAAGGCAGTGCTCTTCCGCCTTCGCCAAGTGAAGGCCATAAGACGTGCGCGCCGCCGGACCAGTTGCCAGTCAGTCGACACCAGTCGCGCTACTACAACAGAGAACAGCCGTCCACTGTCCGTCAGCCCGAAAGAATCGCGATCTACCAATCATCAGGCTCTGCCGAACCAACAGGGCCAAGCGTCCATGTCGACCCCCCGAAGCCCCGCTGGGATCGCGCCTCGTGCATTATCGCGTCGCCAAAGCGCACCCGAACCCGGCTCGCAACCCCGCAACTTTGGTTCCGATCGCCACGGCGAAGAAGCTTACCAAAAGCCATTTTCACTCGAGAAACGGCCTGGAGATCCTGAGAGCAATGAGCGCATCCAAGAAATTAGGCGAGCAAAAACCATATCGGCACAGCAAACCCGATGCGAGTGCTCCATGGACTGTTATTGCAAGAGGCCGACAAGCTCCCTGGTTCCGGACAATCCACTTACAGATCGGGATTCTCTCGCGGGTCTTGATCTTGCACAATCTTCTGGCTCGCACATCTCTCGAGACTCGAGGGATCTCATAGGGATAGGCAGCCACTTCCTAAACCACCACCCCAACATCAGTGAGGCTGGCTTCTCGATGAGCAGCGCTGGTTCGATCCGTGGACGAAGTCAGACGCGTCGAGGTCGAGAGATTTCCTGGCGGCGTAGCAACGCGACCTGGGGCAGCCAGGCCTCCACTGCTTATGCAGACAGTGATGCAGGGTCCTCTACCGCAACCAGAAGTTCTTTCCCGCGCTCCGACCTGCTACACATTGCGACCACCCCAAGGCGAACCCACATCCCTTCGCCCCTGGCGTCGCCTACAAACCTCAACGGATTCCTGGATCACGACAACGAGCACACGCCACGACGGCCGGAATCCATCTCATCCGCCGACGAAGACTATTCCTTGTCCGAACGTGCTCCCGATGGGATCCCTTCCGTCTCTCCCATACAGGAAGCTGCCAGCGGAGGCAGCGCACGAGTTTCAACGATCTCGATGAGCAGTGATTACGGTTACAGAGGTGAGAGTGTGAGAGTATCTATAGATGCTCCAGAAGTAGGTGGGACGGGACAATCAAACTACTCGAGCAGTCAACCCCATGGCCCCCTAAACTCACATCCCGCCATGTGAACGAGTCCCACGATCATACTGTACAGCGCACCCCCATGATGACTTGGTTCTGTCACGTTTCGGAGTTCAGGTTTATGAATCACGAGGCCATGCTTTACTTTCGTTTCTTTTGGTTTTTAAATCCCCAATCTGCCGGCCAGGCGTTCTCGGGGTTGTCCATGGCTTGTACTTTGGAGCATACATAGAGATACCCTGTTCTCAGATTTCGTATCGGTCGTTTGGGACGTTAGATGTCTGTTCTGGTACGGCGTTGGCAGGCAGTCTTTTCATCATTGAAACTGCGTTCATGAAATTATCGCATATGTGCTGGAGTACACGTTGTCACCGTGCCGTTTTATGATTTGGCTCACGAGTTCATCTACTTCGCAGGCTGGGAGGCGGAAGAACGGCGTCAGTCGGGGGAAGAAGGATTTCTCAAATGAGCGCTGAACAATCTCATATAAAGGCTGAGCTGGTACGTCACATGCGTGCGCAGACGGACATGGTCTTGGAGCAGCAGGAGCGTATTGGGCAGTCAGCAGAAGATGAATGCTCTTCGCAAGAAGTTGGAGGCGATTAAGAGGCGCTAGGCATGGTCACGGGAGTTTAGCATGGGCTGGGAATTTGCTACTTTTAATACCCTTCAAGGTTTTCTCTGCAATTAATCTCAACACCATGACTAACATAAGACTCTTATTCGAGGGACAAAGCCCAAATCAGCTACGCTCGCTTCGCTGAGGGAGGCTCACATGTATTTCTACCCCTTCTTTTCTGGCCCCACCGCAGATGCGGCCATTCCATACCGGCCATGTTGGCCGTCTCGGCTGTCCGCCGCCGTCCAGGCGCCGTCATCCAGGCTCTGCCTTCGTCGGCGCGCCCAGCGACTGTGCCGTGCTCGGGTGGGCAGCTGGCAGCTGGCCCTGTCAGCCCACGCATGTTGTTGATGGAGAAACTGGGCGTAGCGTCCCAGGCAGGTGCCCGCATTTGCCGGTACCAACGGCTTTCTTTCTGATCCTTTTCGACGATCGAGCTACTTTTATTTTTTTTTTGGGTGTCATGCTTGTCGAGGCCGCGTCTCCGCCCCCAGGAAAAAAATCCGAAGGCCCGTCGGCAATTCGATTCCTCACTGACATCCCCCCTCTCGCTGCCGGCCCAGGCCCATCGTCAACTCGCTATTCCATGGCGGCGAGCGCCCGATTGAACACCTCCACCAGCTGCGCCGTGTCCTCTAGGCCGACGCTGAACCGCACAAGATTGGACTCGACGCCATATGATGCCGCCTGTATCATCTGTTAGCCAGGTATAACTTGCCTCGGCACGCGTGATAATGGAGAGCTTCTTACCCAATCAAGCTCGGTGAAATGAGCTAGGAGGACGTACGGCGAACTGTTTATTTCGCAAGTTAGTTTGTACGTCTTACGTTCGAGAACGCCGATCAAGGCTACCAACCTGAGCGTGAAGTTTGTGCCCAAACTGGGCCCTTTTGCGGTGTCCAGATGATCGAAAAACTTGGTGGCATCTTCCGTCGAGTAGAAGGTGGCCGACAGCAGGCCACCATAACCACCGGTGGGCCGTTTGCAACGGTCATAAAACGCTCGCGTCGGGCTGTACTTGGGATAGTGTACTTGTTTCACTGCACCTGGTCAGTTTGCTTTCCCATGGCGCTTGGCGCTGCGACTCTACCTTTCGGGTGCTTCATGAGAACTTCACAAATGGCCTCCGCGTTCACGTTGATCCGCTCAATGCGCGAGACGAAGTCGCGGCTGTTGCGTTCCAGGAAAATCGCATCCTCCGGCCACACGTTATCCTCGTACTCGGCTGCCCACGTCTTCTTGAGCAAGTCATAGTATCGTCCCTTTGGGTTGAGGATTGCACTGCGCCTATTTTTAGCTGTCGCTCGAAACACCGGAACGAGCAAGACTCACCTGCCCCCCATGACATTGCTGTCGCCGCTGAAAATCTTGGTAAGGCTGCTGACGACGACATCCGCAAAAGGAAGGACGTGGACGTTTAAGAAGTTCCCGATCGTCTCGTCCACCACAACGCCGAAATCGAATTTATCCGCGAGGGACCTGATTCGCTCTAGGTCTGGCGCCTTCAGGAGCGGGTTGCCTGGAAATTCACAGAACAGTGCGAGGAACTTCTCGCCACTCTCCAGGCGTTTCTCAAACTCGTCCAGCTCCTCTGATGATCCAAATCCATAGAAAACGGCGCCAGGGCCAAATTTCTCAAGGATCTTAAGGGTGTCAATGTACGGGAATCCGTAGCTGACACTCTTTCGCTGGCCTAGGGCGGCCATCATGGTGCGGTGGGTATTGAAGATTGCGCTCATGCCCGAAGGGAAGAGGTAAACATCGTCCTCTGAGAAGCCAGCCACGGGGCGAGCCCGCTCATGGTCTCGCTCCAGCTTCAATGCTTCCTCCAGCTCCACATTAGCCGTCAAAGACCCTGCGATGCGCCTCTGGATCGCGTGCTTGGCGTTCTCTGCGAAACCAACGTCTAGGTTCCTGCCGAATCTTTCTTCTACGAAGCGTAGAGGATCCTGGCCGTCGGGCTCCCTCACGGGCGCGGTTTGGTGGGCGGAAATGTCCACAGAACCCTTCTTCTGGTACCTCCGAGGCCCTTTGCAGGTGCGCTGGCCCGCCTGAGACTTTTCTACCAGCAAGCCATCCTCGAATGCCTTGTGGCAGTATTCAGCCCTGCGGCTAGACACGCCATCGCCCGAGTGTTGCCAGAAGGTCTTGGCAACCTTGAAACTGTCCTTGGGAAAGAGTACGGCGGACACGCGAGGCAAAACGCGGTCCTGGGGGTGCGAGTGCTCTGGGCTGGTCACAAGGTCGACGATTCGGACTTGGTTGGGCGCAAGCTCGGGAGCGTGGCGGCGGAAGAAGTCGGCGCAGCGGGCGGCGACCGCATGGGAAGGGAACAGCATAGCGCTGTCGTCCTGAAGGCCGTAGGTAGTAGCGATGACGTCGGCGAAGCGGGCAATAGATTTGTGAACAAAAAAACTGCGACTTTTGGTAAGCTGAAGTGCCATTGAAGGCTCGTAGAGAGCGTACCGGGGGTAGCCTGTCTTCATTCTGCCAACCACCTCAGGTCGGCCCTCCTCGTAGCCAACGTTGGCGTCCCATGTTGGCAATGAAACGCTCACGGCCTGCGGCTGTTAGCACAGACGTCGGCATGGAGGCGCTGGAGAACGCACATGGGCAGTGAGCGGAGGGATAGTCTCGCCAACATCGTTCTCGGGGTTGGGTATAGCGACAGCCATGGCAGCAACGATGTAGAGAGAAAGTGGGATGCGTCAATGGCAGATAAAAGCCGAGGACGAGTTCTGACGCACAGCGCCGATACTTGACCGGCCGAGGCCTGAGTCAGGCAGTCGCGCCGTACCTATCGATAAGAAGTTCTGCAGGTGTTGGCCCGAAGCTTGCCCGGATAGCCACCCCTCTCAATTACGCTGGCAATACGATGATCCTTGACACCCTCTCACGACCCCCTCTTCACAGGGTTTCATGGCCACTGCGGGCTCGGGGTAATCCTCTAAGGTGGCGAAATGTAGCCACTTGTGAGTCCTGAATGCCGCCACACAATACATTCGGGTCTGTTGGTGACATGAACGAGGTGTGCGAGGATGATACCCTTAGGGAGGTTGACGTCTTGGTCGCTCAGCTGGTGTAGCTTCTCTTGGAAGCTGATGACATAGTCCTTGATAGGTGTGCCAGGCTTGATGCCCTCCGTGAGGAGGTTATACGCGTTCCGCCAAAGGTCGAGGGGACGCTGAGCACCCACGGAACGCTGAGAATCCACCGAGGCCTTGATCTTCATAAGGATCATGTGGGATGACTCCCCCCCACGCGAAGCCGGGGCGAAGATGTGGTTCGCAACGCTCCTGCGGAGCAACCGATGGGCCTTCACACGAAGGAAGTCCCAGTAGGCGAGTTGGGTTTCCGTGTAGTTCGGACCCGTCACGGGTTCATTGGTGTTGTCGAACCAGAAGCTCAAGCCCAGGAGTCTACGGATTAGCGATGGCGATGAATTCATCATGCCAATCGGTGAAGTTTTCAGGGCCTGTCAGCGTGGTTTGAACCTTCTGCTGTATATGAGAGACCTGAGTCCAGAGGGTTTCGAGACAAGTGGCCGAGAGTGTCGTATCTTGGGGGCAATCTTCAGGGCCAAAGCTACGAGCGGCTAAAGCGGTACTGTCTTGAGTGCATGAGCGTGGGTGTTTTTTCCAAATGGAGGTCTCTGACCTCCTCCCTAAAGCTTCATCGCAGCAAGCTGCAGGCTTTAAACTTCCCTTCCTAGAGTAGTTAGCATGATATGAATAAAACGAAGAACATTTGCTAATAATAGTCTAGACAACTCCATCCTGGCATATTCTCGACGGTATGTGCTTCTTCTATTGACGATCTTAAGACATTCAAAAAAAAAGAAATGTAAAAAAGAAATCAATACATGCGCCGATCGGGAATCGAACCCGAATCTAATGCTATCAGAAGTCGCAATTGGGATTACGAGGTTGGAAGGCATTAATGCTAACCATTACACCATCGGCGCCCGTTAAAATTAATTTTTGACAGTTTAGTTTCATAATCCATTAGAGTAAGCTAGGTGGTAGGTAGCGACCAGGCAGGCAACGGTGTCATATCAATTGCTCTTCTGCTTCGCCTGCGGGGGTGGCGGCTTCATCATCGGCGGCATGGTTGAGCAAGAATTAGTGGTGGTTCACTTGACCGGAGAAGTATGCACTTCTTCGGGAGATAAGCCGGCGATAGGAAACACCACCACGGCTGCTGGAGAAGTTGAAGTCGAGGTGAAACAACTGCTTCGATTTGGTGGGTTAGGGTTCCGGATCAAAGCAGCCGTCGCGACAAGCGGCGTCATTGAGCATAGCACTCCAGCCTCGTGCTGCTGACTGGTTGGCTTGCATGGGAAGGATCCGGCGGGGTGGGTGATTAGGTATTGCATGCAGATTTCCAGTAAAAATTATTGAGCGTCTAAGCTCTCTCATCCGCCTTGCGCAGAACGAGCCGCGGTCGTTGCTGCATCGTCTCGCGCTCGGGACAGCCTGCGCAGGGACAGAGGGGCGAGCTGACGTCCCGGACGATGCCATGGAGCGTGGCGCGCTACGGGAGGCGGTCCGCGAGAAAACTTGCGCCAGGGCCTCACCGAGAGCACGTGTCTTGGCCGTCATACAGTGAAGAAGTTCAGCCGGACATATTGGCGTGGTGTTGATTGCTGAGGACTGCGGGTGGGAGTCAACCGAGCGGCGGCGATTGGATGGAACGCGCCACGCTCCGAGGTCGGCAGAGGCGGCCCGCCAGGTCCAGCGCTAAGCCAGCCAGGGCGCGCAGAATAATTATCGACAGCTTCATTCGCTGAGTCACCGCCGGCCTCGCGAACTTTTCCAAGGAGCTCAATTCGACTCACCTGCGGGCTTCGCTGGAGGAGCGCTGTCCGGAATCACCACAATGCTTCTCCCCAGCTTACACGCCGTGCCGTTGCGGCCGGCTATGCGCGCCAGCTCGCAGTGGCGGTCGTTGTGAGTCCCTGCACCTTCGCCATCAGCTCCATCCAGTGCCCACTCCATTGACACTCGCACGACTTGACAGGAGGGCTCTCTCCTCGACCGCTACCCGCCGCGCCGATGAAGGCCTCAACAGGGTCAGCCGTGGCATTACCCAGCCCAAGTCGCAGGGTGCTTCGCAGGCCATGCTGTACGCCACCGGCCTGAAGGAGGACGACATGAACAAGGCCCAGGTCGGCATTTCGTCCGTCTGGTACACTGGCAACCCGTGCAACATGCATCTGATGGACCTCAACAACAAGATCAACGAGGGCGTGCAGCGTGCTGGCCTCTGGGGCATGCAGTTCAACACCATTGGTGTCAGTGACGGTATTTCCATGGGCACCAAGGGCATGAGGTACTCGCTCCAGTCGCGCGACCTGATTGCCGACTCCATTGAGACCGTCATGAACGCCCAGTGGTACGACGCCAACATCTCCGTTCCCGGTTGCGACAAGAACATGCCCGGTGTTTTGATGGCCATGGGTCGTGTCAACAGGCCCTCGCTCATGGTCTACGGCGGCACCATTGCCGCCGGCTGCGGCCAGCTGCCCAAGCACCCCAAGCTTGACCTCGTTTCCGCCTTCCAGGCCTATGGTCAATTCATCACCGGTGAGATCGACGAGAACGAGCGCTTTGACATCATCCGGCACGCTTGCCCCGGCAGTGGCGCTTGCGGTGGCATGTACACTGCCAACACCATGGCCAGCGCCATCGAGGTCATGGGCATGACCCTGCCCGGCTCTTCATCCAACCCCGCCGAGTCCAACGCCAAGGTTCTCGAGTGTCTGGCTGCAGGTGGAGCCATCAAGAACCTGTTGAAGGAGGACATCCGCCCCAGTGACATTCTTACCCGCCAAGCCTTCGAGAACGCCATGGTCCTTGTCACCATCACTGGCGGCTCCACCAATGCCGTTCTCCACCTGATCGCCATTGCCGACTCGGTCGGCATCAAGCTCACCATCGATGACTTCCAAGCCGTCAGTGACCGCACTCCTTTCCTTGCGGATCTGAAGCCCTCTGGAAAGTACGTCTTCGCCGACCTGTTCGAAATCGGCGGCACTCCCGCTCTTATCAAGTTCCTGCTCAAGGAAGGCCTCCTGGACGGCAGCGGTATGACCGTCACGGGCAAGACTCTGGCGCAAAACGTTGAGCAAGCACCCGACTTCCCCAAGGATCAGCAAATCTTCCGTCCGCTGAGCAACCCCATCAAGGAGTCCGGTCACTTGCAGATTCTACGCGGCAGTCTGGCTCCTGGCGGTTGCGTCGGCAAGATCACCGGCAAGGAGGGCCTTCGGTTCGTCGGCAACGCCAAGTGCTACAATGATGAGGACCTCTTCATCGAGGCGCTTGAGAAGGGCGAGATCAAGAAGGGTGAGAAGACGGTCGTGGTCATCCGGTACGAGGGCCCCAAGGGCGGCCCGGGCATGCCGGAGATGCTGAAGCCTAGCTCGGCTATCATGGGGGCGGGACTGGGCCACGACGTCGCGCTCATCACGGACGGGCGCTTCAGCGGTGGCAGTCACGGCTTCCTGATCGGCCACATTGTGCCCGAGGCGCAGATAGGTGGACCCATCGCTCTCGTGAAGGACGGTGACGAGATTTCCATCGACGCCGAGACGAATGAGATGAACCTGCATATCAGCGAGGAGGAGCTGGCTGCGCGCAAGGCAGCGTGGGTCGCGCCGCCGCTCAAGTACTCGAAGGGCACGCTGTCCAAGTACGCCAAGCTGGTGAAGGATGCCAGCCAGGGGTGCATCACGGATGCCGAAGACATTCCCATCGCTGTTTAGGGTAAAAGGGCAAAAGCTGGGGTCTGGGGATTCTGTACAACGATGGCGTTCGGGCGGCCATAAGCCGCGGCGGGTCTTTTTGGTAGCTTTGGGATGATTCGAGTCCGTAGCGCGTACCTGGCGGAGAGGAGCGCCGGGTACCTGGAAATGAATGCAGAGCTCGACCACCCCGCACTGGGTCTTCCCGAAAGTGACCAGCCCATTCCAACGTGTCGCGTCGAGACGATCACACTCGCTTTCCTACCAAATGCGAAGCGTTCAGAACATGGTTTATTTGCGGCTGGTGTGATTGGACGACTCTGACGTGAGGAAAAACGGTGAAGAGGGGGTCGTATTGATAACGTAATTGAGAGGGGTGGGGTGTTCTGTCTACGAATGCCAAAGTACGGGCGATCCGGCTAAACTTGGGGCCAACAGCGGGCCGGGGCGAGCGCCGAACATCGGCGGGGCCCAGCGCATTCCCGCCGGGAGTCATCGTCAATAATTTGGGGAGAAGCCGCACTGCACTCCACACCACCAGTACGCACACAATGGCCTCGCACACCTCGTCACAGCGCTACCTCAGCACCCGCGGAGGATCCTACGATGTATGTCGCTTCCACCACTGCCACCCGCAACCCTGGGCTCTGCCCAAAAAACATCCCGCTCTCCTCAATTCCGCCCCGCCGCCCCGCTCCCAAGCAAACAAACATTAGCTGAGACTCGCGTGCCCAGCTGTCCTTCGAGGATGTCGTTCTGAAGGGTCTCGCCATCGATGGCGGCCTGTTCATCCCTGAGGAGATCCCCTCTCTGCCCGCCGATTGGGCCACCACCTGGAAAGACTACTCCTTCGAGGAGCTGGCCTTCGCCATCTTCTCCCTCTATGTCTCGCCCTCCGAGATCCCCGCCGCCGACCTCAAGGAGCTCATCCACAAGAGCTACGCCACCTTCCGCGCCCAGGATCGCACACCGACCGTCACCCTCGACGAGAAGCGCAACATCCACCTGCTCGAGTTGTTCCACGGCCCGACCTTCGCCTTCAAGGACGTTGCCCTGCAGTTCCTGGGTAACCTGTTCGAATACTTCCTCGTGAGGCGGAATCAGGGCAAGGCCGAGGCCGACAAGGAGCATCTGACCGTCATTGGCGCCACGAGCGGCGACACCGGCTCTGCTGCCATCTACGGTCTGCGCGGCAAGAAGGATGTGTCGGTGTTCATCATGCACCCGCAGGGCAAGGTCAGCCCCATTCAGGAGGCCCAGATGACCACAGTCTTGGACGCCAATGTGCACAACTTGGCCGTTGACGGCACCTTTGATGACTGCCAGGTAAGCAGCTCCTCTCTCTCCCTTGTCTCTCCAGTCGCACCTTAGGAAGGAAAAAAAGAGAAAAACTCCTGACCTCACACCACCCGAACCACAGGACTTCGTTAAGGCCATGTTCGCCGACGAGGCCATCAACAAAACCCACCGTCTGGCAGCCGTCAACTCAATCAACTGGGCCCGCATTCTCGCCCAGATCACCTACTACTTCCACGCCTACTTCTCACTCATCCACTCACCTGCCTACACCAGCGGCGCCGCTGTCCGCTTCGTCGTGCCCACGGGCAACTTCGGCGACATCCTGGCCGGTTACTTCGCCAAGCGCATGGGGCTGCCCGTCGAAAAGCTGGTCATCGCCACCAACGAGAACGACATCCTTGACCGCTTCTGGAAGAGCGGCCGCTACGAGAAGAAGCCGGTCCACGGCGCCGACGCGACGGGCGGTCTGCCCGCCGACGGCGTCAAGGCGCACGAGAGTGGCGTCAAGGAGACGCTGTCGCCCGCCATGGACATCCTCGTGTCCAGCAACTTCGAGCGCCTGCTCTGGTTCCTCGCGTACCACGTCTACGGCAGCGAAGCCGCCTCGTCCACCGTCGCCGACAAGCGCGCCGCGGCGGGCGACCGCGTGCGCGGCTGGCTCAACGACCTCAAAACCGCCGGCGGCTTCGCCGTCGACGCCTCCATCCTGGCCGCCGCCTCGGCAGACTTCGAGTCGGAGCGCGTCTCGGACGAGCAGACGCTCGCCACCATCGCCGCCACCTACCTCGCCACAGCCGCACAGCAGGGGCCCCGCAAGGCCGCCGCCAACGGCACGAAAGGCACCCTCTCCGCCGCGGGCAACTACATCCTCGACCCCCACTCGGCCATCGGCATCGCCGCCGCCCAGCGCAGCGCCGACCGGTCGTCTGCCCACCACATCTCCCTCGCCACCGCCCACCCGGCCAAGTTTTCGCAGGCCGTCCAGCTCGCCCTCAAGGACCAGCAGGACTTTGACTTCAACACCGTCTTGCCTGACCAGTTTGTTGGCCTTGAGCAGAAGGAGAAGCGCGTTACTGTTGTCAAGAAGAGTGAGGGTGTTGATGGTATCAGGAGTCTCGTCATCAAGAGGGTTGAGGAAGAGAAGTTGGCGAATGGGCATTAGATGAGGTGTTATGGAACGGGAAAAAAAAACCATCACGAGTCTTTTATCTGATGGCGGGATCTTAGAAATTTCTTGCATGCACGCATAGTTTTGGTTGGTTGGCTAAGGGAGACCCAAAAACAAAAATAAAAGTGGAAGAGCAGAGATTCAGACAGTGGTATGGTGGAATCAAGAAACCAAGTTAGCATTTCCTGCACAAAATAGACGACTTTGGGAAAAGACCTCCCCAACAAAACAACAATCGAAGTGCCTGCCAAAGCCTCGTGGCCGAATCAGCTGCGGTACCACCCATGCATTCCCCTGATCCGATACAAAGAAAAGAGAATACAAAAGACCATGCATGGTCCCAGTAATTATCACTTGGAAATACGATCCACCGAGGAAGAAAAGAAGAAGAAGAAGAAGAGAGCAGTCAACAACGATTGACAACACAACAACGGATCCAACTCCAAACAGACGAGCGCGACACCTAACACGGTGGAATTCGCGATGCCTGCCGCTGGGAATTCTCCCCCCTCACCGCGCGCTGGAGCCTCTTCCCACACACAGCTAACCCCCCAATCAAAAGGAAGAGATAAACAGCTGGTTACTGGTCATGCCAACAAAGTTTACAGTTCATTGCTCGAACCGAATCAGACAAGCTTTTTCGTGGAGAGAGTACAGCTTGTATACGAGAAGGAGGACGGATAAGGCGCTGTTGTAACGATATAAGCGTCAGGCTCCAACTTCCGAAGCGCAGGGGTCGCGTATTTGAGTGGTCCAATTGTGCGAACGGATAGAGGGCTGGGTTGTCCTTCTTTGGCCTAAACAGGTGAATACTCCCAGTGCGGAACATGTGCATTGAAAAGTTGACAGGATGGCTGAGGCCGGTGTTTGAGTTCGAAAGCACACGTATGTCCCAAAATGGCTTGGCTTGTACATAAGTAGTGCCACGTAGATAGCTTCTCCTCTCATTGCCTTCGAGAGGTAATCCATCAAGTTAATGAGCTCAAATAGCGGGGTCTGCCCAGCGTGAGAGAGCTGCTGTAAGTGGAGGAAACGCCCTTGGGGCGGTGCAGTTGACGCTAGTTATTTGGACTTTGTTGCCATTGTCCACTGGTCGATGTTGGTGGAAATTGCGGCTGATGCCCCGATGTTTGTGGGTAGTGCTGCTGCTGTTGGTAGTGCTGCGTCGATGGCGGGTACGGGTAGGACTGTTGTCCAAAATTCCCGGTCGATTGCTGCTGCTGCTGCTGCTGCTGCTCCCGAGGCTCAGTCATTGCCAACTCGTACGTGTAGTCTCCGCCAACACGATCGGGTTGGCTGACACCTGTTTGATGGCTAGAAAATGTGGTGGGAGCATCACCGGCCAAAGTGCTGCCAAGCAGATACGTTTGTCCGGTACTGGTGTATGGAACCGCCAATGGGTGTGCAAAGTCCATGAACGGGTTGCTCAGGTCATACGGGTTGTGGAAGACTGCAGTGCTCCACGTCGAATCGATGGGTACACTCAATTCAGGAGTCCACAGTTGTTCATCCTCGGTATAATGAGGCCACGGTTCTTGTTCGGCATCCTGGAGAACAGTGTCACTGTTGAAATCCGGTCGCTCCGGCTCTGCCATGTCCTGGTGCTAAAATGTGTTAGTCATTATGCGCCCTTGAATTTTGTCCAAAATAAGGCATTGAGTAAGGCCAGCTCTGGGCTAAACCTCCGTCTCATTAATAGGATTCCCACTCACTTGGGCAGAAGAGTGGAGCCTTGAGTGCTCCATCCAATCATGAGTAAACGCTCCAGATGCTTGCATTTCGTTTAGCGGTTGCTTTGCCGGAGGCTCTGGCGAAGGCTCTGGCGAAGGCTCTGGCGGAGGCTCTGGTCCGCGTTCGGCCATCTGCACAAGGTCAGAAGTATCAATGTGTTCAAAGGGGGAAAACCCCTTGAACTGGTTTCGGGCCTGTTTGCATGCAGATTTAGCACTTTCGTTTCCGGTCGAGGCCATCGCTGTAAGCCAGCGAAGAAGTTTCTTCGCAATCTGCAGAATGCTTTTTTGGTCCACAGGGGGGTCCGCCATGTGACACACTTCGAAAGCCAATTCAAGCATTAGAACAGTCATGGCCTGCATCAGATGGTGAACGATGCACCACCATGGCCCATTGCGATAGATCCAATTGACGTTGGGGGCGTCCATATCCGGGAGAAGATCAGAAATGCTCCTAGCAGCCATGACGCAGTCCCGGGCACGTTCTTGATCAAGATTTTTGGACCCTAGGCCTTGCTTCTCAATCCGCTTGTCGATGCGGCATAAACAGGGACGAGTGAGGATGATCTTTGTACTGTAGAAACCGAAGCCCAGAAGGATTCTCTCCCGATAGAACTTGCTCTCATCCTCGGAGTGGGCAAACTGGTATTCCCTCGGGAGCCCCCTATACCAGTGGTCGACTTCATCATTCAAAGCAGAAATCTCGTACTGTGCGCGCTCCCAGGATTTCTGGACTGTAGCAGCCGAGTAGAGATTGACCAGGATTTTCTGGGAGATGAGTGCGAGCTGGACACGTCGGCGGAAATGAGTAGCAGTGCTTGGAATGGACTCCAAGCGCAGAATCGCCTTTCTGTCCTCGCTCGCTGGAGCGGATGACGCATCTGCTTGACTACTGTTCCACTCCTCAAGCCTTTTCCCTCCGTGCTTATGTATCTGGGCCTCTTCGACGGGAGCCGGAGCTGGGAGTGAACAGAACCTCTGGTCAATTGCGGTAGGTCGGCCGAGGACCTCACATAGCAGATTCTCGATGTAGTAGAGGGACCACCAGACTCGACTCCTTTTCTCTTTGGATACTGCGTCCTTGTGAGGGTCCAGGTTGCGAAGGTGTAGGCCGAGAGCCATGGCCTGGCGGCAGGCCAGACCAATCATGACCCAGGATCTGTGTAGTAATCATAGCATCAGACTTTACAAGTCCGGTGAATTGCAAGTTGGAGCGATGAGCGAGCCGCATGAAGTCAACGTACCGACTGACTTGGCTAATGGTCAAGTAATAGAAAGAAACAAGACCCATGACCTGGATGCGCTGAAGGTCCGGGTGGGCGACAATGGCATCGCCAGGCATTGCAAGGGTGAGAGCGCGTGTGTAGTACACCAAGTGATCTCGCTCATCACCGCGCCAAGGTGCATTTACCAGATGAGAGAATTTGGCACCGATGGCAAAGACCATGTTCAAGATGGCGCGCCATGTTGGAGGTAAGCTCTCCGGGTTCTTTGAACGAGAGTATCGCTGATACTGACCCAGGAAGACGGACATGGTGAGAATGGGCACTGCGTCTTGAACGGTGTCCATGTACAGATGCAGCAGGTGTTGGCCAAGCTCCGGGGGTGGAAGTTCGTCTTTGTCGACGTGGTCAAAGGTCAAGACACTTTCGGTATCCAAGTGATAGGTGAAGTCGGATATGGGAGGACGTGGGCGACTCTGGGAAGCATGACGTATATTGCTCACACTAAGACGATCCTTCTGGGCTTCTTCGCCGGTGCCGGGCTTGCCGTGGGTCCTGCCTCGTACGTCTTTGGTCCAACCCTCAGCCTGGGCTTGAGAAAGACGACGGGCCCAGGCGACTTCCGAGTTCTTGCCAATGAAGCCGGTAGCTCTGGCTTTGTCGGAGCGGCTGAAGTCCTCTCCGATGTTGTCCACAGACTCCTCTGAGCCGACTTCAGCGGAGACATCGGCCTCTCCCTGTAGAGCAGGAGGTGAGGGGGATTTGGGTGGGTTTTCGGGGACAGCACTACCTGACGACAATCGTCGCCTTTTCAATGACGCGGTTGGAGTGGATCGAACGGACGTGTCATCGTCCAGGGCCTGAGTCGACTTGGTCACTGTCAGTGGGCAACTGGCAAGGCAGCCGATGTGAGAGGGAGGCGGATTCGAGGCCGACGACGCGATGGGTGGGCGCAGCAACGCGCAGACAGGCCGGGAAGATGGACAGCTTCATACCTCAGACTCGACAGCTCGGACCTTCTGCTGGAGATGCGGTGGAAGCGAGACTTCGCGGGAGATGTCGGCAAGAAGCTGCAGCAGGCGGTCGCTCCGTTCGGTAGCCCTACGGACGGGCATTAGCGCGATGGGGCCATGGGGCCATGGGGCGAGCAACGGGGCCAGAGTTTATTGTTACCTCTTGTTCAGCTCTCGCTTGGTCTCGGCGTACACGCAGGGGACCTGGCACTGTTCGCAATGGTCGCAGGTAGGGCGCTTGCCGTTGCATTTGATTTTCCTGGACCGACACTCGACGCAAGCCTTGGGGGTGCGCCTTTTATCTGCACTCGAGGGCGCCGGAGGAGGTGGATCTACGCGGGGCCGCAGCGGCGGGATGGCCACCTTTGCAGCAGGCGCATGGTGATGGCCGTGAGGGTCCATGCCTGACTGCTTGACTGCTTGACTGCTTGACTGCTGCTTTCACGCCTTGCCGCGCAGCCGGCTGGCTCGGCGGAGGGTGTGACGACAGTAAAGCGGGCAGCTATGGAGCAATTGGAGGCTGCAGGAGTCCGACAGTACTGCGCAGCTCAGCTCGGAACACATAGTCTGCGGTTGGGCAAGCACTGAGATGACGTAGGTAGACCTCGGACGGGAGTCGGCGAGAGCAAGCGAACTGGTGGGGCGAGGCAGCGCAAGCAGTCGAGCTGGTGGCGGCTAGCCGGACGCCCGCACCGTGGCACCGTGGCACTGCGGTCGCCGATAAGAGGGTCCGCCATCTTATCGGCCAGGTACGGATAGTCAGCGAAAAAACATCCCCGCCGCCCAATCGCAACGCCGCTGACTCTTCGCTTTCACTTTCACCCTTCACTTTCCTTCACCACCGCCCTCTCGACCGACTCCCACGCGAAACAATCACTCTCGCAGACAATGGCCGACAGAATACGCAGCACCACCCTCAAGCGCGACACCAATGAAACCAAGATCCAATTGAGCCTCAACCTCGACGGCGGCGTTCTCGAGCCCGTCGGCGACGATGCGAACGGCGACGAAGCAGCCCACGCCGCCCAGGCTTCCAAGAGCCAGCACATCGACATCAACTCGGGCATCGGCTTCCTCGACCACATGCTGCACGCCCTGGCCAAACACGCCGGCTGGTCGTTGAAGCTGCGCTGCATCGGAGATCTGCACAGTACGTCATAGTCAGGAAGAAGTGAAGGATGCTGGGCGACCGAATCTTTGCTGACCGAGCTGCCTACTACGACCACAGTCGACGACCACCACACGGCCGAGGACACGTGCATCGCCCTGGGCCAGGCATTCAAGACGGCCATGGGCGGCACCACCGGCCTCGCCCGCTTCGGCAGCGCCTACTGCCCGCTCGACGAGGCCCTGTCGCGCGCCGTCATCGACCTATCCAACCGGCCCTACTCGGTCATCAACCTCGGCCTCCGCCGCGAGAAGATCGGCGACCTGTCGTGCGAGATGATCCCCCACTGCCTGCAGAGCTTCGCCCAGGGCGCCGCCGTGACCCTACACGTCGATTGCTTGAGGGGCGAGAATGACCACCACAGGGCTGAGAGCGCCTTCAAGGCCCTGGCCGTTGCGACGAGGCAGGCCACCACCCGGGTGAAGGGTAGGGAGGGCGAGGAGCCCAGTACCAAAGGCGTTTTATACTAGGGAAGGAGAAAGAAAAAAAGACATGCGAGGGGAACAGTCGTTCATAGAGAACGAGAAAATAGAGCGCGTAGAAATGCGTGAGTGTCGTGTTTCGTTGGATGCTTGGAGAGGATGGCAAGACTTACGCAACGGTTTCTATTAAAAATATACCAATTGATTTAAGGATGTAAATAGGCTAAGTAAGTAAGGCTTTCCTGGGAATTTCAGTTGACATATCAATGCTCGCAAGATATCTGCAAGACTTGGAGGATGTGACTTCCCACCTAAGACATTGCTGGGATAATCAACTCGAACAAAGGATGCATGGATAAAAGGCCGGCTTTTACTCTCGACTCACGTGGCTTGGGAGGATAAAGAGACGTGTTCCAGGCTACGGATGGGGAGGGAGATAAAGAAAATCCTTGAATGAGATCTTGGATCTCACCCGCTTCAACCACATCCTGCAAAATTCATCATCGCCACCGGACAACGGAAACAGGATACTATAATAGCACAGAAAAGGCATGCGCCATGTTTTCTAGCAGCAGTCGTACGTATTTGGAGAAAGAAGAGACCCTGGTATGAAATCCAGTCTTTGATAAGGCACAACTGTCTGTTCTCTAACGTGGTATTAAACAGTTCCTTGCAAGCCCGCTGTCCGGACTTTTACAGAACCTGAGAAATCTGCTATCTACGCTATGGGGCACAACATCCAACACACTTACCATAACAAGCCTGGAAAATAAGAAGTCAGAACTTTAAATGGGATCTATCCGAACATGTATAGTCCCATGAATACAAACGCTGACTATCTTTAATAACGTTGACTTGTTTTAGCCGGTTGTCATTGCGCGCGGGTCAAGGCTTTGGATTGCCAAATTTCAAATAGTTATGGTTCGATCTACGACGCCGTTTAGCCCTCCCTTGAATCTTCCTATGTTTTCCTTCCTTACCACCTGTGGATCGAAGGTGTTCGTTCTCCAGTGAGAGCCAGAGAAGACATATGCTTCAGAGGCAGCGAACGTATATTCATTCAGATTCTCGTAACGCGTTCAGGTGATGAGGTTGTGATAAATTCTCTTGCCTCCCCCCCTTTTTTTCCTTTTTTTTTTTAAGAAGTTCGCCTCCAATGCCATGGGAACACACACTTCCATCAAACCCCTGCGCCCGAACATCCAAGCTCTCCCCCATCCCCCCCTCCCAGACGCCAAGCACAATTACCGCCTCACTCATCCGCCTTAAACACAAACTTCTGCACCTCCCCCCTCTCAAACCTCTCATACGCCTCGACCGCCCCACTCAGCGGGACCACATTCTCCGTCAAACACTCCACCGCCCCCTCATTCGCCCTCAACACCTCCAGCGCGCGCGGGAACAGCGATCGCACCGGACACCTCCCCATGACCAGCTGCACGTTCTTGTCGTAGCCCTCGGCGCCGGTGAAGCCCACGCCCGCGGGCCCGTTGTGCACGCCGACGGAGCTCACGACGCCGAACGGGCGCACGGCCTCGAACGCGGTGCGCAGCGCGTCCTCGACGCCGACGAGCTCGAGCGCGGCGTCGGCGCCGCGGCCGCCGGGCGTGGCGGCCCTGATGGCGTCGGCGACGGCGACGCCCGGGGGCATCTCGCGGAAGTTGAGCGGGGTGGCGCCGGCGACGGACGCGGCCCGGGCCAGCCGCGCGCCGTTGCTGTCGACGGCGAAGAGGCGCGCGGCGGGGCCGAGGAGGTGGCGGAGCGAGACGAGCGCGCAGAGGCCGACGGGGCCGCAGCCGATGACGGCGGCGGTGGGGGCGTGCGGGAGCCCGGCGGGGAGGCGCGCCGTGGCGTTGGAGGCGGCGAAGTACTGCGTGGGTGGGGCGAGGAGGAGCTGCGTGTTAGTCGGGAAGGGAGGGGAGGAGGGAGGGTTGGATGACGTACGCCGGTCTGGAGGGGAGGAGAAGAGATGGTGTCAGTATGGTCTGCTTGAGACGGGGTGGAGAAGTTGGAGGGACGACGGGGGGACTTACTGGAAAGATGTCGGCCATGAGGATCAGGTTCTGGTCCTTGATGCCGTCGGGTGCGTTGAAGACAGTCGAGTCGGCGAGGGGGATGCGAACTGGAATCAGACCGACCAGCGTCGTTTTAGACGCCAGTTTGATGCTGCGAAAAGGCATGCACGGAACAGAAGCACTTACCGTACTCGGCCTGAGCTCCGGGCAGACCCGGAGTGCCAAAGCATTGCGACTTGACGCAACGAGATGAGAGGTCAAGCTTGCAGTAGAAGCATTCTCCACTGTTTGGTATCCCGTCAGTAGCATTCTCGGTATATAGGTGGTCACCCCATATCACAACATCGAAGTGCTCCGTGCAAAGACCACTTCACAGTTCTTGAGTCACGCTTTAATCGTTGGTTGGAAGCGTTTGTCCAACTGAAATTCGGCATCTCCAGTTGATATATCACTCACCAGCTGATAGTAAAGGGGCAAACAACCCTGTCTCCAACCTGGAAATTCTTCACGCCCTCACCAACCTCAGCAATGACGCCGGTGAGCTCGTGGCCCATGATGAAGTCAGGGTTCTCGCCGGCAGGCTCGATACCACGGTAGGTGTGGAGGTCACTGTAGAGCTTGGGTTAATATGGCATTGTCTTCAAAGGTGTAGACATGCTTGAACAGGGACTCCGAGAAGAAAGATCCGGTTGATATAAGAAAGAAGATAGACTTGAACATGTAGGCCAATCACATCACATATCAAGACTGGACGATTACTGAAAGCGGGTTGCACTCCAGATAAATCAAACAGGACCTTTAGCAACAGCAATGCAAGAGCCAGTAGCTCCAACAAAAGTCAAAAACAGGAATGGAGAAGGGAAAAAGTGTGAGATGGAGCGGAGAGAACGGATAAGAGAAAGCCTCAACTCACCTCCCACACAGCCCTGCGTACCGCACCTTAACGACCACGCTCCCCGGCTCAGCCTTAGGAATAGGCCTCTTTTCCACAACAACGCCCTTCTCCACACCCTTAAAGACGACCGCGTTCATTGACATCCTTGCTCTTTAAGTTTACCTTAGTTCTGTTGCACTCTGCGCCGATTGAGATCAATTGAGTCCAGAAGGGTAAAGTGGTGATCATAAAATGCGAAAGTGGGATGATTATTAGCGCAGCGCCGCCTCCGGTTTCGGCAAAGGCGGGCAATCTCGGACCGATCGGGCGAAGTGGATACTTTTTACCCCGGATTTTTAGGGTACGTCAAGTAAGTGCTTGCCGAAGGGCAGCGGATGGAAAACACAGTCTCTGGATTCACAGGATGGGAGAAGAACCATAAGATAGCTAAACACCATACATACACACAAACCCTTCTTTATAAACCCCAGGAGCGTAGCAAGTATGTTGCTCCCTTCCCTTTGCCTTTTCCACGCGTTAGCCGGCTAACCCTAAGGCAAAGCGCTGATCTGTAAGGGGTGCACTGCTGCTACTAAATAGGGACTATCCTAGGCGCGGATTGGCTTGGCCTTACACCAGAGCTCCGGCTTCTCCCATAGAGTGAACGACTTGTGGTTAGCCCAGTCCTGACTCTGCTCGCAAAGCTCTAAATCAAAGTGCCAGAGCACCTTGGACAGAATAATCCGCATCTCGTGATATGCAAGACTACGCTCTGAGGTCAGCCGGTGCACTCTTTTCAACAGGAATGGACGGTTGCTTACTTCTTTCCCAGACAGTTGCGCGGTCCGAAGGAAAAGGGCTGAAGCACTTCTCGCTGGTCGCTCTCGTACTCGACGTTTCCAGGAAGCCACCGCTCAGGGATGAACGAGTCCGGATCCTTGAAGTTAAGCGCAGACCGGTACGCAGACCATTGGTGGACAGAGACCCTCGTCTGGCAATGCAAGTCAGCATCCGCTTCGGCGCGAACCGGCATGAACACACCTTTTCAGGAACCCAATCACCGCAGATGACGTTGCCGCCTTGCGGCACCTCGCGAGGAGGTCCAATGGGCACGGGCGGGTAGACCCTCAGCCCTTCCTCAAAGCACGCGTTCAGGTACGGCATCCGAGGCAGCAGCTCTAGGGTAAGCTCATCTTCCGACGCCACCGCTCGCACCTCATCCACCACCTTCCGCAGCTTGTCCGGATTCTTGAGCAGATAGAAGGTGAGCCCACTGAGCAGCGTCGCCGTCGTCTCCGAGCCCGCAATCATGAAGATGGACGAGTTCGCGTGCATCTCGCCCAGCCCGAGTTGGTTGTCCTTGCCTTTGGCCAACACCAGGCCCCAGATGTCCGGCTTGTCTCCATCCACGCCTTTCTCGAGCCGCCGGTCCACGCGCTCGGCCGAATGCTGGAAATGGGCCTTCTGCTGATCGATGAGAGACTGCGGAATGAACCAGCTCATGATCTTGCCGAGCATGGGAAACTCAAGTTGGATCCGCTGCATGTGCTGGGCCTTGACGTTGGCGAAGATGGCCTGCACCCACGGCGTGTACTCGGACTGTTCGAGCAACCCGAGAGGCTCGCCGAAAGTCAGGTCACTTATGATATCGAAGGCTTTTGAGTTCAGCTTGCATACAGCCAAAAGAGAACAAGGGGCGAGAAAGGAAAAGGCCGAGCGGCGTGGGGTGGCAGGCTTACTCGTGAGGTTGTACAGCTTGACCATGCCAAGAGAAACATCCGGATCCTCCTTGGTCATGCGGTACATGTTCCAGATCAACTTGTCTACGTATCTCTTGATCAGAGGCTCTTGCAGCTTCAGCGCCTTCTCGCTGAACGCGTTGGAAAAGATTCTACGCAGGTTGCCATGCTCGACCACGTCCGGCGTGTTGAGGACATGGTACTTGTCGTTGATGTCCTTGGTGTAGAAGCGGCGGAGGTCCTTCCCGTTCTCCTTTTTCCCGGCGCTGCGGTGGCCGTAAATGTCCTTCCACGCCTGCGGGTTGATGTAGCTAAGCCGGTCAGGGCCTAGACGGACGATTTCGCCGTAGGTTTCATGCTGCTTGCGAGTCCACTGCTCAATCTTGCCCGTGTAGCTGATCATCCACCACACCAGATTGGACGTCAAAGCAAGCTTTGGACCCGGATCTTGGCTCGGCTTATCAGCGGGCATTCCTCAGGTGACGAGCGGACCCCAAGGGACTCACATTTACTCAACGGATGGAAGTAGACATTGTATACTGCCGTGACCACGAATTTCACAACGAGCTTCCAATCGTCAGCTGACAGTTTTTGATACAAGGCGCACAACCAGGTATACCAGAGATACGAAGATGCCAAACAACGACGGAACGCTGCCGATCTTCAAGATTCTTGGGGGGGACTCGGGAACTGGGCCAGCGGGGCTATCCATGATTGCGGCAGAAGGAGGGGTTTGGGAGGAGGTGACGTGAGTGACGACGAGCGCTTGCGGCAGGTTATATAGATGCAGGTGCTCTCATCCATCTCTATATTGCGCCGTTGCATATTCCGCCCAGACGGAGGACGGAAAGTCGTGTACCCGAGAAGATTCGTACATGGGCACTCGAAGCAACAGGTAGTGGAGACGGCGTAGTCTTGACGCATGCGACGAGGGCCAAGCGCTACCAAGGAAGTGCCCCCGACATTGAAGAAAGAGCCCTGAGTGGCCTCTATCAGTCCACGACGTCGATGCGCATGTGAATACGGGTAGGCGAAACAATAGTAGCGGCAGGGAGAAGTCGGTTATGTTCGGCTTGTTCAGGGTAGGTTCGCATGGTCTTTGCGGAATCCGAGACATGCAGCGTGGGTTGCGGGGTCCGCGTGCCTGACCCCTGTCGGCTTCTCGCCGGAGACTGGCTCGTTTAACGTTTTCGCTTCTGTTGCGTGCCGTTGTGGCGACGGAAGTCATGTCATCGGCCTCCATCCTAGCGAGGTTGAAGAGCGCAGACTGGCCAGTAGCAATCTTCTGCGCAAGGGTTGCAGTCTTGAGCCAATCCCCCAGATAGAGCTGTTTCGCTTCTTATTGATCATCCGAACAGCCGGCATTGCTCAAAGATCAACCATAGCATGCTGCTTGAACTTCTTATTCGCCCGATCCGGCGCCCTATTCTCAAACTGCGACCCATGCAGCTCGAACACCAAGTTCCGAGGCTCCTCCCCCAGTCCCTCTCCACCGCCCGTCCCCAGCGGAATCTCAAACCGGAACACTGTATGCTCCTTCGGAATCGTCTTGACCACATCTCCCCTCGTCACCACCTCAAACACAAACTTCCGATCCTTCACCACAATCCCCCGCAACCCCACCCTCCCCACACACCGACTCCTCACCACCTCGACCTCGGCGCCGTGGAAATCCGCACTCGCCAACTTCGGCCCCGCCGACGCAGCAGACACATAGCCCGGCCCTCCTCCTTCGCTTAACCCCAACACCTCCCGCACGTACCCAACCCACATCTTGTGCAAGCCTTCGAAGATTTCGTAGCGCTGTTGGGACTTGGGGATTTCGTGCACACCCAGAGCGCGCTTTTGGCGCGCGGAGAGGGGCGTCGGTTTGCTCGCGGACTTGTTTTTCGTCTGGGCGGCGTGGCGTTGGCGCGTGAGGCGGCGCGCGGCGCGCGCGTCGGTGGAGGGGGTGTCGGCGGACTCGGTGGGGCGGAGGAGGAGGGGCTTCTTTTGGACGCGGTCGGTGAAGATGCGGGTGGTGGTGTCGGGGGAGTGGGCGCGGGAGAGGAGCGCGTGGGAGGGGTTGATGGGAGCGGAGGGCGCTTCGGGTGCGGTGGGCGTGGATGTCATGGTGGATGGACGGTAGGTGGGTGCACGTTCGTTGCGCGCGCGACGCCAAAGCGGAAGCGTTGGGGCGGAAGGTGGAAGGTGGCAGGTGTGGGACTTTTTTTGTGCTTAGGTCGTTGCGGCTGTTGTCTCGCGTCGTGTGCCTAGACCCGCATAGGGCTGAGTGCGATGGTCGGTTTGTTCCTGGTTGGCTGGCGCACAAAAAATGCCCCGACGATGACGATGCGGTCCCGCGATCTTCGCAGATGCGAGCGAGCGTCATACGGGAGGAGTCATGCAAGTCATCCGACATCGTGCACCGTCAATGAGTCGTATACCACTTCTTTCCACCTCACTCCACGTCCCACCACCTCTCCAGCGCATATATTGCTCGCCGCGACCTCCAGACTGCCCATCCGCATGAGCTCGTCAGCCAGACACGCGCTCGTCCACCCAGCTTCGATTCTGCCCCGCCTATACTCCCATCCACGATCCCTCCTCCCATTCGTACAACGACACCTCCATCCACCCCAATTCTCCACCACCGCAACCATGCTCCACAGCGCTAATAAACAGGAGCAACCCGACCCCACGGCCGCCGCCTCCTCACCCGGCGCCGTCGTCGACAACACCTCCACCACCAACAAACAAAAGCTCATCTTCGCCCCGGGCGAAAGCGGCGCCCTCGCCTCCCAAGCCGCGCAATTCCACAAAGGCGCCCTCGACGCGGCCGACCTCTCCGCCTCGCCCCTCGCGCAGTTCCACACCTGGTTCGGCGAGGCCTCGTCGGCCGTCGCGCACCCGGAAACGGCGACCTTGGCCACGGCGGAGCTGCCGTCGGGCCGCGTCTCGGCGCGCGTCGTCTACATGAAGGAGCTCGACGACCGCGGCTTCGTCGTCTACAGCAACTGGGGCACCTCCCGCAAGGCGTCCGACATCGCCAGCAACCCCCACGCCGCGCTGACGTTCTGGTGGCAGGGGCTGGAACGCCAGGTCAGGGTCGAGGGGACGGTGGAGCGGCTGCCGCAGGAGGAGAGCCAGGTGTATTATGATACGCGCATTAGAGGCAGCCGGGTGGGCGCGTGGGCGAGCAGGCAGAGCGAGAAGCTGACGGGTAGGGAGCAGTTGGAGGAGAGGGTCAGGGAGGTGGAGAGCAGGTTTGAGGGCCAGGATAAGATTCCCGTGCCGCCATTTTGGGGTGGTGTGAGGATTGTGCCCAGTGAGGTGGAGTTTTGGCAGGGCAGGGAGAGCAGGCTGCATGATCGGTTTAGGTATACGAGGGATGAGAGCGTCGAGGGTGGGTGGAAGGTGGAGCGGCTGAGCCCGTAAGCGGCGGGTTGGTGCGATTCATAATGTCTCTGATGGTGTAATTTTTTTCGGGGTGGTCGTCGTCGTTGATGGTGGTATTGTCTTCTCTACTCAGTCAAGATCGTCATGACGAACCGGGACGGGCACTCCGAGTTCACGCAGCGCCAACTCTAGTCCCGGAAGCCAAAAGGTCTCTCCCTACCAGAACACACCCTGCCCTCGCTTTCGAACAGACACGAAGGTGTCCTCAGTAAATAGCTTGCCAAAGGATCCTCTGCCGGCTACTTGAGCACTCCGCCTTAGACGTGGCCTTTCAGCGTAGTGGAAGAGTTGCTCTTCACCAGAGGCGTAGTACTTCTGCCAATCGTCATTGACGTACTTCTCGTAGCAGTCGGCGAACCCCCACCCCACGCCGCGGTTCCTAGTGTCAGGTCATTTGGCTGCGCAAGAAAAGGGGCAAGATTGAGGTTGATTCGACGCGCGCTGGGCCGCCGCCGTTGCTCAAGACGGAACACAACTTCCCGATCACGAGTCGAGATGGGGGATCGCGGCTGGGGTGCTTGAGCCTGGCTCTCCTGGCTTGATTGTGCAGTTCTGCCCGAGGGGAGCGCCACAGGGAGGCGGGCTCGCAGGACAGTACGGAGTCTTACCGCCAGCACTTTGAGCACTCTAGAAAGCTCAACCCCATCCACCCATGACGGCAACTGCAGATATTAGGCAACAATCGAGATGACATAAATAACGTGTGCTCGGATTTTGATCTCTCTCCCAGGATCCAGTCAGACGGGCGGGTAGATTCTACGTTCTGAACATGTAAGCTGGTGGTCCTATGTGAGCACCTTCATCGACTTGATTGGGAGTGTACCGCTAGGACAGTGTGACGTCAATGCGAAGGATGCTAGATCTTCGTTTCTATGGGAAGTGCTCCAAAACAGGCGTGGAGAGGTCTGCTGGACGACAAGAAAGAATGATAGGGCTTCCCCTCCTCTCCTTGGTAGCTGAAAGGCATTACTACCACACGATCGCGGCCGCCAGGATCTGCGTCCACCAGGCTGATCGTTGTCCTCCGACCGCACCAGGAGTTCTCTCCACCAGCGGAACGAGCCCCACCCTCTCGCGTCTCTTCAAGACGACTCCTCATCGCTTCCGCTCGAAACAACGAAAACGCTTCCGCTTCCGCGCACATTCGAATCCTCGAGGACGAAGTCAGCCAAGTCTTATCGTCCTCCATACCACACTCTGCTGCTCTTTCGACGACCTTCCACGGTCTTCCGATCACAAAGGAAAGGAGGCACCCCTTAGGGATCCGGAAGGTCAGGCCTGACGGAGCGAAGTTACCACACCACGGTTCCTCCCTTCCGTTTCCTCTCGCGGTCGGTGGCTCCCTCGTTTTATCGGACTCCACTGCCTCGACGTGGCTCCTGCCTGCTCTTGTAGCAGCTTCTCCATACCCGTCGACGGCTTCCGGTTCCGACAAGGGAGTGAGCCATCCGGCGTACGGTTTCCTGTTCCCTTCTTCCTCCATCTCCTTTCGCCTCACTCCCTCTTTTCACCCAACCAATCATCATTCATGCTTTTCTCCATTTGAGCCTCATCCATCGTGACTCCACTCTGGATCGTGGCACTTGGTAGCTGAAAGTCTCTTTTTAAAAAAAAAATCTCATCTGTTCATGGCCTCTTAGCTGAAGGAAACCACTTAGTGGCATAAAAAAAAATTCTGGAATTAGAAAGCCAAAATGTAAAATTCCACGCCGAATATACACACGGCTTTTAAAGAGTGGAAAACAATATTACTCCACGCGGGACTCGAACCCGCAGCCTTCAGATTAACACATCACGCAGATAAGCAGGTGGATACGTAGAAGTCTGACGCGCTACCATTGCGCCAGTGGAGCAGTGATTGTTGAGAAATTTTTGAAAAATATATATATACTAATAAATTCTTCAAAATCTGGTACCGACATTCTGCCGCTCAACAGTTAGGTGGGAACAACCAAAGTGAACCTCAAAAATCACAACGCAACTTTCAATTATTCCATGCCCGGGTGTTACTCTAGAGAACGTACCGGAGAGTTGAAACTTCAAAGGCATATCTTCAGCCATTCTCGGGACTCGTTCTAGTATCATCCGATCAGCGAGTGTTGAAGAAGTAAGAAAGGCAGTCGATTCCTTATCTTCCTAGTCAGACGCGACGCTGAAGGGCTTAATAAGCGAGTAAAAGCTGCCACACGTGCCCCGGAAAGGCGCGCCTCGGCCATTCCTGACGCCGACACCCATAGGGCTGAGCCACGGCCGAGCGCTCACCCGCCGCCGCAGCTCACTCCATCCACTCCACCACCGCCAACGCTGCAACACCGCAACCACCGCTCGCTTCACCCCGTTCCAAAAGCTTCTACCTCCGATCCACCTCGACCCTCAGTTCGCGTTCTTCGCCGCGCCTCCCGACGTTAGCCGCCGACTCCTCGCCCGTTTAAAGAGCCGCCATGTCGGAAAGAAAGGTGCTCACGAAGGCAAGTATTCCTGTCGCTTCTTCGCCACGGTCCCTGCTAACTAGCGTGCGCGCGCTGTAGTACTACCCGCCCGACTTCGATCCAAGCAAGATCTCGCGCGCTCGAAAGCCGAAGGATGCTGGTCCCAAGGTCCAAACCGTTCGCCTCATGGCCCCCTTCTCGAGTAAGCTCTGAGTCGTTATCCACATTTTGTTCACCGTTCGGTGTCAGCTAACACCCAACGCAGTGAAATGCTTGGCATGCGGAGAGTTCATCTACAAGGGTCGCAAGTTCAACGCTAGGAAGGAAACGACCGATGAGACCTATTACGCCATCAAGATTTACCGTTTCTATATCCGATGCACGCGCTGCAGCGCCGAAATCACCTTCAAAACCTCCCCCAAGCACAGTAAGTCAGCCCTCTTCTACCCGTTATTTTGACGAGCTGTCGAGAAGCAAGGCTCAACGGCTCCTCACGAGTCCCCTCTATCATTGATTCCGTGTATCGGCTAACGAGGATACCAGTGGACTATGACTGCGAACGCGGCGCAAAACGCAACTTCGAACCATGGCGCGAGGAGAAGCTAAACCAGGAAACGGATGAAGAGCGTCTGGACCGCCTGGAGCGCGAGGAGGCTGAGCGCGATGCCATGGCCGAGCTGGAAACGAAGACTCTGGACGCAAAGACCGAGATGGCTATCGCAGACGCGTTAGACGAGATCCGCACAAGGAACGCGAGGATCGAGCGCGGCGAGTTCACCGCCGAAGCCAAAGTCGAAAGGGACCCGCGCGATGCAGAGAGGGAAAGACAAGAGAAGGAGGATGAAGAGGCTGCAAGACGCGCTTTCGAGACTGCAAACGGCGAGCGTGTTCGCCGATTGGACGAGACTGCCACTACGGATGCCCCGGAAGCTTCCTCATCCTCCGCCAGTGCCGCAGATGCGATTGCCATGCCTCCCCCTTCTTTCAAAAGGACGGCCAAAAAGAAGAAGGATTTCGGCGCAGCCCTGGGCATCAAGAAGAAGCAGTCACTGGTCTAAAACTGGCAGCTCACGGCGACATCAGCTTCATAATCGGAGCATTTCTGGGTAGGCGTTTTCAGGGAATTCGGGGTATATTTGGCAGGGACAATACCATGGTATGCTATTCATAAGGAGAAGTTCAATTATGAGATTCTGATTCATAGTCGAGGTTCCACCAAGGCATCACTGCCTGTTCTCCTCGCATAGTCGTTCAGAGGGAGATTCCGCAGCCGTGAGTACCGCACTGGCGACCCAGCCGGCATGACACCACTAAGCTAAATGTTCGGTAACCTCCGAGTATGCTGCTAGTCCAGTCTTTGGGTTCTCAACGGGATCAGTTGCGGTGGTGCAAAATGTGGCACCTGTGTTTGAACCTCTGCCATGTCTCCGACGATAGTGATTTGCCAAGACACGGAATCTAACAGCCTCGGAGCCACAGCCTAACAGCGGACCGTTGGGTATATTTCGGTACGCTTGCTAGATGTCGCTAAATGTCGTGGGCCGCCCGCAGCCTAAGAGCGCCGCAATGCGCTACAAGGGTCAAGGCTACCAACCGCAGTCGCCTTAGGCCGTCTGTAAGGCGCCGGGCTGCATGGAGGCGCGGTAATAACGGCCTTGACACATCACTCTAAGCAGCGCAGAGTGGTCCAGAACCTGCGAGATGTCGCCATTGGGATGCATAACAGAGCTGTCCGTCCGCTATATGTTGAAAGGTTTGGCCCGTAGCACGCTGACGGAGCATTCAACTATGTATGCGGCTCTTGACTGATCAGCGCTCGATTCCTGCCGGGGTTCGAGTTGCCACTATAAGTCTTCTTGGTCCCATCAGTTGACCATCGAACTAGTGTGTACAGCGGCCCGGCTCACCAGGTAGTAGGGCCGTATGCGGCGTCTGTAACTCACCCCAAACGCAGTTTCCGATGCAGTCATGATGCAGGCCTGTGCGAAGATTCAAATGGCCGAAGCTTTCTATTCTTGATCGGCCTTGTTATGGGTCTTTCGGGATCAACAAGGCTACCTAGCCAGATGTACGCTCCAAAGTAAATTGCGCTCTGCCCGTCCGTAGTGACCTGTGACGTCATGGACATGGATGTCTGATTGGCGAGTTAGTAGCGCATCATTGCGAGCAACTGGCTCTCCAGCCGCGCCCCGCTCCGGCACGACGGCTGGGGCGAACTAGGCGGTACCTTGATGCGGGGTGCAGCTCTCAGACGATCAGCCGGCCGCCACTGCAGCCATACCATCATCACAGCACTGGCCCTCCAGCTCCAGTCGGCGCGAATTGCGTCCACGCGCACAGACAGGCCTCCCAGCCCAGGAAAGCAGAGACTCGGTCTTGCATGAGGCGGCAGGTGCAATCCCTGCTATGTGCTACTAGCTGCACAATGGCTCTGATCCCCGCCTTCTCCTCGTGTGTGCTTATATGCTGCTCTTGATCAGCATGGATCCTCAGCAATTACTCGGCCATTGTTGCAACCATGGCGCCTTACTTCGGAATGAGAGGCGGCTGGCTCACCTTCTGGGTGACGGTCGCCTGCGCGACCGACATGACTTTGTTTGGTGAGCTGGACTGCTGTGTTTCTGAAGGTGGCGATGGAATACTTACCGAGATATAGGCTATGATCAGGGCGTCTTTGGTATGTCTGAGCTTCGTTCCCCGCTGAACGACTCTTCTGACAAGCTCAGGCGGCGTTGTTGTGACGCCGGATTTCCTCGACACGCTGAATCTCAACGGCAAGACGACACTGATCAGTACCGTCACGGCCATCTACGATATTGGCTGCTTCTTTGGTGCCATTTGTGCCTTTATGATTGGCGAGAGGCTGGGCCGTAAGAAGTGTGTGATTCTGGGCACTACCATCATGTCAATAGGTGCCATCCTCCAGATTGCCGCGTTTGGCGTGCCGCAAATGATCGTCGGCCGGTAAGTCCTCTCCTGCACCTAGGCAGCTGGAGCTGTTCGTTCCCTGCAATGTCTCCACGCTTCCAGTGCCTGCTCTGATCCTGGCCGATTGCACGCTGACCGAAATCCAAGTATTATCGGAGGGTTTGGGAACGGTATAAACACTGCCACGGCACCGGTGTGGCAGGGCGAAACGTCCAAAGCGAGCTGGCGTGGGAAGCTCATTGTCATCGAAATGATCTGCAACATCGCGGGTTTCTCATTGTCCACCTGGATTACGTACGGTTTCTCTTTCGTCTCCGGGTCTCCTTCGTGGCGCGTCCCGCTGGCCTTCCAGTTCCTCTTCATCTTCGTCTTGTACGCCACCACGCCTTGGCTGCCCGAGAGCCCCAGGTAAAGACTTCTCACACACAGCAATGCGATGGCTCCAGCTAACTCTGTCTCAGGTGGCTTATCGCGCGTGGGAGAATCGATGAAGCGGATCGAATCCTCGCAGACTTGGAAGGATTAAGCATCGACGACCCGTACATCATCACCCAGTCCAAAGACATCCAGTGGGCTGTCAACTACGAGAAGGAGAATGCAGTGCGCTGGCGTGACCTTCTCCGCGGGCGCACGGGGAATCAAGGCGGAACCTGCACAATCCGGCGTCTCATTCTGGGCATGGGCACCCAGGCTATGCAACAGCTTTCGGGAATCAACGTAACCTCGTAAGTGCCGCCTGGCGAGGACGCATAGAAATACTGACACATGATGCACAGCTATTACCTCCCGTACGTGCTGATCAACTCAGTCGGTCTGGGCAATAACCTAGCCCGCCTGTTGGCGGCGTGCAACTCGGTCAGCTACCTGCTGTTCAGTCTCATCGGCATTCCCAACGTCGAGCGGTGGGGCCGGCGCAAGATGATGATGTACGCAGCCGCAGGGCAGTCCATGTGCTACCTGGTCATTACTGTGTGTCTGCGCTACTCGCAGCCGCAGTTCTCTACATCGAAGCAATGGGCGTCAGCATCCATCGCCTTCTTCTTCCTATACTACGTCTTCTTCGGGATCGGATGGCAAGGGGTTCCATGGCTATATCCTACCGAGGTGAACAGCCTGAGCATGCGCACAAAGGGGGCTGCTTTGGGTACGGCAACGAACGTGAGTTCCCCCTGGGATGCGGCGACGACTTTTCCCTACTACAACTACCCACCCACCTACCGAAATTCCCCATGCATGCTCGAGCTCATAAAGAGCTGTTCAGAATCCAATTCGAATATCCCCGGGCTAACTGCAAGTAGTGGATCTTCAACTTCATGGTGGTTGAAATCACGCCTCCGGGCATCTCGTCGCTGGGATGGCAGTTTTACATCATCTGGGTGGTGTTCAACGCATCCTTCGTGCCCATCGTCTACCTCTTTTACCCCGAGACGGCAGACCGGTCGCTCGAAGACTTGGACCGGTTCTTCATCGAGAACCACAGCTTGTTCGTCTTCACCGACAAGGACGCCACCTCGTCCAAGCGGCCGCAGCAGTACATTCAGCACGAGAAGGAGGAGATCAGGCGACACAGCAGCATCAGGCCCGAGGATGTTTCAAAGGCGGTCCAAGCACACAGGAAAGAGGTTCTTGAAGGGCAGAACTATGACGAGAAGATGGAAGTTGCCTGATGGAAGACTGATTTGACAGGGAAAATTGCACATGGTGGATTACAGGGGGGGTGATACACACGAGGGATGCGCTACGTCGTTTTGGGTGCCGGGCGATTACAAGAAAAAGCAGTCACGTTGGTAATTGAATCCAATGTCTGGAGTCTGGATGCACATGTACAGTCACAAAGCTCATCTCTACGTCTGGACATTTGTTTCCACTACCTACGTCAGAGGGATCGGATTTGGCTGCGCACGCGAAGTCTGATTGCTAGCCGTGATCCTGTTATCTATCGACCGACCCACGCATCCCCTGGACATTTGGCTAGCTCGTTTCGAGCCCTGCGCCCTCGAGGGCGGCTGCATTGCCAACACCAACCTCACGCAGCCCCGTCGTGCCGCTCTGCACGCCTGGAAACGAGCTCTGCGGCTGCGGAGGAGCGGGCTGCAGGCTGCAGGCTGCAGCGCGTGGAACTCGTCTTGGCCTCGCTTGCAGTAGGCGCCCGGCCAGACCGACGGACGAGCGCTGCCAGCCGTTGCCCGACGCCGGCGCGAGACTGCGAAGCGCGCGGGAAGTTGCTGGCTACACGGCGCGGCAACACCTGCCGGCACGTTGCAATGGCGGAGCGGTCAGACTTTGTTGATCGGCAGGAGGATGAGGAGCAGAGAGCGGGCCGCGGGCTGTCAGGAGCAGGAAAGGAGCGCAGAAAATGAGTGAGGAAGCAGAAGGGCTGAAACATTGGTAGGAGGGCAGGCGCAAGCCACCAACGGGGGTGCGGCAGCCTTCCTTCCCAAAAGAGATCTCGGCCGGCGAATGGGGATGCGGGAACGCCGCTCGCAAGCGCTGCCATTGCGCTGCCATTGCGCTGCCATTGCGCTGCCATTGCGCTGCCATTGCGCTGCCATTGGCCTCACCCCCCACTCGAAAATCAAAACTCACCTACCGGAAGCCGACCCTCTGCTCTCCGCCAGGACAGTGGCCCGGCCCTCGAAAGCCACCATGCGCCGCTAATGTGCGCTGAAGGAACGCACGAGATCCTTTGTTATCACACTGGCAATAGTTATATCTTGATCTCCTCTGTCTCACCCTCACCCGCTTCACCCGCTTCACCCGTTGTTCATATCTTTTCTGGCCCTGGCAGGCTCTTCACGCTCCTTGCCCCTCACCACGAGTCTGTGACTCGGCCGCTCTTTACCCGTCACTCATTCTGACCTGCCACTATTCTTCACTTCTTGCCCCCATATTCTTCGCCTCACACCATTTTTCATCGTGCGCACACCCACGGCTCCGCCTCAAAATGCTCGTCGACAAGCTTGCCTCTGCCGCCGTCCTCGCCGGCTTGACCTCTGTGGCCCGCGCCATTGACTGGAGCGCCATCGACTACCATGGCCACTACTTCCGACAGGAGTGGGTTGAGCCGCCCGTCGTCGTCGAGCGTCTGGATCCCATCTTGAACCCTGGCGCGCTTGCTTCCCACGTCCATTCCTTCATCGGTGCCAACGTCGTTTCTGCCGACACCGACTACGCCGACACCCAGGCTGCCTCCTGCAGCCAGGTCTACGTCAAGCCTGATCACAGTCTTTACTGGGCTCCTGCTCTGTACTTCCAGGACCCCACCAACAAGACTTTCACTCGCGTCAAGGAGCACCATCGTGTGCTCTACTACTTGTGAGTATTCCCCGCTCCCCGCCATGGCCAGGCCCTGACCTCTTTTCTGCAGCAACCGCGCCGCTGACCCGGACACTGGCGCCGAGAGCTTCGACCTCATCGAGGAGTTTCCCGAGGGCTTCAAGATGATCGCCGGTGACGCCAACCTGCGCGCCCCAGCCGCCACCAAGCAGCTGCAGGACTCCATCGAGTGGTTCTGCCACGGCCCCGATGTCAAGTCCAGCGGCTTTCCCGGCAACTTCACCTCGTGCCCCAACGGCTTCGCCGGCTCTGTCCGCTTCCCGTACTGCTGGAACGGTGAAGAGTTCAATGCCGACGACCCGCACGCCCACATGTCATATCCCAAGACCGACGCCGAGGGCAACGGTGCTCCCGACAGCGGAGCGTGCCCCACGACTCACCCGCACATCTTGCCCCACATCTTCATCGAGTTCTGGTTCGACACGGAACCCTTCGATGGCCTCTATGAGATGAGCGATCAGCCGTGGGTGGTTTCGAATGGTGATCCCACCGGCTATGGCTTCCACGCCGACTTCCTGAACGGCTGGGAGAAAGGCGTGTTGGAGAAGCAGATGAAGGAGTGCAACATTGGTGAATCCGGCGAGCCGCTGGAGAACTGCTTCGATACTTGGAAGAAGGATGGGCAGGAGGACCTTCGTGAGAACTGCTCACAGAAGACGTCGGTCACCGAGGTGGTCGATGGTTGGCTCGATGCCCTGCCCGGCTGCAACCCACTTCAGTATGGTCCGGAGAAGGCCGTCATGAAGACCAATTGCGGCGACACTGCAACCATCAACTCCGATGGCGCTTCCAGTGCTGGCACTTCCAGCTCCGCTGCTGCCTCGGCTGCCGATAGCTCATCTTCGGAGACAGCTTCAGCCCAAGATGCCCCCGTCGCGACCGCCAACTCTGCATCGATTTCCTCCTCGAAGACGTCTCTTGCTGTGACGCCTGTCGTCACTGAGGAAGCAGCCTCCACCACTGACAGCAACGGGAACGTCGTGTACGTCACTGTCACTTCCTACTATACCGCCTATGACGCCGCGCCAACGGCCTCTGCTGCTGCTACATCTGCGTCCAACGGCAATGTCACGCTCCCTGATGGCTGGACGAGCTCAGGCTGCCATAGCGATGCCGTCTCTTCGCGTTCTCTGTCTGGGAAGGTGCTCGCTTACTGGGGCGAACCCATCACGTCATCTGGCTGTGCGAAGTATTGCAACGAGCAAGGATTCAGCATTGCTGGTACCGAGTATGGTGAGCAGTGTTTCTGCGGTAACACCCTGACCCAGAGCGAGGTGCTTGACTCTACCAAGTGCGATATGGAGTGCAAAGGTGCTGCTGGAGAAATCTGCGGTGGAGAGGGAGCTTTGAGCATCTTCCTGAAGGATGGAACGAGCCTCAAGAGTAGAAAGAGGAGCCAGCACTTCCACAGGCATGTTGGCGGCGGCGCGAGCGTCCGCAGAGGGTTCTTCTAAGGCATGACAGCTCCGGGGTGGAGATTGAAGCGTCGGGGAGGCCTTTTTCTTCTTCTTCTTCATTTCCCTCCACTTCCTTCATCTCTTCTGAGATTTGCCTTCGAGGTGTTTAGAATTTCTCTTCTTCTTCTATGACTCCTTTTTCTTCTACATGATGATAGGCATATGCCTTGATGAATTATGAGTACAACGGCTCTGCTATGGCCTTTTCATTCGCTTCACGATAAAACCTCCTTTTTCGAGTTGACGACTGGATAGAGGGATGTGGCATTTCAAGCTAGTGCGAGTTTGTGCAATTTAGTACAGCTCAGTATAAACGCCTGGAACATCAAACAGTCTCGTGCGAGGAGAACGAACGTCATATGTAAGCTACAACGTAAACTATACCGGTGTAGCGTATAGAAGTAGGGTGGGAGCACTTAATTTGTACGCTTTCATGATGCACAGTTCTCCACCAGCCTAAAATAATAATGGGCTCCGGCTAGATATCGACAAGGGTTGTAAACCGGCCTCTTCCTTGCTTCGCCTGGCCTTGGCCCCCAGCCACAACCCCGCCCGCTCCGCGTGGTGATCGTTACACGAGAGTGCAACGACTTGACCACCGTTCCGCCTTCTTGCTTCTACACTCTGTAGCTACTCCTCTGGATCTCTGGCATATGAGTCACTGACTTGTCGCCCTTTCCACCCGGATTTACAACACCACCCGCGCGCAGCCCTCGTGTCATCCTGCTATCTACAGCTACCCGTCTGCCTGCGCCGTGCCCATTCCGCAAGGCTATTTCCGCAGAGGACAGCGAGGGTTACTCTAATTTTTCAGAACAAAAAGGAAAAGAGGAGCCCCGCTGCAAGACCAGTGCACGAGAACCACGGGAAATCCCGCCAGGACGTCAGTCAGCCATGGGCCATACGGACGACGACGCAACCGCCGCCCTCCACGTGCCTCCAGAGTTGGAATCCTGGTTCAATGCCACCCTTCTCTCGCCGGCCACCACCGACCCCCGGCACCGGGGTCGACGCGGGCACGCCCACCACACCACCGACCCGGACTGGGACGACCGGCTCCTGCGCTGCTGGCGGCTGCAAGCGTGCGGCTCGTGCCTGAGCAGCGATGCGCGATGCGGATGGTGTCCTTATGTCAGTGTTTTTGTTTTTTTTCTTCCTTCCTGATTCCCCAGCTACCCTCTCCCATTCTCCCGTCCATTTCGTATCCCCCTCCCCTTCCATTCAACAGGGTGAGGAAGAAGAAGAAGAAGAAGAAGAAGAAGAAGAGGCCAAAAAAAAGAAAGAAAGAGAGAAAGGATCGACGACAAGAGGAACTACCTAGCCCAACCCGCTCATAAGACAAGACCTCACCACACCTCACACCCCCACACGTACATACGTCCATACCCACCCACTGACCGCGGCGCCACGCACCACACTATCACAGTCATCCACCTGCGTCCCGCTCCCCACCCCCAGCGCCCACCGCTCATGGGCCGCTGCCCCGGCGCTACTCGCGCCCCTCGCCCACGCGCACATCTGCCCCCTCGCCCCAACCGAGCGCTTCGAGCTGCGCACCGCCGCGCTCGGCTGCGCCGTCTCCACCACGACCGCCCTGACCGCCGCCGGCGCCTTCCTGTGCGGCGTCGCCGCCGTCGCCGCCGCGCTGGGCGTCGCGTGGGCGGGCGCGCGGCTGGCGCGCGCGGCGAGGCGGGCCCGGAACGGGGTCGAGGTGAGGGTCGTGGAGGGGGGGATCAGGGGGTGGAACGGGGAGGTGTGGCGCGAGGAGGGGGTTTGGGTGAGGGAGAGGGAGGGGGGGAGACTGCTGGGGAGGAGGGGGCCGGGCGGCGGCGGCGGATGGTGGAGGGGGCGCCGGCGGCGGGGGGAGGAGGAGGAGGGGGGCGGTGGTGGTGGTGGAAGGGGAGGGGGAGGGGAAGGGGAGCGGACGGCTTTGCTGCGCCGGGCATGATGTCGATGTTAGATTTTTGTAATCCGTAATCAGGAAATCATTTGATGCAGAGAATAATGTGTATGTTTTTTGAGTCCAGGTGTGTGTAGACTTTCGGCTTTGCCGAGGTCCGAATTCGGTAGATCCGCAACTCTCGAGAGGGTGACGGCCGCCTGCTTGCCGCAAACGACACATCCAGAAGAAAGATTACCTAGAGCCGCGGTGCAGAGCGGATGATGGTGTTGAACTCAGCTGATTTCGCCACTGGTTTAGTAAGCAGACCCACATAGCTCGTGACCCTCCATCGACGTCACTGCCTCGGATGCCCTTCTAGAACACGGATACGCGCTGTAACCGATAGCCGAAACGCTGATGTCCGAATCATGCAGATGATACACCGTCGAACACCATTAATTATGGGCCACGCGCCCGCTGAGTCGCCGACTACTACGTATATAAACCTTGAGCCCCGCAGTGATATACCAAATCGCACCTCGGGTTGATCCACTAATCAACGAGTCTTGAAACCATGCCTCTCGTCGTCCACCACCTTCAGCGCTCCCAGTCGGACCGTGTCGTCTGGCTGTGCGAGGAGCTCGGCGTGCCCTACGAGCTCAAGATCTACCAGCGCGATCGCAAGACTCTGCTGGCGCCACCAGAATTGAAGGCCCTGTATGCTCTTGATCCGCGCCAACGGTCAACCCTCCAACGGACTCTCGCTGACAAAACCCCCGCTTTCCAGCCACCCGGCCGAGACGGCGCCCATCTTCGAGGATGGCGAGCTGAAGATGTCCGAATCCAGCGCCATCATGGAGTACATCATGACCAAGCACGGCAACGGCCGCTTCAAGGTGCCGCCGAGCGCGCCCAACTACGCCGACTACGTCTACTGGTTCCAATGGTCCGTCGGCACGCTGCAGCCCAGCATCCAGACGCCCATGACCCTGCAGCTGGCCGGCCTCACCGATAGCTCGATCCCCATCGTACAGGCCATGCAGGCCCGCGTCGCCAGGACCCTGAAGTGGATGGACAGCCGCCTGAAGGAGAAGCCGTACCTGGCAGGCGACGACTTCACCGCCGCCGACATCTACGCCGCCTTCACCGTCTCGACCATGCGCCTGTTCTGCCCCTTCCCTCTGACTGGTTACGACGGCATCCTGCAGTGGCTCCAGCGCTTGGCCGAGCGGCCGGCCTACAAGGCCACCATCGAGAAGGCCGAGAAGGGCGAGGACCGCGGAGTGGTACCGACCATCATGGCCGAGGCGCCGACGGCAATGTGGGCGTTTATCGAGAAATAGAGCAATTGGCATTCCAGGTGGATACATCTGAATCGAACCCAGAGTCCCCATCACCACCCGTAGCATCGCTTGTTGTATGCCAAATCAGTGACTGAAGACACCACCATATGTATGCCTCGATCTGTCCCAGAAACCCACCCGAACATCCACCCAGTATCCCCCCGCTCGAGAAGAGCCCATGCCACCCGCACAAACCCCCCAAACCCGCCTTAGCTCTTCCCAGCACCACCCCGGCCCGTCGGCGGCGGCGGCGGCGACGACGGCGACGGCGGCGATGACTTCGCCTTCCCCCCACGACCAAACAGCCTCCCCACCCCCCTCCCCACCGGCACCAGCACCGCCCTCGCAAACCACGGCGTCCCCCACAAGCTCACGGCCAGCCTGACGGGCAACAGGGCCTTCGTGACGGCCCAGGCCGTCGCCACCTCGACCAGGACCCTCACGCCGCCCTCGCCCCAGCCCCACGCGGCGCCGGCGCCGCGCCTCAGCCGCGACGCCCTCGCGCCCTCCTCGAGCTCGGCGACCGCCTCGTCGTCGTCGCCCGCGGCGATCCAGCCCTTGCGGCGGAAGTAGCGCCCGAAGCGCTCGACGCCCTGCTTGACCCACGCGCCCTCGGACACGTACGGCGGCAGCCAGTCGGCGTAGTGGAACGCCGCCGCGAGCCCCACGAGCGGCACCACCGCCGTCACCTCGTGCAGGACGAGGAAGGCGGCGACGTGCGTGAGCGGCGCGCGCCGGAGCGGCGAGAGGCGGCGTTGCAGGCGGCTGGGGACTGGATCGGTCGGGTGATGGATGTTAGCTACGTAGCTCGAGCGGCACTTGTTTGTATACCTAGGTCGATTCGGAGACGGGGTGGATCATCGGGGTGTATGTCTTGTACGGATGATGCCAAAGGCAAAAAAGGCGTGACGGATGGGGAGACGAGGGAAGGGAAGCTTACGGCGCGACATCACGCGGTCGAGGCGCGATTGCTTGCGAGCCGCTGCCGCTGCCGCCGTCCCTTCTTCCGAAGTCTCGGACGGAGGTGGCGGGGTGTTCTTGGCCGAGAACGGCCGTCTAGGATTGGCATTGCTTGCGCGGGGGAAGGAAGCTCTCGGGCGCACCAGTGGGCGCGATGCGAGTGCTCTCATGGCGGCCAGATGGTGATTGGGATAGAAGGTCGAGGCATGTCGAAAGGTGCGCGGGTGTTTGGGCGGGTCTGACGTATGCGCAGCTTCTAGGAGCTTGGGCCATGTGCAGAGATACTTTGTCATCCATCGTTACTGTATGTATGTACAATCATAGGCAGCCCTTTGAGAGTCAATCGGCTCTACGCTATATTACACCTGACTCTCCTCTTTTTGGTTTATGCAGTGTCGCCTTAAAAGGAGTCGAACGCCTTGCTCGTGCTATGTACACTTCGCCCTGCCCGTGGAAATCCCGCCAATTGCTTCAGCCCGCCAAATCCTTATTCCGCCAGCAGAAGACGCCAGAGAGCATCCTGTTCTACATAGTCATGGTGGATGATGTTGACCAGCCAGTAGTCGTCTCGGATATGTCCGAGCAAGTTCGCCGTTGCCGATCGAGGCGGGTAGATGTGCCGCCATTCCGACCAGATGCTGAACGCCTCCTCGAGCCATGCCCGGAAGGAAACCGACTCGATGATTGTAGGAGTCACGATCTCTTTACCGGCAAAAGATCCCCAAGTTACCGGGTTGACTGAATCCTCGTCGTTGGACGAATACTCTCCCGCGTGGTTGCCCGCAAAGTACGTCACGTCTGACAATTCGTCCAGCTTTGCTTGCAGCTTCGTCCAGTCAGCTGAGGAGAGGAAAAACTCGACGAAAGGCTATGACACGTCAGTGGTCTTCTCGTATGTGCTCATGCAGAAGTGGCAGCTCATTACCTTTTGGAACACATAACCATTCTTGGGGCCCCAGCCGAATATGGCATCCGTGCTTTTGATGCCGTTTACAGCCGGCTGGCTCGCGACGGACCACCACCCCTTCGCAATCAGCTTTAGTAACTGATCACGAATCGTCTCCGTCTCCTCGTTCAGCCCCTCCTCGCTCCAAGGTATCGCCTCGAGGTCGCCCATGATATGGCGTCGGAAAATGTCGGATATGTCTTCCACTGTTGTCGGGTACTTCCAAAGTTTAATTGCTTGCGGAATCGAAACGTGCAACGACACTCCATAGCCGTCGATTTCACCAAACGCTGTGGTGGTGCTTGTTAGGTAGCTTGATCCCGTGTCGAAATGGAAATGCACTGACCTGGTGATCTTGCGTCTCCCCATCGGCCATTCGGGAAGTCATCCCAGGTGGCCTCCCTGCCCAACGTTCCTTCACCCTCCGAGATGGCTAGCGTGTTGGCTCTGGTCATGATCTTGTCCTTCGGGACGCCTACTTCATCCGCCAGCGCTTCGTAGCTCTTGTTGCTAGAAGTCGATGGGCGGTCCACCACGACCCGATTGTGCGGGGTCGAGTTGGCTGAAGACAAGCGTCTCCTGTTCTTGACCTTGAGAGAATCACTCGGCGCGCCACCGTTCACAGGGATGTCATCAATCGTCACCGCTTCCTCGTCGTCACCGCCCGGCGATATGGCAGTTATCAGGTGACAGCGCTCGACTATATGAGCGACTGCCTTTTCCAAATTGAGAGTGTAGAAGTGGAAGCCCCTCGGACCTGGGTTCGGCCGCGCTTTGAGCTCTTCAACGACCTCACTCAGTATGTCCACGCCCACGCTCTTCACTGCTTCGTCATCGCCCTTGACGGCGTCAAGACGTTCGAGTAATGCGGGGGGAAGCTTCGCGTGGCTGAGCTTCGTTGTGCGGCGGAGGATCTGGTAGCTCTGGATTGGCATCAGGCCAGGAATGATGGGCATCGTCTTGAACACGCCCGAGGGGTCGTTACGAAGCATGGTTTCGAACTCCTCGTACGCCTTGATGTCAAAAAAGAGCTGCGTCATGATGAAATCGGCGCCAGCCTTGGTCTTCTCGATCAGGTAGGGCAGGTCGAACTTGGGATCCTGCTTGTCCGGGTGGGACTGGTCCGAGTGGCCCTCGGGGTATGCGGCGACACCAATGCAAAAGTAGTCGTCGTATTTACTGCGGATGTAGCGAACCAGATCAACAGCCCAGGTAAAGTCCTTGTTCGAGTCGTTGTCGGTGCCGGCGTGGCCCTCGCGGTACTCCTCGCTACGAGGCGGGTCGCCGCGAAGGGCAAGAATGTTCCGGACTCCCAGGGCCTTTGCCTGCTCGAGAGCATCGTCGACGAGCGAGCGACTCATGTTGGTGCAGGTCAAGTGCAGGCAGGTGGTAAGGCCGAGCTGGCGCTGCGTCAGCTCCGCGAGCTCGAGCGACTTGGATGCGGTGCTGCCGCCGGCGCCCCAGGTCACGGTGACGAACAGCGGACGCAGAGCGCTGGCCATGCGCTCCAGGCGGTTCTGGAGGTTGGCGAAGCCCTGGGCGCGAGGTCAGCGAAGGGTGGGCGGAGGGCGGGCATCGCGCGGGCATTGCGCACCATCTGCGTCTTGGGCGGGAAGAACTCGAGCGAAAAGTAGCGGCCATCGGGCGGCAGAGCGGCGAGCTTATCCGTGATCTTCTCCATGGCGGCGTGAGGGTCGATGGCAGGGTGTCTTTGCTGAGGAAGACATTCTGGGAGTTGGCTCTTCGGCGCGACGACGTGGGGCGGCAGCGGCGACTTGTACGGCTTATCTCACTGGTCAGACGGCTGCGCACGCACGGGCCTCCAATCGCTTACGTACGCAGAATGCCCTCCAGTGACGCTCCAGTGCGCGGCCGTTTGCAAAAAGTCACGCCAAGACGTCGGCGATCGGCGGTTGCAGGGGTGGTGGAAGCGGTGGAAGCGATGACCCACGGGTCCCGTCTCCGCCTGCTGCCCCGCCAGCGAACGCGCGCGGTTCCGCCGCCGAACAGTCATTTTATCTCCAACTCCCAAAGCCATCCTCTCGCATCTCCACGACCCAATTGCCCCAGCACCTCTCGTCTGAGAACACTCCAGACGACCATGGCTCAGGAGGGCAAGATTTCCATCACTCCGCTGCTCAAGCGACTCTGGCCCGACCTGCCAGTGCCCGATGCCCCGCCAATCACCGCCAACGAGATTGCTCTGGCCATTTCGCACATCTTCACCAACAGCCTTTCTCCCGTGCAGACCGGTGCACTCCTGACTGCCCTGCACTTCAAGGAGTATGACCGCAAAGCCGATGTCCTCTTCAAATGTGCCGGCGCAATGCGCGACGCCGCCGCACAAGTCGACAAGAAAGCCCTGCGCGAGGTCCTGAAGAAGAACGTGCGGAAGGAAGGAAGCTACCGCGGTGGACTGGTATGGTATGCCCGATTGCTACTGCTCGCAGTTCAGCTTCAGCCCCGAGATACGACTTCCCGCTGATTCGCTCAACCTCCTGCAGTGTGACATTGTAGGCACTGGCGGCGACTCGCACAACACCTACAACGTCAGCACAACCTCTTCCATCCTGGCCTCGTCGCTGCTCCGCCTGAGCAAACATGGCAATCGCTCCTCGACGTCCAAGTCCGGCTCCGCCGACCTGCTCGACAGCACTCAGCCGCGCGCCCCCGTCATCAGCGCCGTCACACCCTCGACGCTCCAAGACATCTACGAGACTACCAACTACGCCTTCCTCTTCGCCCCAATCTTCCACCCAGCCATGAAATACGTCGCACCCATCCGCAAGGAACTGGGCTGGCGCACAATCTTCAACCTGCTGGGGCCGTTGACCAACCCGGTCGAGGCTTTGATCGAGGCGCGCGTCATCGGCGTCGCCCGCCGCGACGTCGGCCCCGTCTTCGCCGAGGTGCTGAAGCTGGCCGGCGCGCGCAAGGCGCTGGTCATCTGCGGCAACGAGGACCTGGACGAGCTGAGCTGCGCCGGCCCAAGCAGCTGCTGGATGCTCAAGGAGCGGCCCAACCCGGACTTCCGCGGCCCCAAGGACGAGGCCGACGAGGACTACACCACCTCCGACGACGACGATGCCCCGCCGCGCACCATTGTCGCCATCGAGCACTTCGAGGTCGCCCCCGAGGACTTTGGCCTGCCGCGCCACGCCCTCACCGAGGTCAGCCCCGGCAAAGAGGCCCACGAGAACGCGCAGATCTTGATGAAGCTGCTCCGGAACGAGCTGCCGCCCGACGACCCCATCCTGCACTTTGTTCTGATCAACACGGCCGCACTGTTTGTCGTCAGCGGCATTTGCGAGGCCGACGAGAGCAGCATGGGTTCCGGCGACGACGGCAACGTCATCACTGAGAGGGGCCCTGGCGGCTGCCGCTGGAAGGAAGGCGTCAGGAGAGCGCGCTGGGCGATCGAGAGCGGCGAGGCGCTGAAGCAGTGGGAAGCTTTCGTCGAGGTCACGAATAGAGTTAAGGCGTAAAGGGTATTTATTTCTGGTAAAAAGAAAGCTCATTGAATGAGGCGGCGCTGTGTCGGGAAAGGACTTTCAATCCGACATCTCGCCATGCCTACGTTCCGACTTGTTGGAAAATCGCATAAGACTGGAGTAGAATGCAATGGTGTTCGCCAGGCGTGAAAGCTATCGCCTGGCCGCCGTAGGCCTCCGAGAATGCCCTCGAACTTTCTTCTTTGTTTTTCGTTGTGTGACTTTGGTGAACCTCTTACAACCGAGGTACGCTGAATAGCCCATGAGGGTCCGATTGTCGTTCGAGAACATTAGCTGACACAACCATTGTGGTCCTAAAGCTAGTGAGGATTTGGCTAATGGACTAACTTATGTAAAAACAGGTAAACCGGCGCCCTACGATCTTGAAAAGTTCCTCCTCCTATGCCACCTCTTGGCCGCGTATCCCATCATATAGAGGATCGCCACTATCCCTTTTATATTATTATTTTTGTACGAATACCCGTCTGTATTTTCGTTGTAGACGAGGTGTAGGTACTCTCGATCGTCGAAAATGTAATCCAGAGTTATTGGTGATTTCGTCCACGTTTCATTCTTCAGCTTGTTGATAAAGTGCTCCAACAACGAAAGGGACATACAAAGGCTTCCATATTTGTAAGCGACTGCGAGAGATTCTAAATCCAAATGTCTCAAAATGATTGTGTACGTACCATTATACTCCCGGCAGAATTACTACGGCTAGCTTAAGCTTCCCCTTTACTATATCGATATCGTACAGGTGATAAAGGGAATCATCGATGAACACGCCCACCCAGAACATAATAACCAACTGTTAAAGGTAGAGTAAATTCGAAAAATGCCTAGCCTTCCTAGGCTTATTCCAGACAAATAGTGAGTATTCGGTTGACTCTAGCCAGAAAATCATTGTCAGAAGAATAGTGCTAACAGAGGCCAGCATTATTGTGGAAAAAGCGCTTATCCTCATGATGTCCCCATAGTAGAGCCATGTAGTAAGCCCGAGCTCAACAACAGCGAGGAGCAACTGCAAACTCCGTAGAGCGTCGTTCGTGCTCAAAATGCACTTGGCGTTCTCCCCTGGTCCTAATGTTTCCAGATGTTCGGAATTTAGCCTGCGCGTTTTTCGGGTATTCGGTAATGTACCAAGCCACTGTTTGAACCAAAACCTTGTAGACCTTTGTGCCCGAATCTCTGCGTCAACGAACAATTCTGCCCATTCATCCTGAGTTCCTTTAGGGGGGCAGATGGGTCCCTGGAGAGGAGTGAGACGATGCTGCACACCAAGCTCAAGGCGATAATGAGAGCCGCTTTCATGGCTGCTACAATCACTTCGTGCTTGCTCGTCGAAGTTCGAAACCCAGAGACGATAAGTGGCACTCCAGCGAAGAGGATACTGGTTGGAAGAGCGTATAATCCAGCCTGAACAAGAATCCACGCGCGACTCAGAGAAAGTTGCTGGTCCTCGCTGAACCATGGCTTCAAAGGTGCAGGTCGCGGCCATCTAGTCATATCTGCGAACAAAGATAAGTGTTGGTGTGGTTACACAAGGGCTCATATATAGTCGAACGCTTACCGCATTCAATGTAGAGTTCGGTTCCTTCTTGGACTGGACAAGCGGCAACTTCTCCGAACCCAAGTTCCCCTCCTCGCAGGCAGGTGACATGAGCACGAGATTGCCAGCTGGCCAGCATTGCGTTATTGCGTCGTCTTCGTATTAGGGCGCAGAATGCGGTACAAGACTCCGTTGTCAGGAAGCCATCTCTACGATACTCGGGTGGTAGCACCAGGCACCACTCATCGCCAGGTTGATAGCTTTCCAATCTAGAGTCTGGCTGCAGGCGTAGGAGCTGATGGTTCACCTCGTCTTTCAGGAGAATCCTATCCGTATTGAGTGTGCGAAACCGGTACATTTGAAACTTTGGGGTCCGTAGGGGTCCAATACATCGGCCTTCGATGTAAGTTGTGACAAAGACTGTGGGACGCATGGCGCTTGCGCCGTGAATCGCAGTTGGGACCCATTTGTTTCGAGGCTCATTTGTAGTTTTTGGTCCCTTGTTGAACAGGATTGATGCCGGAAATGTGGGGAAAACGTTCAAAATGGCTTTCATCCGTATGTTCAGTTGAAGCAAGCACATGTGTGGATGCAATTGCAACTATGGCTGGTGCATTTCTCCGCTCAGGTGCCGTTACTGGTCTCCTGAGATGATGTTCCTATTGAGCTGGAGACCTGGAGCGCGAGGCCGATTTCAGGGGTGAGGAAGGATCTTCTTGGTGCCAGGCATATCGGCTCCCTGCAGTCGCACAATTGTAAATGTCGTCATCGAGAATGCCATGCAACTGGCGCGTGTTTTGCACGCGCTTGAACCACGCGTTGATGGTCTGGACCCTCGCATTTGGCGCGTATCCATGTGCCTGTATGTTTTCATTTCCCCCCGCTCAAATAGGGTTGCCTTGTGCTTCTACTGCCTGGAATTCCAGGCAATGCAGTCCTCAAACTTGACTGCGCTGCCACCGAAAATATCCAAGGCACTTCCAATGGTCAAGTCGATATTGCCATTGCTGAGCCTCCTGACCGTTTCCAAATCCTCCAAGCTCCTACCACCGCCGGCATACGTCACTGGAATGCTGCACCACGCGGACAGCTTCCTCACGAGCTCGTGGTCGATGCCCTGCTGGAGGCCCTCGTTGTCGGCAGCGTGAACGAGGAATTCGGAGCAGTAGGGCTCGAGGAGGGATATCGACTCTGCGAAGCGTCAGGCCCTGCAGACCTCTCCAAGGGTCAACACGCTTACCTTGATTGAGCTCCATGTCGGTGATGGTCTGCCATTTGTTCATGGCGACGAACCAGGCGGCGCCTTGTCTCCTGCAGCTGAGATCGATGACCAGCTTCTCCTTGTCGCCGCCCAGCGACTCCAGGACCGCCTGCAGGCGCTCGAGCGAAAACTTGCCGGATGGGAAGAGATACGACGTGATGATGACCTACTATTCTCCCGCGTCAGCCAGTCGGTTCCCCCCCTCTTTGCCCCAGTCTTCGCTCCCCGCTCACCTTGTCCGCGCCCCTCTCTACCCACGTCGCTGCGTTCGCATCGGTTATGCCGCCGCCGACCTGCAAGCTGTTGGGCCACGCCCTCACAGCCTCGGTCGCAGCGTCCTCATTTCCGGGGCCAAGCATGATTACGTGCGCGCCGGCAAGGGCGTTGTCCCTGTAGAGCTTCGCGAAGTGGGCGGCCGGCAGCTCCGAGACGTGGTTGGTCTTGAGGTCGGCGTCGGTGGTGGTCAGCGTGCCGCCGACGATCTGCTTGACAGAGCCGGCGTGCAGGTCGATGCATGGGCGGAAGCGCGTCATTGTTCCAGTGTTCGTTTCGGTTTGTGAGGTTCAAGAGATGATGGGGTGTGCGAATTGACGAGCGACTGCGAATGGTGGGGCGCGCCGTGTACCTACCAGACCTACCAGACCCCGCCCGCCGCGGGGGTCTTCGGCGGGCGACTTTTTTTTATGCCGCCAGCCGGCCGCCAGCCGCCGCCCGCCCCGCCACCGCCCAGTGCACGCAACTCACAGAATTAGAAAATCAAGTTAGGCGCACAGAACATGGATTATCACGCCACTCGTGGGAGAGATGGAGCTGGGAAAGCCAAAGTGAACTGCAAGAAGCACTCAGGGCTGCCACGTCCGCTCATAAACACCGACCCAAGAGCCCCAGCCGACGACCTTGCCCTTGATGGCTTCTGCAATCTTCGACTTGCCAACCTTGGAGCCCAGAGCCTGAAGATCGAGAGGCTCGCTCAACGCAACAAGCTCGTAGAAGTACCGATGCGGACCATGGCCAACAAGCGGCCTTGGGCCTATGTAGTGTTTCCCCCGAATGTTGGGTATCCAACGAAACCCGCCTTGCAAGGCATTCGCATCCAAGAGCTGGATGTCCCCATTCGTGACCTGGGTCGTCTCTGCCGGGATGGCGTAGAAGAGACAGTGGGCAATCGGGAAGGGGATGGGCGCGTCTGCATCCTCACAAACGAGCATGTACTCTTTGACGTCAAGGTGAGCTGGCTTCGTCCAGGTCAAGTGTGGGAATTCCTCCTTGCCGTCCTGGGTAAGGTCGACGGCCATGTGCGATCCTGACGGGCCGCTCTGCGAGCATTCGATTGTCATGTTCGGCTCCGGGAGACGGGCGAAGGCAGCCGACTTGATGAAGAGTTTCGCATCATGAGCTCGGATGCTGTAGAACAGCCTGGACAGGTAGTATTCAATGTACTGTAGGATTCCCATGGTTGGCGTGAAGACAGTCTATCCCGTCTTGAGATTTGGAATGGGGTTTGCTGTGGAATGCGACTTGATCAACTTATAGGGCTGTAGGCATACCGGAATCGAGGCTGAGGGTTGCGATGCGTCGCAGCAAAGGTGGACGAGTGGAACTCTTATTATTTAACCCCTCATGCCCTTCCACCTGAGACAATCAGCACTAAGCGTTGGAGATGTGGCGAATGATGCAGCGATGGAGCCTATTCGCTGGGGCCGGGCGGCGAGTGCTGTTTAGGATCGGGGCAGGCGCGGGTCGGACGCTCCGTTCCGCCGACCCACATCAACCGGGCTTGTCATCCTGGACATTGGCTTCTTTGCCCTGTGCCGATGTCTATGTTTCCTTTTTCCTCCTGCTTGCCAATAGAATTACAAGATGACGTGGCATGAAACTCCCCGGATCCAGCGGGTGGCATTCTTCAAGGTTCCACGAATATGTGCATTCCGAGGAAAGTCCCAGAACAATTCCCGCATCCGGTAATCATATAAAGCGGGAAGACATGTTTTGTTTCTTCTCGGGAAACCAATCACCAACCACAGGGAGAATGCCGCATGTTCCAAGCGTAAACATGCCTAGTAAACCTTCCGGCATCCTACAGCTCCACCAGTGAAGCCGAAGAAACCCAAACTGCCACCTCCCAGAGGCTCAACAGACACAACAAAAACAGCCCGGCTCAGAGCCACCCACGGCCACCCCCTCAATATCCACACCCCCTCCCCCTCCCATCCCATCCCATCAACCTATTCGCCACATCGTTCACATAACTCACCGTCCCCACCCCACCCGTCTCATCGTAATCGCTCGCATCCACCACCTTGCCCGTGTTGAACGCGCGCAGCGCCCGGAACGGCTGCCCCCCGCCCGGCGCCCCCATGTTCGCCCACGCCTCGCCGTCGGCGCCGTTGAACAGCCACGCGAAGCCGGGCCCGCCGTCGGGCCAGCCCCCGGGCGTGCCGAGCACGCCGTTGCGGATCATGGTGCCGATGCTGGACGACGGGTGCGCCGCGTCGAACGAGACCGACCCGGGGCTGGCCTGCATGATGCCGCAGTTGCGCTTTTGCTCGCCCGTGCAGCGCACCCCGAGGTCGCCGCTGGACTGTGTTTTTTTTCATGGTGTTCTTGGTTAGCCTGCTGGCGGCTTTCTCTCTCTCTCTCTCTCTCTCTCTCTCTCTCTCTCTCTCTCTCTTACCTCCTGCACGATTATGGCGAGGATGATGCGCGCATCGGTTTTCGTCTGGGCCGCAATCTGGAGGATCTTCTTGCGCAGGATTCGGTTGTTGGCGGCCGAGTTGTGTGAGCGGAGAGCTGGCAGGTTGATGTCCCAGAGAGTGTTAAACGACGCCCAGTCCGTGACATATGGATAATTGGCTCCATGGAAGCACTGGTAGTCGGGTGGATTGTCTACAACGGCTTTCGCCACACCCGGAGAATAAGGCCTATACCAGGCGAGGGAGTCCTTGTTGGTGATCTTCTTGAAACCGTCAAAGGAAACATAACGTTTTGGAAAAGTAACGAGAGCCGGAGCGGCTGAGACGAATTCTGTGAAGAAGGCTAACACGAGAGCCCAGAACTGTAGGGATATCATTATTGCGAACAAGGCTTGGAGATGTTGTAACGAGTGACTGTACTCTTTTTGAATAAAGGACGAAACTCGCGTGAAGCTGCAAGTCGCGATGAAAACGAAAGCCAGGAATATGTGTTGAGGATCATGGTGGAGAAATATGCTTTATCGATCTTTAGCTTGACTGTCAACACCGCAAACATGGAGCCTTTGTGGACAAGGCGGATGCTCAAGAAATTAAAGTCGGAGTCCAGCTCGTCGATTTTTTGACAACGCAGACGGATCTAGACAGTTACTCATGGCCCTGAATACCTTGAGCGGTAGAGTTTTGTCTCCTAAGCGATGTTTTGCAAAACGCATTCGGGAGTAAAGAATTCAACAGAAGGTAACAAGCCTGACCAGCAGTGTCTCCATTTCATGGTATACCTAGAAATGGAAGGCTGTACAAAAAGACAAGCGGGATTGGCGGCAAACATTGCATTCTTCTGACCGAGAACATTGCTCCGATGCCTAAAGTTGCCACTCGTCAACGTAGAAAGCAGAAACGAGTGTATGCCTTGGGCAGGCAAACAGTAAATACCAAATATTCGAGTATCAGCAGCGGTGCTGAATCACCGAGGGTATCGTAGTAGAAGTTCCTTGCTGTCGCAGCGAGCGCTCCGGATTTGTTGCATTGCCAAAGGCGACGACTCGGGGAGCAGGTCACTGGCCCGACACTTCCTGTATGCCAGCTCCAGCTTTCGTCTTCTTTTTCCCCATGAGCTTGGCAAGGACGTCCTCCTCCCTCGACTCCTGGCTGTCTTCACCAGTATCCATCTCGTCGTCGGCGTCGGCGTCTTCATTACTTTCACTGTCGCTATCCATCTTGTTCGGATCTCTATCCTTTAGTACACCGAGGCCCAGATTTAGTTCGATATAGCTCTCATCGCCTTCTCCCACATTTTCCAGGGACATTGCTGCTAGCTTTCCTGCAGCGCGATCTCTCTCAAGCTCGTCGTTTGCAGCAGCCAATTGCGGCAGGAATGCCTTCAGACGCTCGCCAAGTGCTGACGATGGGGGAGCTTGTCGCTGGTAGATTCTACGGCGAGCCTCGGCATCGGGCGGTAGAGGTAGCGATGTAATCTCTTCCGTATCCATAGGCGTGTCTTCTTCGTCTGACTCGGAGCTGGGCTCCTCGGAAGATGTGCTGACGACGCTCGAATCCGACTCGGCATCGCTTGCCTCACCCATAGAGTGATCGCCGTGCGCGGGGGTAGTCGCAGTCGCGGTCGCTGCAGCGGCGGGCTTGACGGCGGCGGCGCTTTCGCCGCTCGATAGCGACGGACTCGACTTGCGGTGGGTTCGGCGTGGAAGAGTGGCGGCCGTTTGGGGCGCTGCGTCGGCAGAGAAGTCTCCACACAGCTCTGGCTTGCTGGCCATGATTTCTGGGTTATAGAGGTACTCGGTGGTGGAGATGATCTTCTCTGGCGTGTGGCTGGCGGTCGGCGAACATTTTCGACCGGGGTGGCCGCAATTCTGCCAGGGCGGTCAGAAGGCGGGTGGGTGGACCCTGTCGGAAGCCCGGAGGTACCTAGGCCAATCGAATCACTAAGGAACTAGTAATAATGTAATAGTCAGCCTAGTAGCTAATAGTGCCCCAATAACTCTATATCTAGAGCTGTGCCATAACAAACCCCAAGCATTCGATCAAAGTGACGGACACTGTATAATCCCGATTCTGCAGTACCACTAAGCATCGAATACGGCAGTCCTGACCTTGGCCAATCTCATTCATGTGGTTCTGTAGCAGGACCAAGACGTTCTAGAGTGAGCTGGCAAAATGGGATTTCATATCTTATTCGTAAAAGCCCAGATACCTCATGCTCGTGAACAAGCTAAGGATCTTTATATGACTGCGTGAGCAGCCTTATTACTGTATGCCTCCTCCCCTCCCAAGGTGGTGCCTATAATGCAGGCTGACGACCAGGCGGAAAAGGACAGTGATTAACTTCGCATCCGCCCTGAAGCCCGACTCAAACCGCCTCCCCTGCCCCACCCCTCCTCCCATCCTTCCACCCCCCTCTACCCTTCCCGCCGCCGCCACCCCTTCCGCGTCTACCCCCACCCGCATCCCCTTTCATCCCCCCAACCCCACCATCCCCCACCACAACCCCATCCCTCACCAACACCCGTCCCAACTTCCTATCCTCGACCCTCTCGAAAAACTCCACGCCCAACACCCCTCCCTTCTCTACATCCCCTTCCGTCAAGATGACCCCATTCGCACTGCGCCAAAACGGCACGCCCGCAGCCAGCGCCTTCCTTAGATCGACATACACGAGCACGCGAGACGAGTTGCGCATGCCAGAGATGACGGGCGGTGGCTGGACGACATCCTTTACCTCGCCCTCGCCCTCGCCCTGAGCCGCCGCAGCCGGAGCCTCGCCCTCAGCCTCAGCCTCAGCCGCCGCGTCCTCAATCCTGGCAAACCCCCTCGGCAGCCCCGGCGCCAGATGCACGTGGTTCCTCCCCATCGGCTTGAGTCCGCCCGCAGCGAGGATGGCCGGCCAAGCCGCGGCCGTGGTCCCGTGGACGCACATTGCGGGGAAGTCGTCGTCGGTTTCGGCAGTCAGCGGCGCGAGGAGGCCTTCGCTCGCGACGGACGCCATGCTGTGGCCCTGGTTGGCGCGGATGAGGAAGCGGGCGGGGTCGGAGTCGTCGGAGTCGGCGGAGTCGGGCGTCGTCTCGGAGACGGGGATGAGGGAGAAGCGTTGCTTGTCGTTGGCGGCGACGATGGCGCGGAGCTCGGCGAAGCTGACGTGCAGCGACTTCATCGTGTTTGTCTGGAGCAGCGCCCGCACCGACACGTACCCGCCCTCGCCCAGCGTCAAGCCTTCGGCCTCGGCCGAGTGGCGCAGGATCCGGCTCATCTTCTTCGACACCTGCACCTCGCGCGGCAGCGCACCGCCTCCGCCTCTTCCTCTTCCTCTTCCTCCTCTGCTGCTACCCCCGCGGGGGGACGACATGGTGCGACGACCTGCTGCTGAGGCTGCTGCTGCGCGGAATGGTGCGAGGCGATGAATGGTGGCGGTAGACAGAAAGCATAGGTGGATGTCACGTGATGGGTTTGGTGCTGCTGTGATGGGGGATAGGACGAAAGAACCCGTTGGTGATGGCTTGCGAGCGGTGAGGATGCTGTCGGATGGTGATGCCTATTTGTGTTGCAGGTTGTGGATGGAGGAGGTGTTGGTGTCGTCGAGGCGCGGGGCAACGAGTGAGGAAGGAAGTCCGACTGGCATGCATGACTCATGCAAGGGTCTTGCGGCAACGAGTTTTTCGGCCGCGCAGTGATGATCCATTTCGCTCACCGCGCCTCGCGGCATGACTGCAAGTATTCATTGTGTAGCTGCTTGGTCGTATGTTTCCACATCATTGGCAACTATGGTCTTCACTAATAATGACTCTCCATCGCACTCTTCACGCTTCATCTCAACAACACCACCCGTGGTATCTATCCGAGCACCTTCCCTCCCGCTCCAACCAACAACCATCCGCTTGGCGATTCGAGACTCGTCTGACTTGCGGCTATCTGCTGGTGCAAACATGGTTCTCCATTGGCCTCCCGCCCAGCTTTTCAGAAAGGCCACGCAAAACGCCTCATAGCCCGCAGTCGAGGTAGCCCCTACTTAAGCCGTGCCTGCCGTGCTATCGGCAGTGCCCCCTCCACCGCTGACTGATCGCCGCCGCCCGCCAACCATGGCCGCTCCAGTTGTCCACAAGACCTCTGGCGGAAACGCCGCCTTCCACAACTTCCACAACGACTTCGGTACGCTTTTTCCCCTTTGCGGCATCGACTCTGACGACTGATGCTTGCTCATCATCAGCCCACATTGCGGATCCCAACGAGCGCAGGCGTCTCGCCCTCGCCGAGATCGACAAGGCTCCCTTCGGCTGGTACCATGTGCGTGCCGTTGTCGTCGCCGGCATTGGCTTCTTCACCGATGCATACGACATCTTCGCCATCAACCTGGCCACTCCCATGCTGGGCGTCGCCTACTGGAACCACAACAAGGGCCAGATGCCCGAGCCCGCCGACACTGCCATCAAGCTCTCGACCAGCTCCGGCACCGTCATCGGCCAGGTCGGCTTCGGCATTCTGGCCGACATGGTCGGCCGCAAGAAGATGTACGGTCTCGAGCTCATCCTGATCATCTTCGCTACCCTGGCCCAGGCTCTTTCTGCCCCCTCCGAGTCCATGTCCATCGTCGGGCTCCTGGCCTTCTGGCGTGTGCTCATGGGCATTGGCATTGGTGGCGACTACCCCCTGAGTTCCATCATCACCTCCGAGTGCGTAGCCATGGTGGCCCCGTCGTAGCCGCCACTTTGTCTCTGACTGAACCGCAGGTTCGCTACCACCAAGTGGAGAGGAGCCATGATGGGCTCCGTCTTTGCCATGCAGGGTTTCGGCCAATTTGGCGCCGCCATCATCGCCCTCATCGTCACCGCCGGCTTCAAGGAGTCTCTCGAGACGGCCTCGTCGGCCGCCACCTGCACCGGTGTCTGCTCCCTGGCCGTGGACAAGATGTGGCGCGTCATCATCGGCTTTGGCGCCGTGCCCGGCTGCATCGCCCTCTACTACCGTCTGACCATCCCCGAGACGCCCCGCTACACCTTCGACGTCGCCCGCAACACTGTCAAGGCCGGCTCCGACGTCAAGGCCTACAAGGCGGGCGAGCACCAGGGCCACCCCGACCAGATCACGCGTGTGCACGCCATGACCGAGGACGCGCCCCAGTTCGATGTGCCGCAGGCATCGTGGCGCGACTTTCTCGCCCACTACAGCCAGTGGAAGTACGGCAAGGTGCTGCTGGGCACTGCGGGCTCGTGGTTCCTCCTCGATGTCGCCTTTTATGGACTGGGCCTCAACAACACCATCATCCTGACCCAGATCGGCTACGGAACGAGCCACACCAAGAACATGTACCACTACTTCTTCAACTCGGCCGTCGGCAACCTCATCCTCATCTGCGCCGGCTCCATCCCCGGTTACTGGTTCACGGTCGCAACCGTCGACACTGTCGGCCGCAAGCCCATCCAGCTCATGGGCTTCACCATCCTCACCATCCTCTTCTGCATCATCGGCTTCGCCTACCACAAGCTCAGCTCCAGCGGCCTCCTCGCCCTCTACGTCATCTGCCAGTTCTTCTTCAACTTCGGTAAGCTCCACCCTTTCCCTCTCCGCTGATGTCCTTACAGCATCCCTGCCTTCCTCTCTCTCCCCGGCCTCCTTGACTAACCACCTTTTTTTTTTCTCTCAAGGCCCCAACGCAACGACCTTCATCGTCCCCGGCGAATGCTTCCCGACGCGCTACCGCTCGTCGTCGCACGGCGTGTCGGCGGCGTCGGGCAAGATGGGCGCCATCATCGCCCAGGTCCTCATCGGCCCCCTGCGCACGCGCGGCGCCACGGCCGACGACGCCTCGCCCTGGCTCAACCACGTCATGCAGATCTACGCCCTCTTCATGTTCCTCGGCATCGCCACCTCGCTGCTCATCCCCGAGACCAGGCGCAAGACGCTCGAGCAGCTGGCCGGCGAGGTGCCCGGCACCCCCGAGTACGATGCCCGCCACGCCGGCGGCGGCGGCGCCAATGGCAACGCGCCGCGGCAGGGAAGCGAGGGTGATGAGGTCATGGCGTTGGGAGAGGAGGGCGGGGTCGCTAGTGAGTCGTATGAGAAGGGTGAGGCGGTGTAATAAGTAGGGATGGTATGGGACGGCATGGGATGGCGTGGGGGTGGAGTAGGATAGGATAGGATGTGGTATCCCGGTTTTTTCTTGTTTTCTTTTTGTTGGTTTGCCTGAATAACTCTGGTCGGGGTTGCAACGGGTTTTGGGGGGAGGGAGGGAGGGAGGGAGGGAGGGAGGGAGGGAGTTCTTCCCCTGTTACAAAATTATTCTACGACATCTTTGGGAAGGTTGACTGGGTTGGCTTAATATACCAGTAGAAGGGAAGTGGACAGGAAATGGTAAGGAGGCGATGATAAAACGATTCAACTGCCTACAACTAGTTCATTGGGATTGGCCACTGCGTTTGTCCTCCGTAACGATATACTATCTTCTGTCAAAACGGTCGTGATTGGCCAACCCCTCCCCATCATCACCTCAAGCATCGTGTATACAAACAGCCGTAGCTATAACAGTAGAAGAACAAGAAAACACAAAATCGATGCGCGAATCCATCGTCCCATCTCCCGCACTGCGTTAATCCGCAAGCTCTGCCGTACCGCAATGATGTGCCGTCTTTTACCGCCCGGCCACTCGCCCAAATGGATCGGCGGGAAGGGGGCATGGAGGGAGAGAGAGGCAAGCCAGTTGGTAAGACATCGACGATCTGAATCCGGCACATAGCCCACTTAACGCACGCGACCGTTATCACCGTCCTTCACCGGCCCTCCTCCCACGGGGAAGTACTGCTTATTATTGGGGTTAATGCTCCAGTGGATGACCGCCTTGCCGATCCTCTCCTCGAGGTAGCCGCCCTTCTTGCACTTTTTGATGATGGTCATGTAGGCTGCGACGCACTCGCCCTCGCCGAGCGAGTATGATTTGTTAGCAGCGCCGTAGCCCTCGCCGTTCACGACCTTATTGTCAACGTGGAAGATGTACCACACGATGGAGATCTCCCTCTGTTTGACCTGCGACCAGATCTGGCTGCCCCACTCGATGGAATCGCCCGCGTACTTCTTGCAGAACTCTTTCGCTCTCTTCCGCATCTTCGAGCGCATCCCGCGCCACCCTTTTAGGCACTTCAGGGCCATCTGCTCGGTCTGGGCGGGGGCCTGGGCGGCGTCCTTGGCGGGCTTGTCGTCGTCTTCGTAGTCGTCGTCGTCCTTGTCCTTCTTCTTCTTGTGCTGTAGCTGATGCTCCTGCTGTAGCTGATGCTCCTGCTGTAGCTGATGCTCCTGCTGTAGCTGATGCTCCTGCTGGTGGTGGTCGTCGCGCGGGGAGAGGCCGCGTTCTGCGGCGGAGCTGGGGAAGACGGCAGGGGTTGCGCTCGCCGGGACGGCCCCCATGGTCGACGCAGCCAACAAGGCCAAAGCGGCCCAGGCCACAAGAGCTGGCCTGAAAATCATGCCGGTTGTCTCTTCGATGTGCGGCAGTGAGATGAGATGATTGGGGCTGAGTGTTGACAAGACGCGACTGGGATCTTGCCAGCCCTTTTATATTCGAAAAAAAATGCGGGATAATGCACGAAAGGAAGCAGGGGATGGACTGGGGTGGGACTGGGGGAAACTTACCAAGGGTCACTGCACTAGGCGTTGCTTTGCTAGCTGCCCTTCTGTTTACATCCCCAACGTCCAGCGAAGATGGACCTCAACTCAAGTGCCTGACATGGCATATCCTTTCGAGTGCCGTCGCAATGGCTCGGTACAGCGTGAGGCGACTTGAAGGTCTTGTGCCATCAAAATCACCATCATCGGTTTACGACCTTCATCATCGGTTTACGATGATGGTGGGAAACACTTGATATGTGCATTATTGTTGGGTTGGACATGAGCACTGATGGGTCGCATTCATTAGTGGGTCTGCTGGGCAGTGATGCTAGCCTTGACCAAGGGCGGCAAAGGCAGGTTGCTGTTCCGATGGCAATGTTGCCTCCCTGGCCGAACCCTCTCTCGTGGTGGCCGAGAAGTCCGTGATGCGTGCTTTTGCATGCGCAGCTCGTCCTCCCTGGTGTGGCGGTCGGACGGCATGGCTGCGGGCGTCAGGCGAGCAACAACGGTGTGAGTCTCCTACCGTGGGCGGGATGCAGCCCGGTTGCAGTTTGTTTGCCACGGAGAGTGCTGCGGATTCCGGAGGCGCTCACCTTTCTTCGACGAGGGCGCGACTTCCCCGTACGCTTCGACGAGCACGACAAAAGTCAATGTTGAACGTTTGGACACTTTGAAATCAGGCTTGGAAATGCTGGTGTGTTGCCGTGTCCTTTGTAATCAAACAAATTAACTTGCAACTGCGCCAGGAACGTACCGCCCCGATCTGGAAGCCGTCTTTCTTCTTTTTTTTTTTTTTGAAGTTCCGGGTTCGATTGTTCGATTCCCGCCGGGGGCGCCGCGCCGCGCCGCGCTTTCGAAGCCGGAAAGAAGAGAGAGACGCCAGATGACGCGGGATCGGTGCATGTAGGTAGAACGCGCGCGGTAGAGGGAAAACACGTCATGCGACCGCCACCTTAACCCCTCGTAGCGCGGTCGTGCCTGAGCCAATGACAGGTGGCGAGATTGCCGCTTATCCCAAAATCTTCCCCACACTCCGATACCGGCCGGCCAGCTCGTCGGCACGCCACTATTTCTAGCGGGCGGCAACCGCTGTTTCCTGTCTCAGCACTGTCAGTCCTCCCAGCTTCTTCTCTTCCGTCTCTCCTCTTCCTAGATACCCGTTCCCCACTTTCAAAATGCCCGGCGCAGTCAGAGGCCCGCGGACCCTGTACGACAAGGTCTTCGAGGACCACATCGTCGAAGAGAAGGAGGATGGCACCGTCCTTCTGTACATTGGTGCGTGGCAGCAGCTCGCCCGTCGCCGCTCGCATCGCTGACATGCTGCGCAGACAGACATTTGGTGCACGAGGTGACTTCGCCGGTAAGTGTCGCTGCCAGACGCCGCGCTGCCGATGACGTCGCGCTAACGATCGTCGCAGCAAGCCTTCGAGGGGCTTCGCAACGCGAGCAGGAAGGTCCGGAGACCCGACTGCACCCTCGTCACCACCGACCATGTAGGTTCCCGGCCATGTTGCACCGCTCCCCGCTCTCGTCCGCTGACTGACGCGCCTCCAGAACATCCCCACCTCGTCGAGGAAAAACTTCAAGGACGTCAACACCTTCATCGAGGAGGATGACTCGCGAACCCAATGCGCCACGCTCGAGGAGAACGTCAAGGCTTTCGGTCTGACCTACTTTGGCATGGGCGACAAGAGGCAGGGCATCGTCCACATCATTGGCCCGGAGCAGGGCTTCACCCTTCCCGCCACCACCGTCGTTTGCGGTGACTCGCACACCTCCACTCACGGCGCCTTTGGCGCCTTGGCCTTCGGAATCGGCACCTCCGAAGTCGAGCACGTCCTCGCCACCCAGACCCTGATCTCCAAGAGGAGTAAGAACATGAAGGTCGAGGTCGATGGCGAGCTGGCCCCCGGTGTCACCAGCAAGGACATCGTGCTCCACGTCATTGGTATCATCGGCACCGCCGGTGGTACTGGATCCGTCATCGAATTCTGCGGCTCCGCCATCAGGAATCTGAGCATGGAGGCTCGCATGTCCATTTGCAACATGTCCATCGAGGCTGGTGCGCGTGCGGGCATGATTGCCCCTGACCAGATTACTTTCGAGTACCTCAAGGGCAGGCCTCTCGCCCCCAAGGTCGACAGCACCGAGTGGAAAAAGGCCATCGCCTACTGGTCGACCCTCAAGACCGACGAGGGTGCCAAGTTCGATGAGGAGATTTACGTCAATGCCAAGGATATCGCCCCCACCGTTTCTTGGGGAACCTCGCCTCAGGACGTCGTTCCCATCACCGGCCTTGTTCCCAGCCCTGATGACTTCCAGGACGAGATCAAGAAGAAGGCCTGCGTCCGCGCTCTTCAGTACATGGGTCTCACTGCCGGCGTCCCCATGGAGGAGATTCCGGTCGATAAGGTCTTCATCGGCTCCTGCACCAATGCTCGTATCGAGGATTTGCGCGAGGCCGCCAAGATTGTCAAGGGCAACAAGATCGCTTCCAACATCAAGCGTGCCATGATTGTTCCCGGCTCTGGTCTTGTGAAGAAGCAAGCCGAGGCCGAGGGTCTCGACAAGGTGTTCCTGGACGCTGGTTTCGAGTTCAGGGAGGCCGGGTGCTCCATGTGTCTTGGCATGAACCCTGACATCCTTTCTCCCGGCGAGCGCTGCGCCAGTACCTCGAACCGCAACTTTGAGGGCCGCCAGGGTGCCGGCGGCCGGACACACTTGATGTCCCCTGCGATGGCTGCTTCTGCTGCCATCACTGGCAGACTCTGCGATGTCAGGAAGGTTGCCCCTCCCTCTGCATCTGTCGACAAGGGTTCGCCGAAGCTCGAGCTCGAGGCCAACGTCAGCGACATTGAGAGCGATGCGGATCTCGACAAGATTCTCGACGACCCGGTGGATTCTCAGGGCAACTCGGCAGAGACTGGTGCTCCTTCCAGCACTGGTGGCATGGCCAAGTTCACTCAGCTCAAGGGCATCGCCGCCCCTATGGACGTTGCAAATATCGATACCGATGCGATTATTCCCAAGCAGTTCCTCAAGACTATCAAGCGCTCTGGTCTGGGTTCCGCCCTCTTCAACGCCTGGAGATTCGACCCCGCCACGGGCGCCGAGAACCCCGACTTCGTCCTCAACAAGGAACCCTACAGGAACTCCAAGATCCTTGTCTGCACTGGCCCCAACTTCGGCTGTGGATCCTCGCGTGAGCATGCTCCCTGGTCTCTTCTCGACTTTGGCATTCTCTCCATCATCGCCCCTAGCTTTGGTGATATCTTCTTCAACAACTCGTTTAAGAACGGCATGCTTCCTATTCGCATTTCCGACCAGGCTACGCTCGAGAAGATCGCGGCCGAGGCCGAGGCTGGCAAGGAGATCGAGGTGGACCTTCCTGCCCAAGTCATCAAGGACGCGGATGGCAATGTTCTCGCCGAGTTCGAGGTCGAGCAGTTTAGGAAACACTGCCTCGTCAACGGTCTCGATGACATCGGGCTCACCATGCAAAAGCAGGACCAGATCAACAGGTTCGAGGAGAAGAGGACGCGCGAGTGGCCGTGGTTGGACGGCCAGGGCTACCTCTCGAAACACCGCACTGGTCCCGTCAAGATCGAGGCGGCACCTGTGCCCAAGACGAACAGGGGCGAGGTGTTGAAGGAGCCTTTGGAGTGGTAAAACTTGTTCGGGAGGAATGGCGTATCGGAATGGTGACGGAACAACATGGGCGTTTTACGATGGATCAACGAATGCGGAACATGGCGAGCTTCAAAAAGCATTGTCTCGTCGGTTTATTTTTTAATGGACCATTTTCTTGTCAATTGCAGCTTTCAGTTACCCCAAGTGGCAAACGATATATTCATCTACAGTACTTGCAAAAACTGCGAGGAAGCGAAGATATTAAAGAAGAATACTTTGATGCAGTAAACCTGTCATAGCATTTGCACAAGATGAAACCAAAACGCCTGATATCAGACGATAACGGCCACGTAGCTGGACCCACGCCTCCGTCGACACGCGGCATCCCACTCCCTAGACCTCTTTACTATATAACAAACGACCACAGCGCTTGCAGTATCACGGCAGGTGTGCTTTTTACTGTGTGGATCCCTTGCGACTTCCAATGACTTGCCCGCTTTCCGTTTCTTTCCACTTCTCTTTTGACGGTGATGGCCGACGCAGAATTCATCAATGATGAGACCTATATTCCGCAGCATAAAACCATAATGCGGCAGAGCAAAAACATGGCATCGCTATAATCCGCATCCTGGTAAATAGTCGACGCAAATTCCTATCGGGCGAACCATAGAGAAATGAGCCGTGGGAAGAGAGAGATACGCGACCCAGTTCCGGTGAAGGATGTCAAACTTTTTCCTGGCGCCATCGTCTTATATGGCGAAGTTTTTGGGAAGTAAAGAGGTTCGAAACTCGGTTGCTTGGGAATTATATAGAAGTGTTCGCGGGAACTCGTGATCCAGTGGTCTCTGCTCCTGTTCCCGCTCCTGCTGCCTATGTCAGTGTTGCCAACGGTGCTACCATTGTCCTCCCTGTGACGGCATCAAAGATGGCCAGTCGGGATGGTGTCCGCGGGCCGTCTCGAATACGCCCTTGCGTTGCATGACCGTGCCGCACCTGCTCCCCCAACAGCCACGCCTTGTATTTGAACGGCGAGAGAAAGTATACGGACCATGTCGTAGAGCGGACTCCCTCCAGCTGGTTCTCTGGTGCTGTTACAAGCACTTCGACACTACTCGGGTGGCGGGGAAGTCGAAGAAGCTGATGATATATACTGTCACTTCCCGTCTGCTCCCGCAGAGCACGGGAACTCACCACTCTTCCCTTCGGAAACTACACTTGATGATCATTTTGAAACAGTGCTGCGGGCCGTTAAGAATGTAATAACAGTGGTTACGTGCGATGGATTCGCATGGCGTAAAACTTCATGCCTAATGCCATGCACTCCCAAAGGAAAAGTACCATGCGAGGGTGCCACCTGGTTGCTTTTTACTTGATAGTAGACAAGATGTCTCAGTAATGGTCGACGAAGAAAGAAGATCCCACAGCCCGTCCTTTTAAGGATGCTCTCTGCAGAGCAGACTTGCCGATACCGGACAAACCGGCCGGATGACCTATACCAGATAGGCGAATGATGGATCCATGAAGGATATTTTTCATCAGGACCATATCTATGTAGGCTACTTGCTAGAAACCCTGCCATATGACGGCTCGTGAACTGCCAAGCGCCTCGACTGCTAGAATAAGAGAAAAGGATCAAGGGGATGCTGACAGATAGGCCCAAGACCCATATGCAACAACAACCCAACCGATGGCCAATATAAACACCACTGCGGACCTGCATTGAGGTGATAAGCGTGAAGAGCGCTTTCGTAGCCATCCAAGCCGCCAACCAATTCGAGACCCGCCAAACCATCATTGCCCCCAAAAAGTTTTTCCCAACCCGTAACCCGAAACGCCAAAAGCTAATAAGACCCCCTCCCTTCTTCACACCTCCTCCACAGCCCAATCCGACACGTCCGAATCATCCTCGAGCAGATCCGCCGGCTGCAGCACACCAGCACTGTCGTCGTCGTCGTCGTCATCGCCCTCGCTCTCCTCCAGCTTGATCGGCGCCATCGACGTGCCACGGCGCGGCGTCGAGCGCGCGGTAGTAGTAGCAGCGCCTCCTCCTCCTCCCCCGCCATTGGCAGCCGGCGTGACGGACAGCCGCGCGAGCTGTCCGGCCGTCGGCTCCATGGACAGCGGCGTGCGGGCGGCGAAGGCGCGCGCGTTGGCGGAGAGGGAGCTACGGTGGCGCGGTGCGGGAACTGCAGCAGCGGCAGTAGTAGTAGCGCCAGCGGCAACGGGAGGAAGCGTGGGACGAGAAGAAGACGAGGAGGACGAGCCCTCGCCGTTGGTGGTGGGGCCGCGCGCGGGAGACGACCACCGCTCGCTGGACGGCAGCACGTTGGACGCGACGGTGGTGCTGCGGCGTGGAGCGGCGGCGGCGGCGGCGGTCGTGGCGAAGGGGGCCGCCGGCGGCTGGTGGTGGTGGTGGTGAGGCGTGGGTGAGGAGCGTGGGTCGTTGGCGATGCCCAGGTCCCGGAGTTCCTGGCGGCTGACGGTGCGGTCGTCGTCGTCGTCGTCGGCGAGGCGGCGTCTCTTGTTTGAGGGAGTGCCGCTGGCTGGAGTCCGGACGGCCTTTGGCTTGGACGGGGTGGATTGCAGGCTGCGCGGCTGCCTGGCGGAGGCGCCGCCGGATACTTGCTTGCGGATCTTGATCAGGCGCTCTGAGATGGCGCGCGGGGTGGGCTTCTCGCCTTGGTCGCTGGCTGGGTGTGCGATGTGCGGATCAGTTTTCTGGGAGGTGAGGGGAGGGGAGGTGGGACTCACGCCAAGCTTCAGCAATTGCACCGTAGTTGATGCTGATGTTGTGGGTCTTGAGGAGCATCATGAACATCTGTGGATGAATTGAATTAGCGGAAGGTTGAGGCGAGGCGAGGCGAGGCGAGGCGAGGCGAGGCGAGGTGCTTACCAGCTGGTCTTTGTCGGGGGACCACCTCATAGGCATCTTGGCGGTGGTGTCGTAGCACGAGTGGCTCTGGTGTTGTTTGGGAAATCGAGGCGAAAGCGGATTTGTGGAGGAGTGGTTGGGGGAGGGAGGGAGAGCGGAGGATGGGAGATTTAAGGCGCAGGAGGTTGGCGGAAGGCAGACAGCGAGGCCGCAAGGTCAACGCAAGTGCGTGAGAAAGTGCAGGCGGTACAGGCAGAGCTTCACGCGGGGTCGTAGCAGAGCCGACAAACGACGGAGCAGCAACGCGCGAATGCGAGCACTTTACGCGGGTCGCGTCGCGCGACAAAGGGCACAGGAACACGGCGGCGGGCAACAGGCTTCAGCCAAGGAAAGCCAGTTGTCCCCACTGCGGCGGGGGCGGTTCAGAGCTAACGGCGTCTCGTGCTGCCTTACGGACCCTCCCAGACACTGCGCCGTCCTGCCGAACACGGCCTTCGAGATGATCGCTTTACTCGCCCGCCCCGCGCTCTCTGCACGTCCAAAACCATCACAATCCATTGCGCAGGAGCGACGCGGTCGCCTCTCGGCTTCGCGCGCAGACCGAGCGGCTTGGGAGCGCTCAATGGGCGAGCAGAGTGCGGACGAGTACCGGCCGGCCAGGGCGGCGGCGGAGAGCGTCGTAAAGCTCCACGACAGCACCGCATCGCGCCATCTCCCCGCACGCGCATCCGTCTCCGCAAGCGTACCTGGATCTGCCCAGCACATGCCACCAGAGGCCAATGAGACGCCGCCAGCGGTGGCACAAGGGAGTCGTGCCGTGTCAAGCGGGCAGGGGCGGGCGCCGCTGCAAGCTCTCTGGCGTTTCGAGCCTGGTGTCCGTACGACGCGACGCGTCCCCATGTTTCTTATCGCTGCACTCCGGTGAAGCCCGGCTCCTTTCACAGCCAGCCAGTCTCTTGCCCGGAGCTGGGGCTCTTGATCTGTATCGCGATACCGATCGGTACGCGTACTAGAGTCAAGGCCATGCAACGTCGCACCATTATTCTACACCTGACTACGGACTAACTTCTTGCCCTTCCTATGTCATTCCTTTCCGATCAGTAGCTCCCCGTATGCACTGCGATTTTCTTTTGATTCGCTCGTGTTCCCCGTGGCCCGCTATTGGTTGTGTCGGGTGCCCAGCCATCTCCGCTCCATGCACTATCCACGTCACATACAACCGCAGACGGTCGACTGTTGCTGCTTGAGGAGTTTGGGTAGTTAGGAAGCCGAGGCCACTGCGAGATACCGCCCGATCGAATTGGACCGTCTCCTTGGCCGACGCAATCCACTGGCACGTCCACCTCTCAGAGAGCGATATTCAGACAGGTATGTTCAGAAAAGTCCCATTTATTGATTTCGTTTTTACGCCATCATCTGTGAGGAGCCCGCTCACCGAACCGAACTTAGTAAACCAGATACCCCGCCGAGCATGCCATAACACCGTATCACCCGTCCAATCCCCCATCAAACCCAACAACAAAAACAAATGAATGACCCAGACGTTGCCGCCCGCCAGGTCAAGCCAAGCCCGACACCGTTTCGCTGCCACTGCTTGCGCGCCTACGCCTCCAAAGCGTCCGTGTCGAAGCTGTGGAAGAGGGTCTGGCTGTCACCGTAGATGTACGAGCTGGAGTGCTCAAAGGCTCCGGAATCGTACGAAGGCTGCTGGCGGTGCTGGTGGTGCTGCGGGTGCTGCTGAACACCACTCTCGTGATCGTCGCTGTCGAGGGAGATGGGCGTCTGAGGCTCCTGCTTGAACGAGGGAGTGGACTTGGTGCCGCGCTTCTTGGAAGGGGACTTCTGAACACGACCCGAGGCAACGGCTGTGGTGGGGCGTCATCAGTTTGTTTTGCGTCTCGCGGGGCACGTCTCTTGTGGTCTTACAGTGCTCGGTGTTGGGCTTCGCCTTGGGCTTGCGAGGAGTGCTGTTGGCGCTCTTCGTCCGGGTCGTCGGCATCTGACGGCCTTCGTCCTCGGCTTCCTTCTTCAGGTCATTCGCCATCCGCTTGGCGATGCGGAAACGTCCCTCGATGGAGTCGTATGTGGCGCCCTGACCGAAGTAGTAGGCTACCTTTTTGAAGTCGATCTGGATCTTGAGTCAGCGTGAATGATTGACGCGAGGCCTTTTCATGCGTACGGCGTTGTCGCTCGCAGCCACCAACGCAGCGAGCAGGCGCTGGTAGCTCTCTTGCGACTTCCAATCAATCGGCATGGTCGGAAATCTGGCTGGAGAACCGTGCTGTGTAGGAGCGCGCGGATTACAGGCCGAGTGCGTGCCGTGCTCGTTGAGTGAGAGAATGAAAATTGGCAATGGACGAAACTTGGACGGGTGTGTGTTGAGGTGAGCTGGCCGTGGAAAGATATAGGTACGGCAGGCCGGGCACGCCCCCTGCCAGATGGAGGGCAGCATGGGAAACGCGATAATGTGCCCGTCCCGCGTTGAGCCACTAACGCGAAACGCGACCGCACGCGTCGCGGGGACAATGTAAAGTGCCTGCAGCATATCCCAGTCTTGCACACCGCCAGAGCAAGGCGAGCAGGACGGGAAAGCGACAAGTAAAATCGGCTCACTCATGCGCCTAGTAGCTGAGAGTTGCTTGACTTGTCACCGGCTCACCGCACACATGAGACCCGGCGTTGATAGTCATTGGCTGCGGGATCAATGTGACTGGTCGTTGGAGGCAGCCATGTGAGAGATAGGAATTACGAAGTTTAAGAGACAATGTAGACGAGCTTCTGCTTCCACCTGCGGGTGGAATGGGTATCGCTTACTAAACACGACACGTGTGCTACAGCCCGGCGAACAGGTCGTCGATGGCGCTGGCCTTGCTCTTCTTCGTCTTCTTCTTCTTCTTCGGTGGCCCCTTGGCCTCAGGTTCAGGTTCCGGCTCCGGCTCCGGCTCTGCTGTTCTCTTCTCCTTTTTCTTCTTCCGCATCGCGTCCAACACTACAATAGGCTTCGACGACGGCAGCTCCATCACATCACCCTTCATGCCTCTCTTCATTTGTAAACCGGGCCCGACCGCGGTAGCGTCATCGCCCTTTTCACCGTCAGTATCCCTGCCGACCACCTCCCCCAAATCTTCCCGCCGGCCCACAGCTTCTCCCAAGTCCTCAGCAGCCACGCCGTCTCCCTCCAGTGATGCACCTTCATTCGCCTGAATGGCACCCACCAGTCGCTTTGCATCCATAGCTGCAAGCTCGCGCAGAGCAGCCTGCATGGCCTGCTCCGCTTCGTCCTCATAGGCAGCCGTGATGCCCGTGACCTGCGTGACACGCGCCAGGACGGCCAGCAAGGCCAACCCAAGGGCAGAGAACTGCGTCGAGGCAATGACGTCGGCAAAAGCGCTGTCGTTCCATCAGCCAGGCACAGCAGCTCACAGCACAGAAACAACGAAAGGACTTACAGATACCATCTCGGCACGTGATGTCGCCTCCACGCGTCCAGTCTCGCAGCCGCGCGCCTCGCCGCCAATCTGGAGGCTTTAGCAGAGGGCTTTGGGGCCGGGGGCGTCAGGTCCGTGGCGGCTGGTGGCTGGTAGGTGTTGTACTCGGCGACGAAGTGCGACAGCTCACGGCGGAAGACGGAGAAGCTGCGCCACCAGATGCTGTGGCGGTGCTGGTTCAGATTGCGGTGGTGCACCAGGTGCAGGATATCGCAGAAGGTCGTCAAGTCTGCGTGCTCGTGCGGCTTGAGGCGCGGGGGCGCGGTGGCGGCCATGGCTCGGATGAGGATGTTTTTGCAGAGTCGCGGCGACGGCTTGACGTGCGCATCCATGGTTGCAGCAGTGGACAAAACGCGCCACACACTTTATTCCGACTCCCCGTCATCGCCGCGTCCCCACACATCCTTCGCGCCCACAGCACTGGAGCTCTACCACGAACCAGTCATCAAGCCACCTCTATGGCTTTCTCCAAAGCGTTCAGCATCACCAACCTTCTTTGGCCCTACTAGTTCTTTCGATCGCGGCTCAATTCTCGCTACGAGTACGATTTTCGTTATACGACCGCGAAGCGGTCGCTATCTTGAGCCCCTCGTGTCAGGGCTGCATGTTGCAGTAGTATCTACGCCTCGCTAAATGAACGCCACGTATGCCTAAACTTAGTGGGGTGGGTGCCTAAGAATTAGAGGGGTGGGTGCCCCAAAAATTAGTGGGGAGGCCACTTATCACGATAGCTAGCTGGGTGTTGAACGGTATTCACGTGTGAAGGGGCTAAAGAAGGGCGGGACGCAGGAGGATTAGTTGCTCCGCACCACGTTGTTCTTCCCTGCCGGCCCATGATCATCATGGATGCTGTGTTACATGCCGACCTCAAGATCCAAATCTTGGGAACGCGCTGCTATGGCGTCCATGTGTGCAGGTTCTTATCATCTCAATAATACCACCACGTTCGAATCAAATCGATTCAAATCTATACTATACGCGTACAGACGATGCGCTTCATTAAGGCATCCGATCTATAAATCAACAAATGAGAACCCTATATTTTGCCAAGAAGAAACCAGCTTTTTAGTCAGCAGCCCGCGCTTTGATTTACTCCTTGTATGCCTGCTCATGAGTCTTGATGGCACGGCCACTGGGATCCGTCTGTTTCGACCAAGTAGGTACCCATCTCTGCACCGTACCAGCGCAGTATGGCGGGAAGTGCTCGTCGAACATGCACCGGTACCAGTAAGCTTCCTTGGTGTCGGGAACGTCATCCCAGTGAGGCTTGGGGTTCTTCATGTCCTCGTCGCTGACATGCAGCTCGGCGTTGTCCTTGAGAGCGTCAATCCAGCCGTACCCGACACCATCCGAGAACTGCTCCTTCTGCCTCCATAGGATCTTGTCGGGCAGGTATGCCTTGGTCTCCGGCTCGTCGGTCGTGTCGAAAGCCTTGCGGAGGATGTACTTCTCAATCTTCTCCTTCGTGATCATCTTGTCCTGAGGGTCGATGTTCATGCAAAGCTGCAGGAATTCCCTGTCCAGGAAAGGAACACGTGCCTCAACACCCCAGGCCATCGTCGACTTGTTGGCACGCAGGCAGTCAGCCAGGTGCAGGTTCTTGACACGACGCACAGTCTCCTCGTGGAACTCCTTCTTGTCCGGTGCAGCGTGGAAGTAAAGGTAACCACCGAAAATCTCGTCGGAACCCTCGCCACTCAGCACCATCTTCACACCCATGGCCTTGATCTTACGGCTGAGCAAGAACATTGGTGTCGAGGCACGGATGGTGGTGACATCGTACGTCTCGAGGTGGTGAATGACATCCGAAAGGGCGTTAAGACCGTCCTCCAGCGTGAAAGTAAGACTGTGATGCCTGGTGCCCAGGAACTTGGCAACCTCCTCGGCGGCCTTGGTGTCGGGAGCACCGGGCAGACCGATGGAGAAAGAGTGCAGCTCAGGGAGCATCTGAACGGTGGTCAGACGGTTGTCGTCGTCGATACCGACCAGATCGCCAGTGGTGTTGTCGTCCCTCTGGATCTTCGCAACCTCGTTGACCCTCTGAATTTCCCTCTGGGCAATGGAGGCAACCAAACTCGAATCCAGACCACCAGACAGAAGAACACCGAATGGCACCTCAGCCATCAGCCTCTTCCTCACAGACTTCTCCAGCGAGTGCCTCACGGCCTTGAGGTCGACCGGGGTCGAAGGGATGTTGCTGGGCTCCACGAGCCACTGGGGAGTGTAGTATTGAGTAAGCTTGTCAGTCTCGGAGTCGTAGACGTGCCCGGGAGGGAAGGTGATGATGTTGTCGCACACGGGATGCAGGCACTTCATCTCCGAGGCGAAGAAGACGGCGCCGGGAATGGTGCTCGACCGGCCCATGTACATGGAAGTGACACCGATGGGGTCGCGGGCGGCAATGACCCTGTCCTTGGCCTTGTCGTGCAGAACCCACGAGAACATGCCGTCCAGGTGCTTGGGGGCGTCGATGTCATGCTCCAGGTACTAATCAAAGTCAGCAAACGCAGCGCCGAGGGAGCGAGCGAACCTGCGTACCAGAGGGATAATGACCTCGCAATCCGAGTGGGTCTTGAAGTTGTAGGGCTGCTTCAGCTGTTTCCTCAGCACCCTGTGGTTGTAAATCTCTCCGTTGACAGCAAGTGAGATGTTGCCATCCTCGTTGACGAGCGGCTGGGCGCCGGACTCTGGGTCGGTGTCAGTAAAGGGCGGTCGAGGGCGGGAGGTTGGGCAGCGTACCAACGCCGACGATGGACAGACGCTCGTGGACAAGGACTACAAACAGGTCAGTAAGCGGTTGATTGACAGTCGGCTTCGGCGAAGCTTACTGGTGTGGTTGGCGATGACGTTGCCACCTGCGCATGTTCAGTACCCTGCCATTGTTCAAACTGCTCGGTGGTGTTGCTCACTCCAATCGGGGCCACGGTGACGCATGCTACAGAAGGGTCAGCGCACAATCGATTGAAGTCAATGTTGGAAATACGTACGCCTTGCCCATCTTCAGGGCAGTCGGTTTGAACTTTTGGACATCAGGATGGCTGATTGCTCGTTAGAAGCCTATCGCAGCGCGGGACAGGCGGACGTACCGGTGGCAGGCGAAAATTCCACACATCGTGGCGGCGAGGGGCGCGCAGCACTGCTAGACGGGGACTTTGGGGAGAGATTTGAGAGAATGGAGGAACAAAGCAAGCAGCAGAGCGCCGGCGAGTAGAAATAATGGGGGTTTGGCCGGAGGGTAGTTGAGTCACTGGGGAAGAGGATGCGCACGGAGCCAAAATGTCATGGCGCATTCCACGAAATGCGCGCCCGAGAGCGGCGGGCTGATAGCAGAGCCCCGCGCTAGGCCGCGCCGCCCCCCCTGCAAGCCCGCCGCTCACGCTCGCGAGATCGGCACGATTATTAAGGCCATCACTCCATTCGGCCTGCTATTTTTCCGCCTTCCACCCGCAGCCAGCACGCTGCGAATCGAGACGCGCCAGCTGGCCGGGGGCGTACGTGTATTATTGTCCAGGAAGCAACCAGGCAGAACACCCTCTTCGCTCACGTAAAACAATCGACCAATTGGATCACCGTTGGAGTCATACCGCGGCCCGCCGAGGGCGCGTTCCCGTGCGGTCCGCAGTTTACGAGACATTCATTTATGACACAAGACTCCTTCCATGATAAAGCAAGCGCCCCAACTCCACTTTACCGGAATTTGGTTGATGCGTGAGCTTACTTAGCACTCGGACATCCATCGGAACCATCTCGCCCGGAGCCAACCCGACGACCCTGCGTCATTGCCACCCGTCTGCCGCTGCCTTTCTTTGTAGCCTACGTCAGTGTCCCTTGGACCACCCTGCACCCACTCATATTACCAAAAGATATCTCCAGCATTCCCGTCACACTACTCACTTTGAGCCCTTTCCTTCGCCCGCGCCACACCCACCATGTCGTCCTCCTCCGCCCGCCGTCCAATCACTCCGCCTCCGCAAACGACGAACAAGCCCGGCAACCTCCCCGCCGCTCCTCTGACCCCAGAACAAGTGCGCCAGCTCGAGATCAGCCGGCTAAAGGCCAAAGCCCTCCGCGCCCAAGCTGATACAGAGACCGCCGCCGCCGCCGCGACGTCCAGCAGCGCCCACGCCGGCCAAAAGCGGCCACACTCCGCCATAAGCACGACCACCACCCGAGTAGCGGCGCGCAACCACCGCGATGGCACTTCGGCGACTGCCGGAACCGCCGGGAGAATCGCAGCCACGACAATGACGGCGCCGTCAGACAACGCCTACGTGCGACCGGCCAAGAAATTCGAGAAGAGCAGCTACATCGAGTACGACCTGTCGGCCATGACGGACACGAAAGGCGGCTTCCTCTCGACGGCAGACGACCCGCACAACAAGGCGCTGAACTCGGGCCTCGCCCGCGGCGACAGGGACGCCGAGGAGCAGAGGCCGCCGCACATGACCATGGCCGAGTGGCAGCGGCACCAGCTGCTCAAGAAGCTGCGCGCCGCCAAAGCGGGGCCGTTCGAGCCGGGCATCTCGGTGTTGGACAACGACGGCGACGCCGGCAAGCGGCGCACGTGTCGCGAGTGCGCCGTCTCCCGCGAGATTGACTTCCAGTGGCTGGACGTCTTCGGCGTCGCCGTGTGCGCCGCGTGCAAGGAGCGCCACCCGGAGCGGTACAGCTTGTTGACCAAGACGGAGGCGCGCGAGGATTATCTGTTGACGGACCCGGAGCTGCGTGACGAGGAGCTATTTCCCCGCCTCGAGAAGCCGAATCCCCGCTCTGCGACGTATCACAGCATGCAGCTGTTTCTGCGATGCCAGCTCGAGGAGTACGCTTTCTCCGCGAGGAAGTGGGGCAGTGCCAAGGCGCTGGATGAGGAGTTTGCGAGGAGGGAGGCGGAGAAGAAGGAGCGGAAGGAGAAGAAGTTTAAGAATAAGCTGGAGGACTTGAAGAAGAGAACGCGGGTTGAGGCGTATAAGCGCAGCAGGCAGGTGGGCGCGGCGGTGGGGGACGGTATCGGCTTGGACGGTACGAGCGGCGGGGGGCGGCCGACGGCGCAGTTTGGCGATAAGGTCTCCGGGAGGTTCGACCGGCATGAGCATGAGTGGGGGAGAGCGGTCGAGGACCCGGAGACGGGGCTGACGAAGAAGAGGTGCATCGAGTGCGCGATGGAGGTCGAGGAGCTCGAGTTCTAATCGCGTCAAGTTTCTTGCTAAATACGGCAGCGTTTATACATATGCTTGGGCTAACCATTTAGTATCGGGACCCTGCGGGTACCATGTTGTCGAACAGTTCGTCGATTGACCCGCACATGTTGTGGATTGCCCACTGGTCACACTAACTTTCACCTGATGGCGTTAAAAACACCTCTAGGCATATAGTGTTGGAGAGGGATAAGACGACAACCTCTTAAGAAACGAGGAGATGGCACCTGCCTTAAGATCACGCATGTTTGTCAGAAAGATGTGCGGACTTAAGCTTACCATCTCCAGTTCTTGACTGTAAACACTAGCACATGGTATTATTTCTCACGATTGGTTAAAGAAGTCCCTTTAGCCCTTCGGTCCAGCACTCCGGATCGATCGTACCTGAGATCGGCAAATCGACGATCACATCGGAAGGCCAGGAGAATTCAAACACCTTGGCTGCAGCGCCGATAATAACGGGCAAGGGCCTCGAGAGAGCGCAAGATGATTTTTTATTTTTACAAGCGAGGGAAAAATTAGCCATAAATGTCTCCCAGAATAGTTCTCCAAGGCGTGGAAATAAGGTTTAAGGACCTTGCCATCGGAAACTCCCTGGAATAATAATCACATGGGACGGCGATGGCGTCGGTAGGGTGGACCCAACGCGTCTAGCGCAGCCCTGCGTGATCCCGCGTCGGTCCCTATTATTGAGCTCTCCAGCCCGCACCGTCACCGCCGCCAACACCTAAGACGCAGCTCAAAGGCGGCCTTCCACGCCGTCTGCCTTGCGAACCATGCGAGTCAAGGTCCATGCCGCCCTCGACCCAAGCCCTGTCCGCGGAGGCGGCCGCCCAGCCGCCTAGCAGCGACCCGCAGCGCGCCCGCAAGCGTCCCAAGATCCGCCGCACGACTTTCGCATGCGCCCGCTGCCACCGCCGCAAGATCAAGTGCGACGGCCTGAAGCCCGCCTGCTCCAATTGCGTCCAGGCGAAGCAGCCCTGCAACGGCATCCTCGATGGCGAGTCCAAGACGGTCATCCCCCGCAGCATCGCCCAATACCTGCAGGAGAAGATCCGCGAAAAGGAGCAGCTCCTGCGCAAGCTGGGCGTAGACACCGACTCAGACAGCGCGCCGACAGCCCTCAGCCTGAACCCGGGCAACGAGGGCCTGGTCGCCACCTCGCCCCCGCTCGGCGAGTCGCAGCCCGCCGACACCCACCAGCCGCGTTTCGACCTCGCCTCTGAGACCGCCCGCAGCTTCAGCACCGGCTTGAGCAAACAGCTGCTGGTCTCGCAGGTGCGCTTCCCGTCCGGCACCTTTCTCTTTGCCTCGTCGCACCTGCCCTCGGTGACGCCCGTGTCCGCCGACCCCGAGTCCCGCAGCGACTACTTCAAGTCCAAAAATGGCTCCAACCCTCTCGAGCAGATTCCCAGAGACGTCACCGAGCGCCTCGTCCGAAACTACGTCGAGAGGATATCGCCGCTCTATCCATACTACGACCGACAGGAACTGTGGACGCGGTACAACAGGGTTACAAACGCCCAGCAGCTTGGGGACAACTCGGCCACCCAGCATGACCTGTTCGTCGTGTCCATGATGATCGCCATCAGCATCATGACGTCCAAGTTCAGCGACTCGGCCAAAATCGCCCTTTCCAGCGAACGCATCTTCCAGCACGCCCTCAGTCATTCCGACGCGCTCTACCAAAGCTCCTTCCGCAGCCTGCAGGGCACTCTGCTGCTGATCCAATACTCGTATCTCATGCCTCGGGCCGCAAGCTTATGGGACATTGTTGGTTTGGCCATGAGAATGGCGTTGGAGCTGGGCCTTCATCGGGACCCCGAGGAGCTTCCGGGCCACAGCCTCACCGAGCCGGAGATGGAGCTTCGCCGGTGTGTCTTCTGGGTCCTCTACATCTTCGACCGGTCCATTTGCGCCACCAGCCACCGCCGCCTCGGCATCGCCGACGAGTCGATATCGACCAGATATCCGAGCGGCATGGACGGGACGTACTTCCTGCACAACATCCACTTCCGGCGCATCCAGTCGGAGCTTTGGACGGTGAATTACCTCCGCCGTGGCTTACCCCTGCTCAAAGACGAGGGGAGCTACGAAATCTGGGCCGAAGGCATGGAGCAGCGCATGTGGGCCTGGCGGAACGGAGTAACGACCAACAAGTCCAACAGTCCGGAGTGGCACGACATTGCCGTTTGGCACGGCTTCGTCTTTCTCCATCGGCCGTGTCCCCGGAATCCCTTCCCGCCCGCGAAAGCCTTGATCAAGTGCTTCAAGGCTGCGACCGAGGTGGCTGCAGGCTATTGGGAGAACGCTCATAGCGGATTCCTCAAGTATAGTTGGCACGCCGTGCATCACGGGTTCGAGGCTGCTATTGCCATGCTGTACGCCATCAGACACTGCAAGGAAGAACTGAAAGAGCGCCACGGCACGCGAAAGATCCTAGAGACGGTCCATCTCTTCTCCTCTCTGTTCGTACTCATGAGCGAACGCTGGTCCCAGGCTCGCGCGAGTCTGGAGTCATACGAGCGATGCAAGGCGATAGTGATGCGCGAGCTAATGCGGCCGGGACTCGCGCCGGCTCCGGCGGAGAACGACGAGCTGGACCGCATGCTTCTGCCGCAGCAGGCTCAAGCAGAGAAAGTCGGTCAGGTCAAGAAGGAGGGCGGGAGCGAAAGCAGCACACCGGCCTCAGGTACGCCGTCATCGGATCCGCCCTCGCGCCTGCAGCGGAAACGGTCCTACATACAGCAACAGCAACTCGAGGAGGCTGCAATGAATGCTGTCACGGGCGTGGCCAAGCCACTGACCATCTTGCCCCCGTCGCCATCCCCGCTTCTGAAGCACAGTGCGAGTTACGGGTCAGAACCTGCTCCAGCTGCAGGCCCTCCGTTTCATCCGCCCAGCCTCCCGAAGCACTCTTCAATGCCGGCAGCGCCATCAGCACCTTCGTCACAGATGCCGTGGTCGGTGCCCCAACTAAATCACCCACAGCAGCAGCAGCAGCAGCAGCAGCAGCAAGCCATGTTCAATGCCAACCAGATGCCAGGGGCGGAAGAACAGAATCTGTACCAAAGTTATGAGATGTGGAATACGCAAGGCCAGGGACCAACGAATATGCAAATGGACTGGGAAGAGATGGTGGTCCAGCCGGATCAGAATGGCGTCGACGGGATGATGCTTTGGTCAATGTGAAGTGTTTGAGGCTTCGGGGAAAATCGAGGAACCCCGACATTTATTTTGATGTCGGGAGGTGGCCGAACCTGGAGAAAACAATCAGCACTGTAGAGATGAAGCGCTTGACGGAGCGCAGAACTCTGTCAAGGCTGTCGGCGGCATGAGCAACATTCAGCTCCGTCACTAATATCTAATCAGCACTGTGCACTGCATGGGGCACTTTGAAAATTCAATCAGTGATCGTCAGCTTTCCTGACACAAGTACTCTTCGATCGGCCTTCTCTTGCGAACGTGACAGTGTCCGCGGAGATTGGAAACATTCGCTTCAGGTAGCGGATACATTCCGCCTTGGGAAGGTTCCCAATGTGGTTCGAACTAAACATGGCTATTGGCTGGCGATACGAGGTGGCGTGGGGAAGGGTGGGATAGTCGAGAATGCTAAGCAAAGACATGGCGTGCATGGCGTGCATGGCTACGTTGATAAGGGCAGGGCAAGAAAGACTTGCAAGTGCGCTGTGGATATCGGGGGGGTGGAGTGAGCGGATGGCCAGTCACAGTCACAGCGGCGTGTGGAGAGCAGGATGGGTCAATATACCGATTCCAGCGGGATGGGACAGGGCGAGAGCGTTTTGGGTGTCGGGTATCCACAGGAGCATGGGCATCAGGACTCGGTGGGTTGTGTGCGTTGGGAAAGGGATCGCGAGGTCGGGGCGGGATGGGCGGAAGCTGATGGTTATACAGCCGGGCTCGGAGGCGTTCCGCCCAGGAACGGAATGGTCGGACCGGCCATGGACGTCTAGGTACCTGGTGTTCCTCTCTCCAGCCGACATGTCACAGGCTCGCAGCAGGTGGTGGCGCTGGAAGCCGACCGGCTGATCGACGGCCTCGCGCAAAGCCGCTGGGTCTGTTGTGACAAGAAGGCGAGCGCAGGAACGGCGCGCCTGAAGCCGCAAGGCACGCACGCAGCCACCGCCGCGGCGGCATGCCCACGCTGTCGGGGTCACGATGTGCCTCCATATATAAAGCGCGACACCGCTGGTGTTGGCTGTCCAGCCCGCGCTGCCCACCTCGCCCCGCCGCGCTGCCCTGCCCTGCGCTGCCCTGCGCTGCCCTGCTCTCCCCAACACCGCCGCTCGCCCGCGCAGCAGCCCCAACCCGCCGGCCGCGCCCATGACTTGGTGCACGCGCGGGCGGCCCAATCGGCCTGTGGCTCGTGTGCAGTCCGTGCCGGCACAACCACCGCAGCCGCCGTGCAACTGCTCCCGCGGCTTGCAGGGCCCACAGCATGCAGGGTCCTCGGCTGCAGCCATCCCCGTGGGGAGCGCAACGAGCGTCGACGGCCGTCTGGGTGCGCCAGCGCTGGTGGATTGATTTCGATGGCTTGGCCCAGATGGCCCGGCACGCCTTACTGTCCAGCACGCGCGCGCAGTGGAGGCCGGCGGCGAAATCGGCGGCCCAGGTCGGAGCGCAGGCGCAGGCGCAGGCGCAGGCGCAGGCGCGGGCTCTTCCACCGTCGCGACCGCCGCGACGCTGACGACGACCTGGACCTCAGCCCCTCGAATGGACTTCCCCAGCGCCACCGTGCAACAGGCCCTCAACTCGCTGGCCTCGTGCATCCGCTGCCGGGAGCGCCGCGTGGGCTGCGACCGCCTGCTGCCCAGCTGCCAGGCCTGCCAGGCCATCGGCGCCGCCTGCGAGCTGTACGACCACGTCCTCGACGCCAAGTTCCCGCGCAGGTCTGTATGACATCAACCACCCGCCTGACTCGCCCCGACACTGACCCCGCCAGCTACCTGCAGCAGCTGCACCTGCGCCTCCAGCACCTGGAGCAGATCGAGGCCCGCCTGCAGCCCCAGGCCGACTTCCGCGCCACCGTCCAGCCCACCTCCTCGTCGTCGTCGTCGTCCTACTCGGCCCACGTCGCCCACCAGCGCCGCCTGCGCTCCGTCCCCTCGCTGCCCTCCATCCGCTCGTCCTCCTCCGTCTCCGACGCGTCCTCGCCCTCGCCGCCCGAACCGCCGCTCGCCGCGCGCCCCAGCGATGTCGCCGACAGAGACAGCGAAGCCCGCGGCGAGTGGGGGCCGTCCAGCGCGCTGGCCCACCTCCGCCTCGTCGCCGCCCTGCTCAACGTCGAGCTCACACGCCCGCTCTACCAGGCCCTGAGCTTCAAGGTCGACGTGCCCGTGACCCAGCCTCAGCCCTCGCTGCTGCAGGTGCCCGGCCTCAACCCCCCGCAGCCCCCTTTGCCGCCGTTGGAGACGGCCCAGTTCCTCCTCGAGTTTTACTACAACTCAATTGACTCTATAATGCCCATCCTGGGCCGCAAGCTGGGCGATCAGGACCTCGACCAGCTCTATACCAACTGCTCGCAGCGCCAGAACCTGCGCGCCTGCACCCGTGCCCAGCTGGCACTGGCCGTCGGGGCCCGCTGTCTGTTCCGCAGCGCTGCCACCAAGGGCACCCCCGCCCAGTCGCAGGCCTACCTTCAGCTCTCCGACTCCCTGTTCGAGTCCGCCGCCGCCAGTCTCAAGACTGTCTTGAGCGACTCCAGCACGCTGCTCGATGCGGTCTCGCCCTCTGCGTTTGAGAACGAGGAGGCCCACGCCATGGCTAAGCTGCAGATTGTTTTGCTTCTGGTCTGCTACACGCTTTGTGCGCCGCAAAAGGGGAACGTGTGGCAGCTGCTTGGGTTTGCGGAGCGCCTGTGGAGGAACATGCAGAACGCGCGTGCCCAATTGCGTAAAAGCAACAGTCCGGATGGATACCTCGTGCGAGAGCAGGCTCGGCATCGGCCCAGGCCCAATCTTCTCTACTGCAGCTTCGTCTCTCTGGAGCGCTTGGTTGGCATGGGATACGGACGGCCGATAGATTTTCTCGACTTCGCCGAGGCGGACGAACCCACGCACAGGCCGGACGACAAGTCTGTGGCGGCCCTGTACGCCGCGATCCTGGACCTGAAGCAGAGTGTTCACGCGTCTTATCTTTCTGGTCAGCAAGAGCCGGGTGGCATATTGGGGCCGGCGCCCGGGACGCCGAAGACAGGCAGCCTTGAATGGTACTCCAACGTGAAACGAAAGGCTAGTGCCTGGTTTGAGCAGTTTTCGGACGCGATCGAGTTCATGACGCGGGACGGCTCGCCAATGGACAGTACTGACACGCAGCGCATGACGGACGGAAGGAAACAGTTCTGGCTCAGCACCGGCCGCAAATGGCGAGACGAGACTCTACACCTCGCCTTCGGGCTGTTGCTCCACAACACGCCAACTCCAGCCTCCACTCCGGCGTCTGGGAGATCAACGTCGCAACGACAGCTGCTTCCACCGGAACTGCTTACCGAGGGCCGTAACATTGTGCAGCGCCTAGTGAACGATTACACGTACCTGCTCCGTCAGCCTTTCACCCTCACGCACGAAGGAAGGCAGATACCGCTCGTTTTCCCCCGGCTTTGGGTGTTCGATCTCGAAATCTTCCGGACTGCGGTCACGGCGGCGTATCTGTCACACCATCGAGACATTGTGCCGGGCACAAAGTCCAGCATGAACTGGGAGGTGGCCAACTGCGTCAAGTTGCTGAGCAGCACCAGCGCCGAGGTGGATGCCGAGGGCCTGTGCGAGGCCATTTTGGCACTCATCGAAGTCGAAGGTTGAAGGAGCCGCGTGGCTAGTGTGCGAATGTTGCATACTTTCCATGCCCGGCTCTGTTTGGTTGAGCTGGGATCTTCCACTTCGCTTGCTGAGCGTCCAGGCTTCCTGCCGTCGTCGCCAAGAGTCCCGTGATATACATTCACGAAAGACATGGCGCGGGTGCGCTGGTAGGTCACCGGCGGAAGGACGATAGCGGCTGTATGATGGCTTGTGCCCCCCCTTGCACGCTGTCTCTGGTACATTGACATACCTTACAGCGTCAGCAGGAGCTCAGACAGAGTCTGCACATCTGGGTGGATCTCGCAGCTTCAGATGCTTGATACCACCAGCCTGACGGACGTAAGACACACGTCTACCCTGATGACACACTCTGAAAGTTCTGGCTCTCCCTCTCTTCCTCCTGTTCAATGTTCGTTTTCGAAAATGTCCTGGTTCTTTTTTTTTTTAGTCTTTGTACATACGTGTTTGGACTTGATGCCTTCCATGACGATGATACCATTGGCGCTCTATGTAACGGCTGAATCGGGAAGTCATAGGCTACCACGCACCTCTCTCTTGTGGAGGTTATGGGATGAGGATGGATGGATGATCTTGTGGTCGTTTGATGTATGCCTTGACATTTGGTTGGTTAGGTTGAGTTTGTGACATACAATCGTGTGGGAGAAGGGAGCCAGCCCGTCCCGCGTCCATGGTGGTATGTATGTACGTACACAAAGTTGGGATCGTTGTGAGGGAATCGGGAATCGATGTGAAGTTACGAGTCAATATCTAAGGCGGACCGATGTGTGCGAAGTACAGTAGGTAGTACGTCGCGCCCTGAGCGCTAAGCCCGATCGGGCGGGGGCGGGGGCCTGGTTGACGGCTGCGTCGATATTAATCCTCGGTCCTACCTACTTCAACATGTCTGCGAGGACCCAGGATGCCGACGCTAGGAGTCGCTCCAATACTCATCGTGCTCGAGGACTGTGGACGCGGCAGCGCTGGTTAATATAAGGCGTCAGTTGGCGCAGTATTCGGAGCGCGGTGCGCTCGTCGCACTCGAGTTTGCGCAGAAAGCGCAGCAGGAGGCGGAGAAGACGGTGCTGTGGATGCTGGTGGAAAATCTAGATTGTGTGTCTTCTAGCTATGGCCGATTATCGTCTCTTCGCGCCTCCGTATCAACCTCGCCCTTGTGTCGACACCTCTCCCAAAGTCATCTTCCACTCAGACCAGGTCCGATTTGCTCGTCTCGAGTTGCGCCGCCTTCTTCGTGCGGCGACCCATCAGTACATACAGCATGCCTGCGATCGAGACGAGTGCCATAACCACACAGAGAGCTGATATGGTGCCCATGCAATTCAGGAGATGGCTCAGGTCTGTCTCCGCGCCGATTGCGCGCTTGCCCAGCGCCGCCTCCCTTCCGTGCGCCAATAGCGAAGGCTCCATTACGTTGTCGCGCTTTACCTTCTGGTCGATCGAAGTTTCATCCACGAGCCAATCCTTGATGTCGTTCGGACGGAATTCGCGCTTTACCTTCTGGTCGATCGAAAGTTCATCCACGAGCCAATCCTTGATGTCGTTCGGACGGAATTCGCGCTTTACCTTCTGGTCGATCGAAAGTTCATCCACGAGCCAATCCTTGATGTCGTTCGGACGGAATTCGCGCTTTACCTTCTGGTCGATCGAAAGTTCATCCACGAGCCAATCCTTGATGTCGTTCGGACGGAATTCGCGCTTTGCCTTCTGGTCGATCGAAGGTTCATTCACGAGCCAATCCTTGATGTCGTTCGGACGGAATTCGCGCGGGAAAATAGGAAGGTCTTCATCGTCGGTGAGCTCCGACCGGCGAACGTTCTTCCGTTCAGCCATGGTAGAGAAGCGAGATTTGCTGTTATTCGTAAGAACATACTATAGTTGGAGAGGGGATGGTGAAAGGGCTTGGGCAAGATACCAGTTTAAAGCTAGCTTTGCTGTTGTTCGTAGGTAGGAATATACGAAACGGCCAGGACTGAGGGTATGATTGGAGATTGGGCAAGACAACAGTTTTTATATATGGCTTGACAATTGGAGGGGTTTACCGTACCACGGAATCGGTATGCAAATTTTTCCCCAACAAGGATCAAGCGCCATGGTTCTTAAAGGGCTGACCATATAAGTTATAAAACTAAACATGCGCTACCGGTAGTTAGCGTATATATATGTGCCGTCCTTCGTTTAAGGTATGCAGTAACGAAACTAAGGTTGCGGGCCGTACCGCGCCGACCTAAGCTAATAGGATGACCCTACTTAGTAAATAATAGATATCCTAATAGCCAATACGTCCTCTATATATATAATAGTTGCATGGGATAGACCCGGAAAATCGAGAGAGTGAGAGAGAAGTATTCTATCTCGATAGCGTTATAGTAGAGCAATTATAAAAAGAAAAGGTATTAACTATATAGTCTAATCCGGCTACAAGGACGGTGCGGAGCCATAGTTGAAGTCTATAAACTAAATCGGTTGAGCTTAGAGGGGGGAGGTGGCCCAAGAATTAGAGGGGAGGCCACTTGTTACGATAGCAAGCTGGGTGTCGAACGGTTTTCACGTGTTGGGGTTATTGTTGCCAGATCTGTCGTATGCGGTATGAATCAGGGTACGATGATGATATCCGCTCTGACACCCCTTATTTCGCGAAAATGCCTCATCTGCATCTGACGTCGCAAAACACGGCTTTAATTTCCCCACCGTCGGGCCAAACCAAGCTTTGCCTATGGGGTGTAGTAAAAGCTTGTGCCTGGGCCAAGCTGTGGGGAAGGACGTCGACGTCGTATACGAGGCAACGGTCTATCAAGACTCGGTTTCCCGCCGGTCGGACAACAGCTCCGTGAGCCATTTATTTCGACTTACTCGCATCTCATGACTGGCTGATCAGAGCTGGATGACTTGGAAGGCCTGATTGTAAACTTCTCTGCAGAGTTCACGGCAGATATAAAAGCTGGGCCAATCCTCTCCAGAACCGCAACCAAACCAGCTCCGTTGTTCATCCCTCTACCACCACAAAGCAACTCCCAACCGCATCCCATCACAGTAGGCTGACGACTCTTGGCGGTATCCTACAAGACTTTGACCGGGCTGACTGTAATCGTTTAGATGAGATTCACCGTCGCCATCGTCTCTCTGCTTCTCGCAAGCTTCACCAGCGCCAGCATTGTGAGGCGCGATGGCGGTCAGGAAGACTGTGCCGCCAACGAGTGTCTTTGCCAGGTAAGGATCCGTAGTCATGAGTGATGGGTCATGAGCTGACAAGCCGTTCCTCGTTAGACTCCCACGGGCAGGAACGCCGGTGATCACGACGGCTTTGCTACCACTTGCCAGCCCAACCCGGACGGCAAGGATTGCCTGAAGGTCTGCGACTAAGGGCGGAAAGGAGTTGATTGAGTTCTCAGCGGGGCAGCTCAAGCGATACAGCCAAGAAATACCAACTTCTTCATTCTAGCGCCATGTGCTGCTATTCAGCCTTCCCACCTCTTTCGAAAAAGAGAAACATTAGTGTGATGCATTGCCTTTCCTTACCTTTATCCGCCCGGATGAACAAAAGAGAATAGATGAAACGTGGAATACAGCAAAAGAAATACCAAAAAAAAAGCAAAGTGATCCCGCGCCAACCCAGTACCACGCCGCCCAACTTTTTTTTTCTCCCCGTTTCCCACCCCTCCTCCCTCAATCCAACTCAAACCTCCCATTCAAATCCAGCGTACTCGACCCGTGATTCAGCCTCTGGAAGTAGTACTCCTCACTCTCGACACGGTTCGATCCGTTGATGGACGACGACGGGCCAGCTGCACCCGCGGCACCGGCACCGGCACCAGCACCGGCGGTTGGACCCAGCTTCCGCCGCGCCTGGCCCAGCAAGATGGGCTTCAGCCCCTTGCCGAAGTTGAGCAGGCACCGCACGGCGGCGGCGGTGGCGGCGAGCAGGAAGACGACGGCGGCGACGACGAAGAGCAGCTGCTCGTTGCGCATGACGGGCACCTCCGCCTCGGCGCCGCCGCACACCAGCACGGCCATGCGCGACAGCAGCCACGCGACGGCGGCCAGGTAGAGGGCGACGGTCAGGGCCATGCCGGCGCGGGCCTCGGCGCGGGTCGAGTAGACGGCGACGGCGACGGTGAGCAGCGAGAGGGGGATGACGGCGAGGGTGAGGCCGAAGGCGGGGCGGGCAAAGTGCGGCGCGTTGTCGACGAAGGCGTAGATGGCGACGAAGGAGAAGACGAAGTAGAAGGCCAGCTTGATGAGCACGAGGTACGCCTGGTAGGCCAGGTAGCGCGACCGCGTGCGCGCGTCGGCGCTGAGGTCCTTGTACAGCGCCCACGAGAACTCGCGGTGCAGCGGCGCCGCGAGGCAGCACATGGCCCCCGTGCTGGCAAAGGACGCGGCGATGCTGCCGATGAGGAGCCCGTTGGTGCCCGCCGTCCAGAACGGGCGCGCCTTGGCGAAGGGCGCGTCGGCCGGCGTGGTGGCGCGCCCGGTGGCGACCTGGTGGGCCGCGTGCCGGAGCTGGTCGTATTGCAGCGTCGACGAGATGGAGAGGCAGGCGTTGGCCGTGCATTGGGCGAAGATCTGGATGTTGCTCTTGAGCCGGAACGAGTCGACCGTCAGGATGGCCTGGTAGGTCGTGCCCGCGATGAAGACGGCGATGGAGATGGGGAAGGTGTATGCGAGAGGCACTTGATACGCCCATGGATGCACCCAGTCAAGGTAGTTGACGAGGACGGTGCTTGTCGTTGGTGCGTTAGTGGTTGCATTGAGCTTCGCAACGTCTAATTCAACACTCACAGTTGCAAGGCCATGGTGACGACGGCCTGCGCCGTCGTGATGCCAAAGTAAGCCCATTCTAGTTTTGTCCGTGGCCTGAGCATTGTTGTAACGATTGGTGAGTCCCGAGAGAGTGTATACTCCCTCCTTCTCTCTCTCTCTCTCTCTCTCTCCACTTTCTCTCTCGCTCCCTCTTCGCTTCGCGCGTGATGGGTTTAAAGAGAGTGAAACAAATACGAGAATGCTCGCTTGGACGGGACAGTGCGCCATCCTTCTCCTGCATGCAGCAAATGGTCTCTTGTTCAGGGGCTGAATAATCCTCCACTGCCGCACAAATAGGCAGTGGAACCTGCCGGTTCGCCGCCCCAAAGGACGTGCCCACCGGACTCACCGTTGACTGTAGGGTCGATTACTCGTGGAGATCCTTGGAAAGGAGGACCACACGGTGACCGCATGGTGCTCCGGCCCTGTCATGGTCCAACGGCTGCGTTTACAACAGCCTACGGCGGATAGACTTTGCGAGGGACATTGTTCCGGGCGAACTCATGCATACCTAGCTTGAGTTTATGTGGAGCAGGTCATCAGAGGACTGCCCCCAACCACCAGATTCTTCTTGGCAGTGGCGGAGTCGGCATATGCTGGTCGGCCATGACCGAAAGAAACCTGCTAGTTATCCGACAAATGAGCCCGCTCCCATGCGCTTTGGCTTCCATGTGCACCGCAGCCTGATGGACTCGTCGGTGCCGCGTAACCGGGATCGTTTCAACGGGAGTGTCGATTGTTCCAGACTCTGGCACGGCCGTGGCTCAAACGTCGATCCGATTCCTACATTTAGAGCAGGACCCCTTTCCGGACCCCGGCATCGTTTTCCGTTTTCACTGTCTAAATTTAGAGAATCAACGTCAAACCGTGCCTGTCCGTGCATTCTGTACACACAGTGGATTGCGATCGAAAGAAATCGAGGGCAGTAAAAGAAGGCATCTCAACGTAGACCTACGTCGAGACAGCTATTCTCCGTAAGTAGCTGAAGCAGATTTTCGCATGTAGGTGAGAATGTTGAAACTGTACAAATTGTTGAAGAAGGCAACCCAGAATAGAGAGTCCGCTTTGGGCTTAGTCCCAGCTCGCAGGCGTAGCAGGTAAAACGTTGCCTCAGGAGCAAACTCAAACACCTACCCATCCGAAAACCTGTTCAAGATTCAGCATCACCACCCCCATCAGAACACCGTAACAAACGGTACCATTCGAATCCTCAGCGCATTCGCTACAATCAATCAACTTTCTAGCCATGTCTACTGGTTCTGCATCGCGCTACGGCCTCCGGAGTGGCGCGCATCGGCTGGCGTATCCAACACCACCCGCGACCAACTAGAACAGCTCCGCATCCACACGTACGGAGACAGACGATGGTTCGGATACTCATTATAAACCTCCGGATTCGACTGCCCGCCGTTCCACCCTCGGATCCGCTCGTCCGGGCCCTCGCCATCTGCCGCCGTCCGTGCCTCCTTGACCCGTCTACGACACCAGCTTCGTACGCGAGATCGAGGTAGACAATGACATGTTGGAGGTACCCGATGTCGAAGCATTTCCATCTTCCAGGCCATCAGTACCACCTATCCGGAGTTTAAAGGCGACGATGACATAGCGTCCAAGAAAGAAAGACTGAGAATATGACCTTGGGCCCTATCAAATTTTCGGAGGGGTCCATTGACGGCACGATGTCAGTACTGGGCGAAATCCGGACGCAGTTGGCCCTGTCTGACGATGCCATGAGGCAAAGGCTGCTGCTTTGTTTTGGCGATCAGAAGACGGTTGCGAACATGCGAAGAGCGCAGAGCTTTAGGATGGAGTCTGAAGTACCGGGTGACCGGCTACGCTTTGTGTTACCCGTGTTCGGGCTGTGGCACATGAAGCAGAATTTCCTCCATAACGGACAAGCCGCCGTTTGGGCACATGGAGGAGTTGCTGACGCACAGCTATCAGGCTCGGGTCGTGGCTGTCTTCATCCGGGGTCTCCAGAACGACAATCCGGAGGGAAACAGACTGTGTGGTGACGGGTATGCCGACGTCGAGAGGTGCGTGGGAGGGATGACACCTGATGACTTCCACGCTCGGATCGACGGTGTGTACCAGGAGGTGCTGGCCAGGGAGGTCCGCCAGGCGTCCGACGACCTGGACGACAAGTTCGCGTTTTACAAGGAGACCCCTAAAGGACGGAAGGAGCGCCAGGCGAAGATCAGGGCCGTCTCAGTCTGTCGCTATATCCAGCTGATGGATCTGTATCTTTCACTGAAGCATGCCATCAAACATGCTACGTGGAAGGTCGGATTCGTTTTTCGAGGTAGACGGCGTCTTAGAAGTACTGAATCTCGAGTTAAAGGATCAGCTACGGACGCGTGGGAATTCAACACTCGGAGAGCGCATGAATACCCATCACACTGTTCGAAGCGCAACGTACGACATGGCTGCGCCGTCGTCACCACGGCGCCCGTGTAGGGACTTGGGGTTTGGAACACATTGACACGGCGGACTTGTCTGACCAAGAGGACCTGGGAGAGGTAACGTAGGGTTCGGGTCACTCAGTCAGACGCTTGTCTCTTTTCTCAGCCATCAGTCTTTGTTCCGAATTCAATATGGGGAGTTGGTACATGATAGGCCATTTTATTTTGTGTTGCTAGTTCAACTTCGTCCGCCTGAGAGTTCATTCATCAGTCTAGCCGCGGCCTCTGGGTCTGCAAGGGTCGGCATTGTAGAGAGGCACTTGTTATATGCTACGCTGATACATTTCTCTTTCCGCTGCGCTTCTCCATCTATGCTATTTCGCGAAGTGACGGGAGTGGTGACGATGGGCAAAAAAAAAAAAAAAGGCAAGCGGTTTAGCCCCAGCCCGAGGGGTGAGGCTCCAGCCAGGTGCTCCGTCAAATGCCACAGCCCACAAGAATCCGACAACCCAGGGCCACGACATTGCAAGGTCAGCTCAGGATCTTGCCCACGCAGCGAATCATGCCGAGAATTTCGCCGACAGGCACTATAGACCTTCCCACCGCTGCTGCTCGCCGGCCCGCGGTTCGATACTCGCCGGAGCACAACAGGTGATGCTGAGCTTGCAGGATGCCCAATTGGGGGGATCGCTTTGGGTGCGGAGTAGGTAGTAGTTTTACCGGGCCTTTGGATTGGCCGGACCTGCAATCGGCGGACGGGTCCCGGTATCGGCGCGGGGGAATAGCGGGGCTGCACGGCTGCACGGTTTCTGAGCCGTAGCGCGGTAGCGCCCGAGTGACTCAATAATTCTACTTTTTGACGTCGCCAGCCCGGCTCCCACTCAACTCCTCGTCCCCAGGCAAATTCTGTGCCCTCCACCGCTGCCACCATGCCCATGCTCCAGGATCCTTCCACAAAATACAAGGCCTTCAAGCCGCTCAACCTGCCCGACCGCCAATGGCCGTCCAAGACCATCCAGAAGCCGCCGCGCTGGCTCTCCACTGACTTGCGCGATGGCAACCAGTCTCTCGTCGACCCCATGGTGCGCTCCCCCGTCAAGAATCCCGCCCGCTCTGCCTCTGACCTGTTTGTCTAGGACGGTGACCAGAAGTGGGACTACTTCAACATGCTGGTCAAGCTCGGCTACAAGGAGATCGAGGTCTCGTTCCCGTCGGCCTCGCAAACCGACTTCGACTTCACCCAGAAGCTCGTGCGCACCCCCGGCATCGTGCCCGACGACGTCTGGCTCCAGGTCCTTTCGCCCTGCCGCAAGGAGCTCATCCGCCGCACCGTCGACTCGCTCAAGGGCGCCAAGAAGGCCATCCTCCACCTGTACCTCGCCACCAGCCCGTGCTTCCAGCAGATCGTCTTCAACATGGACAACGCCCAGACCAAGGCCCTGGCCGTCGAGTGCACCCGGTACGCGAGGTCCATCACCAAGGACGACCCCGACCAGGCCGGCACCGAGTGGGCCTACGAGTTCTCCCCAGAGACCTTCTCCGACTCCAACCCCGACTTTGCCCTCGAGGTCTGCGAGGCCGTCAAGGCCGCCTGGGAACCCACCCTCGACACTCCCATCATCTTCAACCTTCCTGCCACCGTCGAGATGGCCACTCCCAACGTCTATGCCGACCAGATCGAATACTTCTGCCGCAACATTTCCGAGAGGGAGAAGGTCTGCATTTCCCTTCACCCTCACAACGATCGCGGCTGCGCCGTCGCCGCCGCCGAGATGGCCCAGATGGCTGGTGCGGACAGAGTAGAGGGCACCCTCTTTGGCAATGGCGAGAGAACCGGAAACGTCGATCTCGTCACCCTCGGCCTCAACCTGTACACCCAGGGAATCCACCCCAAGATCGACTTCTCCGACCTTCCCGGCGTCATCGACGTGGTTGAGAAGAGCAACAAGATCCCCGTCCATGCCAGGGCTCCGTATGGCGGCCAGTTGGTCGTGTGCGCTTTCAGCGGTTCCCACCAGGACGCCATCAAGAAGGGCTTCCAGAAGCGCAAGGTCGAAGGCGCGACCGACTCCAGCTACTGGCAGGTCCCGTACCTTCCTCTCGATCCCCAGGACATCGGACGCACCTACGAAGCCATCATCCGCGTCAACTCGCAGTCCGGCAAGGGCGGCGTTGCCTGGATCATCCAGCGCGAGCTCGAGCTCGACCTCCCCCGTGGCCTCCAGGTCGCCTTCTCCAAGATCATCCAGAAGCAGACGGATCTCCTCGGACGCGAGCTCCTTCCGACCGAGATCACGAAGCTCTTCAAGGATTCCTACCACCTCGAGAAGAACCCTCGGTTTACCCTCGTCGATTACGACATTCTCACCGACCGCTCCGTGTCGCCGGCTCCGGGCGAGAACGGCAAGATGCCGAGCACGACGAGCCTCAGGAGGTTGTTCTCTGGCGTCATCGAGATCGACGGCCAGCAGCACAAGATCAAGGGTACCGGCAACGGTGCCATCTCGTCTCTTGCCAATGCCCTAAAGTCTCTCGGCATCGAGCTCGACGTCACCGAGTACAAGGAGCACGCCATTGGCGAGGGCCGCGAGGGTCAACAGCAGGCGGCCACGTACATTGAGTGCTCCACGCCGGCATCCAAGCAGAGGGTGTGGGGAGTGGGCATTCACGAGGACGTGGTCCAGGCTTCCCTCATCGCTTTGTTGTCCGCTGCATCGTCTGTAAGTCTGAGCGAAGTGTCCATGTCAAGAAAAGGCTGACGGCTGTTGCAGTTCCTCGCATCCCGACCAAGCACACCTATTCCTTTCCGGCCAAAGCAGCACGGAGAAACGCTCGCCCCTTCGAACGTCTCGCCTCTGAGGACGTCTCAGAGCGTCAACGGCCCGAGCTCTCTCGTCGCAAATCTTGAGAGACAAGTGAACGGCGATCACTAAAAGCATGTTGCATCTTTCGGTTCTTGTTTGGGTGCGTAGCATTGGATGCCTGCCGGGATAAAAAACTATCATGATTCTGCACATTACCACGAGCATGGGGGCGTTGGTTAAAATACAAAAGTCTTCTAATATATACACTTTCATCTTGTGCCCCGCCACCTGTCTGTGTAATTACCCAAACAGACTGCACTAGCAGGGGTGCTGCTCAGCCGAGGTCCGTGGGCGGCTAGTAATCATCAGACCGTGGGGTAAAGCGATTCGCCTCGGGACCGCCGTGCGATGATATCTCCGTCTTCATGAGCTTGGGTTTTGCTTCCCTTCAATCTACGTGCCACCCTCTTGACGAACCCACAACACATCACCATGGGTTCCGCTCAGCAAGATGTCCAATTGAAAGACTTTGGCAACATCTTCCGCCTCGACGGCAAGGTTGCTGTCGTGACGGGCGGATCTCGTGGGCTGGGTCTGCACGCCGCGTCGGGGTGAGCTCTCTCTCTCTCTCTCTCTCTCTCTCTCTCTCTCTCTCTCTCTCTCTCTGTGCGTCGTCCAGAAAGGGCACGTGCGCTGACTGGTTCCGCTTCCTGCAGCCTTCTCCAGGCCGGCTGCTCCAAGGTCTTCATCACTTCGCGCAAAGCCAAAGCGTGCGACGAAGCGTGCGCAGCGCTCAACGCACTCCCGAACAAACACGCATCGGCCAAGGCCATCTCGGTGCCTGCAGACAGCAGCAAGGTGTCGGAGATTGAGCGGCTGGTGGCCGAGGTTGCGAAGCATACCGACAAGGTCGACATCCTGTTCGCCAACGCGGGCGCGACGTGGGGTTCCAAATTCGACGAGCATCCCGACGATGCGTTCAGCAAGGTCATGGACCTGAACGTGAAGAGCGTCTTCTTCACGATCCAGAAGTACGGTTCCCTTTTTGTTTCCTTTTTGTTTCAAGCTGACGGCGCCAACCTCGGCATCGCAGGTTCGCGCCCCTCCTCTCCCAAGCCTCGACCCCGTCCTCGCCCTCGCGCGTCCTCATCACCGGCTCCACCGCCGGCGTCGGCATCGGCAGCACCGGCTCGGCCAACAGCACGCCCGCCTACTCGGCCTCCAAAGCCGCCGTGCTGCACCTCGCGCGCAACCTCGCCGTCGAGCTGGGGCCCCGCAACATCCTGGTCAACGGCATCGCGCCCGGGTTTTTCCCCTCCAAGATGGCCAACGGGCTGATGGAGGCGGCCGGCGGGCAGGACAAGCTGGCGGCCGCGAACCCGAACAAGAGGCTGGGTGAGCCCGAAGACATCGCCGCGGCGGTCGTGTTTCTGAGCAGTCGGGCGGCGGGGCACGTGAATGGGGACACGCTCGTGTTGGACGGCGGGAAGGTGTGGGCGAGGTCGTCGCTTTGAGTCTTTTACCTAGATGGCTGCGTTGGAAATGGATTTCTTGGAGTCTGGTGCAGAGCTGCAGGAGAGCTTCTGCGGGCCGCTCGACCCCGCACTGCGCCGCGGCACGCCCGGCAACCAATTGATAACAGATCGCGTTCGGAAGCCGATCAGCCAAAGAAAAAAAAAAGTCCCGGCGGCGCAACTCATCGCCTCATGAGATTCTCTCCTCTCGCGCCAACGCATCCAGAACCATGCCATCTAGCCAGCCACACCCGGTCCGCGTCGGCGACCAATCCAAGCTACCGGAGCGTGAGTCGGCAACCCAGTCGACGTTCCGGAGCTGCTAGCTAGCAATGAAGCCTTATAATAAACCCATCCACCCACCCCGCTCCAGCAGACTTCCGTCACCCCCCGAAAAGTGACCACGACGACTGGCAGCAGCAAGCAGACCCCAGATCGATACAAACGCCCCCATTCCCCCTCCCTCGCCCGAGAACAAGCCAGAACAAAAACAAACAAAAAAAATGGCCGCTGCCTCCGCCGCCGCCGCCGCCGCCGCCGCCTCCTCCTCCTCCTTCCCGCCCTACAAATCCTCCCCCACCGCCCCGGTCCCCGCCTACCTCCCCGACTCGCCGCAATCCATCCTCCACCCGCCCACAGCCCTCTACTCGCGCATCGCCTCCACAGCTTGTTCCCCTCCCTCTCCCACCACCAGCACCGATTCCACCATCCCGGCGGCCCCCCCACCCCGCCTCCCCACCCTCACCCTCGTCGTGCCCCCCCGCAGCGGCCGCGCCTTCCGCGTGCCCGCCGGCCACGTCTTCCGGCTGTCGACCCCCCTCGGCCCCCAGGTCGGCGACCTCAACGTGTGGAGCGCGGCCAACCCGCGCGAGCGCTTCTGGGCCAGCCGCACCCGCCAGCTGCACGCCAGCCACGTCTCCACGGGCGACCGCCTGTGGAGCTGCCTCCCTTACATGCGCCCCCTGTGCGGCATCGTCGCCGACACGCTGGGCCGTGGGGATTGGGGGGATGACGGGGGGGATGATGGGAGGGAGGAGGGGATGGCCGGGGAGGGGAGGGGGGTCGAGGGGAAGGGGAGGAGTCGGTGGGGCGGGAGGTGTCACGATTTGTTGGGGACGAGGTGCGATCCGTATGGTCAGTATACACACACACACACACACACACACACACACACACACACACACACACACACACACACACACACACAGAGAGAGAGAGAGAGAGAGAGAGTACAATCGATGGGGGAAGAGAAAGCTGATGCTGAGCCGAGAGTGAAAATACAGTCAACCGCATGCTCACCGGCCGCTCCTACGACTACCACTGCCACTCCAACCTCGTCCGCGCCGTCCTGCCCTACGGCCTCGCCGAATCCGACGTCCACGACGTCCTCAACGTCTTCCAGGTCACCGGCCTCGACGACAAGGGCCGCTACTTCATGGAGGCCTCGCCCTCGCGCCCCGACGACTACCTCGAGTTCTTCGCCGAGCAGGACCTGCTGTGCGCCCTGAGCACCTGTCCCGGGGGCGACCTGAGCGAGTGGGGCTGGGTCGGCGTGAGGGACGGCGAGACGGGCGAGGGCGAGGGTGCCCGGAAGATGGAGGAGACGTGCAGGCCGATCAAGGTCGAGGTTTTCAAGATTGCCGACCATGTGCGGGACGAGGTCTTGCAGGGGTGGGAACCGCCTGCTGCCAGCGATTATGCCGGCTGTCATGGGCTGCGTGTTCCGGTGGGCGAGAAGCGGGATTGAAGAGAGTAAGACACTTGTCACTGCGCAAACTTCCAGAGAGTCGTTGAGACTTGTGACTTTCATTGCCTCAGCCACCCCGCTTGACGGTTTTAAACCTCTCATCGCTTGGAGCTTGATGCGCTAGAGGATGCACGACACCCGCAAGTCCCAGGAAGCGGCCGCCCCGTTCATTGCGTTGGCCAAGGTCCTGTTCTCCTAGCAGCATCTAGAATTGGTCCCCTTATTGCTACTCCTACTCCTATCCCTACTCAGGCCACGATAGCTACTTGTCAATGACACCAGCCCGAACGATAGATCCCCAGTATCCGTCCGGATACGCTCTAGTATCCAGGTGGACGCAGTGAAGAAGCTCAAGGCAGACTTCCCGTATGGCCTTGTATCCCTCTTTGTCGTCCTTGCGATGGAGTATTCCCGTGTGATGTCAGGCATCTGGCGCCGTCCGCGAACAGGCCGTGTGTTGCCCATGGCCACACCATCATCCAGTTCTTCTTTGCACCTGACGTCCCGGCTGTGATTGTGGAATTCATCGTCGAATGAATGAGATCCGGATCCTCTAATTTCTTGCGTTGAAGATGGGCGCAAAGTCCGCCGCCATGGCCGAGCGCAGGGTCGCCCCGTCGCTGGGGTTTTGGTGTTACAAAAAATAAAATCACACATCGCTACCACACTGTCGTTGGTATTGTTGTTGGTGTTGCTCCGTGCGCGGTAGACCTCGCTGTTGCACTACTAGTAAAAGTTGAAAATCAAGCCGAACGTAGGCAAACTTGCAGTGGATTGCAGGCAAATAAGCCAGCAATCAGCATCCAGGTCTACAAAAGACTAGTAGATAGCACTAATACAATCTCCATGCGATTATTCCAACAGCAAACGTATTTGGACTGGTCGGCGGCGACGTATCGGGGCTTTCGGTCGAACGCGTGCATGTGCTGCCTGTTCGTCGATAAGGAGAAGGGGCGAGCAGATCGAGGCAGTCGTTGTGCGGGTCATCGTCCATCTCTTCCGTGGGGTAGGTGGAGTGCCACAGCTCGATCAGCGCGCGGCAGCCGAAGCCAATGAGGAACTTGTACTCGGAGAGTTGCTCCTGCTGCGCGCCGTTTGTTGGGCGGGCGTGGAACGGTTTGATTGCGAGGAGGTTCTGGAAATAAGTCTAGGCGGATAGCGGTGGGAGGCCGCGCACTTCGTCATAGAAGGCTTTGAGAATATCAAGGACGAGCAGGTGACTTGACCGTCGGTCTATGGGGGCGTCGCGGAGTGGATGGCGTGCGCTTTGGGAGCTGGACGAATCGTTCCGAACACCCTACTCGATTCCCTTCGCCCGCGAGCTCCGCTTCATACAGATCAAGCCTTGCTTGCCACTCCTTCCTCCCGCTCCATCGTCACCTCCACATCCCTCACCCTCACAGTCTGCTCCTTCTCCTCCACCCCCTTCTCTCTCCCTTTCTCCCCTCCCTCCTCTTCCTCTACCACAGCCGTGATCATCACAGGTGAGGTTGCTGCCGCCGATGGCGATGCTGACCATCTTTCTGCAGAACGAACACAACCCATGGGGTATAGCGACTCTTCTTCTTAATCATTCAAGGTATCGGTACTCGGCAACATATATATCGTCCAAAACATTTACACATAGAAGGTAAAGATAGAAAGATAAACCCTCGTCAGAGAGCCTCTGCTGGCCTCGATCAATTCTCCCCGAGAATTTCCTAAACCGTCAAGGTGGCCTTGCTCTTCAGATCGCGACTGCTCGCCCCCACCCAAAACGTATACTCTCCACTCGCGACCGCCCAGTTCTGCGCCTCCACGTCCCAATAACTCAGGTCCCTCCTCCTCAACTCGAACTTGACAGTCTTCTTCTCGCCCTTGGCCAGCTGCACCTTCTCGAACCCGCGCAGCTGCCGGACGGGCTGGGCGGCGGCGTCGGGGAAGGCGACGTACAGCTGCACGGCCTCGGCGCCGTCGCGGTCGCCCGAGTTGGAGACGTCGGTCTCGGCGGTGGCCACGACGTCCCAGAGGTCCTCGCGGCCGCCGACGGCGCGCTGGCCGCGCGAGTACTTCTGCTCGAGGTTGGCGGCGGGGGCCTTGGCGACGGTCAGGTCGGCGGCGTAGGCGAAGGAGGTGTAGGACAGGCCGAAGCCGAACTCGTAGCGGGGGGTGACGTTGTACGCGTCGAAGTACTTGTAGTCGATGTAGTTGCCCTCGGAGAAGTCGCACAGCAGCTCGGTGCACAGCGCCGTGTTGTAGTCGGACTCGTTGCGCGCGAGCGTGTACGCCAGCTTGCCCGACGGGTTGACGTCGCCGTACAGGACGTCCACGATGGCGCGGCCCGACTCCTGCCCGAGCATGCCGCCGTACACGACGGCCGTGACGTTGTCGTGCTCGATCCACGCGTCGACGAGGCGGGCGGCGATGGCGTTGATGACGACGATGGTGTTGTTGCAGGTGCCCGCCACCGAGGCGACCATGGCGTCTTGGTCGGTGTTGTAGAGCTCGGTGCGGTCGGCGCCCTCGCCCGAGTAAGAGTTCAGGAAGACGAGGCAGACTTCGGTGTCGGCGGCGTAGGCGGCGTAGGTGTGGGCTGCGCCGGTGCCCGACGAGTAGCCCGAGACGCCGCCCGAGCTGCTGGACGAGGCATAGGCCGTGTCGTTCATGAGCCAGCGGAACATGGTGCCGTCCTCGATGACCTTGGTAGTCAGGGCGTAGTGGGGGGTGATCAGGTAGGAGAACGAGCCGGTGCCGCTGCCGCCCAGGCTGGCGGCGTGGCCTTGGAAGACGTCGTCAGAGCCGGTGACGGAGAGGGGGTCGTTGGGGCCGGCATTCGCAGCGCCGGCATGGGCACCGAAGATGGACATGGACTTCGGCTTGTTCAGGGGCAGGGCGCCGTTGACGTTCTTGAGGAGTACCAGCGAGGAAGCGGCAATGTTACGGGCGATCTTGCTGTGGTTCGCACGGGGGTCGACGTAGTCCTCAAGGCCGGCGGTCGCGGGGTACGAGCCATCCTGCTGGTTGAAATAGTACGAGGGCAAGACATTGCGGACGGCCATGTCGGTCAGCCGAGCCTCGGTCAAAGAACCGTTGTTCAGACCCGTGTTGATGGTCGAGTTGCTCCAAGTCGAGGAACTGCCGTAGTCCATGCCGGCATTGGCAGACCCGAAGGCAGTCTTCTGACCACCAACGTCGCCAAACACGAAACCAGGGAATCCGATCTCAGTCTTGAGCATACCGCCAATGAGGTCCTGGTTCTCGCACGCGTAGGTCTATGGATAGGTCAGCGCAGCCATTCCCTCGTATGATGACTCAGCCTTACCTCGTTCACTCGGTTCAGAGCACACATCACAGCGCCCAGACCGGCCTTGACACCGTCATAGAAAGGCCACATGTACCTGTAGTCGTTTATCAGCTGGATTTGCTCTGTTTTCATCAGGTGTGCTCAACGTACGTCTCATGGAGGGTCTTGTCATCAACCTGAGCGGAGTAGGCAGTGCTCTCAGAGCTCGATGAATCGCTGCCGCCGGCCATGCCACCATCGGGCGAGGTGGAGTTATCGCCGCCACTAGAGACGGTGGAGTTGGCGCCATCACTGGGAGGGCTGCCGCCACCGCCACCGCCACCGGTAGAACTCTGGGTGCGGTTGTTTTCCTGCTCGTTCAAGAGGAAATGCTTGGCTCCGGAAATGACGCCAGCATCGCCGTAGCCCTTCACGGAAAGACCAAAAGCGATGCCGTTCAGGTACGAGTCGGGACCGAATGACTCGCCGTTGCGTCCACCCCAGGGAGAACGGCCCAAGGGTTGGCTGACAGGGCCGTTGGCAACGTTGATTCCCTTGGCGTAGAACTCGTCGCCCAAGGCCTTGTACATCTGGTACATCTGATCTTTGTCCCAAGTCATGGCAAGGGCCGAGGAGAGGGGCCTGGTGAGTCAGTGGTTGTTCCACCAACAGCTCATGCAGAAGGCAACGTACCAGGTGGTGACGTAGTAGTAGTCGAGAATGGAGTCGCCGGAATCCCTGAAGTAGAGAGCGGTAAAGTTGGAGACATCGGAGCCAGTGATCAGGGAAACCTTTTCAGAAGTGCTGAGCCCATCGACGAATGTTTTTGCGCGGTCATAGGCATTTTGCCAGTCTCCGAGCTTGACTGAGTCGGGTTAGAATTCGACAAGCGTTCGACGGGTCACCATGTTGAGAGACGTACTGGTTCCGGAAGCAAGATTCTGGCTGGTGTAGTTGGTAGAGTAGGCGTGAAGGCCCTGGACCAAGAGGGTCACGGCCGAAAGAACGGAAAGCGAAGAGCGCATTTTGGGCTCGATGAAGGGCTAGGGCCCGGTTGGAGAGAAAGGCGAGTGCTTGTCATTGTTCCCAGTCGCACCTCAAACATTATAAAGGATTGTTCCCCGGATCGTGAGGCCTTCTTCGGACTTCAGGGTGTTACGCGTCCCAGGCATGGGCCACAGGAGTAGTGTGCTCGTCGGCGGATTGCAAGAGACGGCATCTTTTTTTCGCGCGGCGAAAGTGGCGCGAAACCGGCCAGCGGGAGGGACCAGCGCACATGTCACCTGCAGATCGGAACATGTTCGGGGGCTGGGAAGAGATGAAACGGCAGAACAGGTGTTGAAACAGCACACAGGCGCGCCGGCGGGTGGATTCCAGCGTTGCAAAGCGCAGGCAGTCGTCATCTTGGAGCAAAGGAGCGTCATGCGAGGGCGGCAATTGCGCGGTTCATGCCGACGGTGAGGCTCCAGACATGGGGCCATAAATCAAGGTTTCTTCACGGGTCGATTGGGGCCTGAGTCGTCTGGCGGAATGATTGGGCTGAGCGAGGCCGGAGCGTATCGGCAGGGCGGGATAAGCCACAAGCACTGGGCCGTTTTGGGGGACACGGGCGTGCTGAAGTAGACGAGGCTTACGACGCAGGGATCGGCATTATTGTCGTGATATGTAAGTCCGCATGAGGTTGCCGGAGTTGGGCCGTGGCTCAGGCTACAAACACGGCAGGAGTAAGATAATGGCTCCGCTGTCGCACTGCGATAGAGGACGCAGCTATTGGGAGGTGCGATAGGGGGGGCCCAGGCGGGCACGCCGAGCTGCGGCCATGCCGACACGACATGGTGCACATGCGGCATTCGGAGGCGCAGAAGAGGCTTGAATAAGCTTACCCATTAAGCATTTTGGCGTTCGACGCCGGGGGCTGCTGGAGCGGCTCGTGGCTCTGCCCAGGACAGGAGCACGACGCGTGAGAGCACGGATGCGTGGAAGGCGATGGCGCAAACGAGCCGGGCAAATGACAGCGGTGGCGGACGGGCGGTGGTGAGCGGGAGGATGACGGCGTTTGGAGGTGGTGGAGTGGCTTGCGCGTACCCGGTCCCGCGAGGGGGCGAATCTACAACTCTCACGCGCTACGCCAACTCGGGCTAGTCCGCTACGCGTCTGCCCCGTCCTTAAATCCCTGCTTCGCCGCTCCACGAGCTCGGTGGTCTTCATCATCGCCGTCCTTCTCAACACATCCGCCTCGCTCGTCGATGCACCATGCAAATGGAGTCACATACACGAGAGTCTTCGTAGACAGCAAGCAAAAATTAGGTGATTTCCTCAAGTGTTTGCATGCTTTATGATCGCGCCAGCTTTGTTCCAAGACACCACGAGCAGGGTCTTTGTGCCATAATGGTACACGACTCGCTGCCTGTCTTCCAAGTCCCTTCGCCATGTGCAAGCACACAAGCACCCTTATGCTGTCCGGCCGCCATCTGCGACGTTGGTTACAGGGATGAGGCTGTCGTCCGTGATCTGCCTCGCATCGGCCGCTGATGTGGAGGCAAGATGCGGATCGTGCAGACTGAACCCCACCACGCATCCCGGCGCCGATTGCATGTCTTGGAGTTGTGAGATCAAAAGGCTTGAAGCGACTGCAAGTGAAGAGCGCGCCTCGGGATGCCTGAGGATGACTGAGGCTCAAGGTGGTTGCAGCCGACCGTAACTTCCTCTCTCGACATTCACCACCAGCTCAGCGGTTTTCTGTCCTGCTGCCGCCTCGCCTCTTTTCATCACCCAACACCACAGACTCAACCCCGCAACCTGCCACAACCTTCTGCCGCAAATAGCTGACCCGCTCCACACACTCGTGAGTAAATGCAACCAGCACATGCCACCCAAGGGTGTCTACTCATTAAACATCTCTAGATAATCAGCCAACCTTACCCAAAGCAAATATGCGCTTCCATTTTCCGCTAGCCGCTTACGGCTCACTTCTTCTGGCCGGAACCGCCACCGCTGGACCGGTGGGATACGCGGTCTGTCAGGCTGGCTGCGCGTCAGTCGTGATGGCGTGCTACGGTGCTGCGGGGTTCACTTGGGGCGCCACCGCTGGTGCCACCGCTCCCGCGACCATCGTAGCATGCAACACCGCCTATGGCACATGCCAGTCTGCTTGCGCGGCGGTTCTGCTGAGTCCGTTGCCTTGAAATGGAATCGCCTGGCACACGACGGACTTTGCCTTATCCTTCTGAAGCTACGACCAGGGATAATACGGCGCACGGCATGCACGAGGAGACGGTCAGCTCAAATTTGCTTTGGAGGATATGCGGAAAGGTCTGGAGCGGTAAAGACAACGGCCTAGGTTCTACGGAACAATAAATGATGGGAAAACTTTGGGGTAGCACAATAGGCAAATGCATACGGCGCTGTTCGTGGAAACCAACATTTCCTCAACAGTGCGCTTCCCCCAGCTGTCCTCCTCACTTGTGGATCCTCGAATAATATGCAGTGTCTACTCTGCTCCCACTAAGCTTTGCTTACTTTTCTATGAGATTATTGAAGTCGCTTTCTTTACACCGGGCGACAGTGCACGATAAAGCCGCACAAGCAGCCCACGAACGGCCTCTGCACCTCATATGCTACCTGGCAAATCTTCATCTTCATCGCTGATTCAAAATCCCCGTTTTTTACTATATAGTAGAGTTTCCTGTCTTATTACGACGCTCGATCGTAGCCTTTCCTTACTAGTCGACATCGCTTCTTCATCCTCCAACACTTGACGTCTCTATGCAACAAGTCCACCTTCTGATAGTCTTCCGGCCGTGCGCGCAAGCGAAGTGGAATATCTAACTATTGGGACTAGTTTAGTTGTTCGCTGCCTAAAGGCACGACCACCCTCGCTTAAGTATAACTACTCGGTTTGCCCCGCATGCACGCAAACACGAAAGGGAACCATATAATCCCTTATTCTCGGGATAAAGCGCAGCGATGACGCTTCGAAATAGGCTGCTCGGCCCTGGCGTTTCGTGAAGCATGCGCCTTATTTCAAGCTGTATAGTCCTAGAGCAGATCTCAACGCTCTCATTATTATTGATGCATCTTTGTAGCTGAACTGCGACTTAAGCGAGAACGCGAAAAAAAAAGCATCCAGCCGTATCTGACACAACTATATTTAGTACTGCAGACGATCGACCTACTTGCCGAACACACGTGATGTCGTGCCGCGCGTAGGCATCTGCAACCGCAAAGCCTCATTATTGCCTCTCTTGTCCCATGCCGGCGCGCTTACCTTGATGGATCATCAACCAAACTGTTGAGGCAATAACGTCTGCTGTAGCCACTTCTCGCAGCAGCGTATGAACCCACCACCTGTCTTTCTGCCCCGTGTTTCCCCTGCCCCAACATTCCTTTGGTCCCTTTCGTTTTCCCTTCTTCCTCTTCTCTCGCAGCCCCGCCCCACACCCACCAATAATGGACGCGCAGCCGTCCGAGACGATACGCACATGCCAGAACTGCGTGCACGCCAAGATCAGGTGCCTGCGCAGCCAGCCCTCGGGCGCCTGCGACCGCTGCCGTCGCCTGCGCAAGGACTGCGTCTTCCGCCCCGCCCGCCGCCGCTACGGGGGCGGCGGCAGAGGCGGCCTCCCTGCCGCTACTACTCCTCCTCCCCTCCCGGCCTCTGCTGCCGGTGCCGGTGCCGGTGCCGGGCTCCCTGGGTATGGCGGCGCTGGTGCCAGCGGTGCGAATCAAGTTGATGCGCCGGGGGCTGCTCCTGCTGCTGCCATGCAGGATCCCACCCAACGCCAACTCGACGCCATTCAGGAGAAACTCGATCGCTTGCTCGTCCTGCAGGGCGCTTCTTCGTCGGCCTCTGCGAGCTGCTTGTACGCGGCGGCCGCGGCGGCCGCGGCGTCGTCACCCTCGGCGTCGTCTTCGTCCAATCCCGGAACCGTCCCTTCCTCCTCTTCGACCGTCGCAGCCATCCCTCATCACCCGGCGGCGACGACCCATCCTCCTCTGCACGCGGTCAAAACCACATCCACCGCCGCCGCCACCGCCGTCCCCGACATCATCGACGACGGCGTCATCTCTCTCGCCCAGGCAGAGCGCTGCATGCACATCTACCGCACAGCACTGACGCCGCACTTCCCCTTCGTCGTCCTGCCCGATTACGATGGCGATGGTTTCGACGACGACGACGACGACGAGGGCGTGGCAGTGGGAGGGAAAAGAGCAAGACGAGCCCGCCCGCCAGCGGAACCGGCCGTCGTCGTGAGGCGGCTGAGGAAGGAGCGGCCCGTGTTGTTTCTGGCCGTGGTCGGCGCGGCGAGTTTCGAGGACGTGGCGTTGCAGAGGGAGTGCGCGAGGAGGTTGCGGGAAGTGGCGGCCGAGAGGGTTGCGGGGAGGGGGGGAAAGAAGGCGATAGGGGTGGATTTGCTGATGGGCTTGTTGGTGGGCTTGGCTTGGTGAGTATGGGGGAGGTGGTGGATGCGGCCATGGCTTTGGCTGGCTGACTTTTGGGCAGGAGCCATTATCATCCGAGACCGAGGCGGTACTCGCAGCATCTGCACATTGCCATCAGCATCATTGCCGATCAGAGATTCGACCGGCCTCCGCGCACGCAGTTTTGGAAAACCCATGTCGGGTCTACCGAGCATGACCCCGTATCGGAGTCGAAAGCGCCTCCCCCGTCGAGGAGCAATGAGATAAAGAGGGCTGTAGCTGGCTGCTACTACCTCTCCTCGAGGTTGGTCGGCTCTTGACTCTCGTGGCGGATTTTCCCTGACTGTTGCAGCATCGCATCCCTCTTGCAGAAGCTAAATACCTTTCCATGCACTGCCTACATCGAAGATTGCTGCAAATCTCTGAGCTCGAACCCGGAGCATCCCACTGATAAGTATCTGTACGCTATAATACGCCTACAGCGTTGCATAGAAGAGGTGGACACGCCTCTCAACGTTCAAGCCACCACTCCGGCCGAAGCACAGGACTTGGCTGGGGCAGTCTCACAGATGAACCCGAACTCCATCAGAGCTCAGCTGCCCTTCGACTTGAGGGAAAACGGTAAGGAAACGTCAAAGGGAAGCGGCATGCTGCTCGAGGTGCTGACAGCGATCGCATCAGAACTCGTTTATATGCTGTTCTACACGGCTGAATTGAACGCGGTACACATGCGCCACTTTTGCTCTGGTCTTCATCCAGGCGCCCCTCTGGACGTCAACGACTTGGACAGCGGCTTCCAGGCAGCAAGTTCGTTGCTGGGCTATTTCCTGTCTCTCCCGCCCCGCAGTGATCTGGCGTATAATAACTCGGAGTGGCTACAGCTCAGCCTCGCGCTAACGGTATCGGCGAAACTGGTCTTTGCCGCATCGCACCCTTCCCTGGGCATCTCCGGGGGCGTGCAGGCTCCGCTCGATCTGTCGGCGCTGCTTTCTCAGATCGCGCTGAGGCTCGGTGCCCTGGGGCGGTCGGGCGTGGGCGTGGACATGACGGGCCATCCGTACATCTTCAACGAGTTCTCCCAGCGCGTGCAGCGGCTGCAGAAGTGGTTCGAGGATCGGTACGCGCGGGTGCGAGGCGCCGCCCAAGCGGTGGACCAGCCGTCTGGCTCGGGCGGCGGGGCGGCAGAGCTGATCAACTTCTCGCAGTACTGGGGAAGCGATTTGATGCTGCCTGACCTGCTGGCCTCCGACGGACTGGTCACGCTCGATCAGCAGCTGGCGGCTTACTTCCCGGACATGCATATGGGGGACGCCATGGGCGACTGGCCCGTGTTTCCGGACGCGTTCTGAGGCCGGCCAGTCGTCGAGTACGTGATTCACCGACGTCTTAGGATCCTGCGGAACCATTCCGGCCAAGGCTTGGGGAAAACACCATCATCCTTAGTCATTGGTGTTGAGGTCATGACCGGCGGGCATCAGCCTCGTGCGCACGGCCCGTGTGGACTCCTCCCCCTCGTGTCTTTGCACATATGGGGGAACGCGTCTTACAAGTGGTCGCAATGCTAACTCGTTTGGCGTGCGGACAGTTCACGGTGGCTTGGTGGCTTTGGGGCTGGTCAACGGCGGGAAGCCTAGCCCGTGTCCGAATCCGACTCCGAGCAGTGAGACGACGCACCGCCGCTTCAGGCAACAACAATTCCGCGTCTGTGGTTGGGCCCGTCAGCCCGCCCCCATTTTTTTTAAACAACGAAGGATCAACTGCGCCCCTTCCGAGATGCGTGTCTCTGCAGTGCCAAGTAGTACGGCTGCGGAAAAATAAGCAGTGCTGGTTTCCATCAGCACTGCCATGATGGATTCCAGCGTAAGAACCCAAACCGTTCTTCTTTCGCACTTTAAATCATTCGTCTCCGCATGCAAGCAACAGCATCTGCACCCACTGGCTTCCCTTCCCCATTTTGAGTCTCCAAACGAGCCTGTTTCACGACAATGACGACCAACCAAACACTGATAATGGAGGACCCGGGCGAGTACTGCACAATCGACACTTGCTCGCTCGAACTCGCCAACTTCACCTACATCCCAACACTTGCCGGCAACGCCACCTATCTAGCCATCTTCGCCTTCCTCGTGCCTTTCCAGCTCTTCTTCGGCATTCGCTATCGGACATGGGGCTTCCTCGTCGGCATGATCGGCGGCCTGGCCCTTGAAATCATCGGCTACGTCGGCCGCGTCCAGCTGCATTTCAACCCCTTCCCATTCGACCCCTTCCTCGAGTGAGCATCTCCCTCATCGTCGTCTTTGTTCCATGGCTGACGCAAGCATCCAAAAGGTACCTCATCTGCCTCACCATCGGCCCGGCCTTCCTCAGCGCCGCCATCTACCTCTGCCTCGGCCGCATCGTCGTCGTGTACGGCGAACACGTGTCGCGCATCGCGCCGCGCACCTACGCCATCATCTTCGTTTGCTGCGACCTGCTGTCGCTGATCCTGCAGGCCGCCGGCGGCGCTCTCACTGCTACCGCCGACAAGGACCAGGACGACCTGCGCGACACGGGCATCAACATCATGATTGCCGGTCTGGCCACCCAGGTCGCGTCGCTCGCAGCCTTTATTTTGCTGTGCGCCGAATTTGCGTGGCGGGTCGTGCAGAACAAGCACAGGCTGAACGAGAGCTTTGAGGGTTTGAGGAGGACCAAGATGTGGAAGCTGTTCTTGTTTGGTGAGTATCCATGTTTTTTTTTTCCTTTCATTCTGAGTTTGCTGACTTTGAGGATAGGCATTGCTGTTGCCACAGTTACCATTTTCGTCCGCTGCATCTACCGGCTGTTGGAGTTGAACGAGGGCTTTGACGGCGAATTGGCAAACGACGAGCTGCTGTTCATGATCCTCGAGGGCCCCATGATCTTCATCGCGTGCATCGCTCTGACCATCTTCCACCCTGGCGTCTGCTTCCGCGGGAGGTTCCAAGAGGCAGATTGGTCGTTTAGCAAGAAGAAGAGCGGCGGGAGGACCAAGGAGACGGGGTTTTCGGAGACGGAGGACGAGAGAGCTTAGGTATCCGGGTTTCCTTATTTTGTTGGGTCAAGGTAGTGTTGTGCGAACAGTCCGTTTTTCAGCACAGAGATGGCATGAGAGGACGGTACTTGCTCAAACACCGGCGACGACAACGCTTGCGTGGACCGAAAGAGAAGGAAACGAAGGCCAGAGATCCCCGGCAAGGTGGATCAGATACCCTTTGGCCGCATTTTTTCTTCTTTCGACGAGTCCCGGGTCCATACTGACGTATCTCTTGTTCAATCTCTTGTCTTTTACATTATTCCTGCTCAGAATCTAGACCGGGGAAAATCCATGATAGATTCTATGCACATTTCTTAACCAGGGGCCTGATCCATGCTGTCCTGATATGCATTTAGAGCCCGGGGGATTTATTCCGTACAAGCAATGCGAAGGCCTGCTAGGCAAGCGATCTCAGCCAGCCGTCGCGCCTACCGCTACGGCTGTTCCCACATGTGCTACCCTATGCGGGAGAGCACCTTATCCTCCCCGGTCGTTCTGGCACTTCTACTGCTGCTACCGCTCACTGATTTCCCTCTTTTGCTTTCCCCTACTCCAATTCTCCCCCACCTCTTACTGTCTAAGCTGCTCTGACCTTTTTTTCTCTTCTCCGTATTCTCTTATACGGGCCATTCAATCATCCGACGCATCTTACGAAATGGGGCGATGCACGTTGCGCGTGGACTTCCCATTCGCTGCTCTCTTCTGCGCCTACATCACACCTGACCGGGGTTCGTCCATCTATAAAACCTCGAACGACAGACCATGTCCGATAAAGGCAATGAACTTTACGCTGGAGCTGAGCAGCCATCTTGCCACGCCAACAGCTCTCAAGACGACGAAGCAAGCCATTCCACGGGCTCAAATCACTTGTCGAGCGAGACTACCATCGCCCTACTTGCTCTTGTACTTATGGTCATCATTCCATTGGTTGCCATGCGAAGCGCCGTTTCTCTTTATACAGGTTGGGGTAATGATCGGTTGGCATTGGATCCATACGCCGATCATACAGGCCGAATAAAGCCGCACAGCACTACACTCTACCCACTTGGATGCCTTTGAAAAACTCGGAAAGTTGTTGTGCAGGTAATATTTCTGTTACTCGGGAAAACTCCAAAGAGATGTTCAATTCCGTTGTGGAAAAAAAAAGAACAAAAAAGAAAGACGGGGGAGAGATACAACTACGCGAAAGCAGGCACTCAAGGCTAAGCAGCATAGATTCATTGTGTATGAAGGTGGTCTCGAATGAGGCATAGTCAAGTTTACTTCCCTCCAGTCGTGACCTCCTTGTCTGAGAACCCAGTCTTCTCGAACGGCTTGCCGTCTATCAGCACCGGCTCCGCCGCTGTAAGTGCAAAGGTCAGCGAGATCACAGCATGCACAACAAGCTCACCCGTAGACACCGGACGGCAGAAAGGTAAGAAATAAGCCCGTACCGATAAGGACAAAGTAGATCCTGGCTGGCTTGTCTGTGGGGTTCTTCCAGCCGTGTATCGTTCCGCGCTGTACGCACACGTCTCCACGCTTCATGCGTTTCGTCACGCCGTCGTCGAGGTAGCTGCAGTGCCAGTCAGAAACCAAGGCTTTCACAGCAGCCGAGCAACATACCACTCCACCTCCCCTTCCAGAACAATCCCAAAATCCAGGGAGACGGTTCGGTGGAAAGGCTGCCATCAGGGTTCAGTCAAATACGCATGTCACGGGAGTACGAAGGAAGACTTCTTCCATACCGTGACGGTGTTTGCAGGAATGTCGACGACGCGCAGAACCACGCCGTCCTTGTTGGAGAGACTCTCGGTCTTTGTGGTGATTGGGTCCTTGAAGTCGTTGTTGGTGGCGGGGAACTCATGCGTCTCCCAGAGCACGGCGAAGGAGGCGTCCATGTTGGTGGGTTCCGGCTCGACGGTGTGATCCTTGAGGTAGACGGCCTTGCCTTTCTCGTCATGGCCGGTGACGAGGCGGCGGGGAGCGGAAAACAATGCCATGCTTGGTGCTTGGAAGCTTTCACAGAGATGTTGATATTACACTGGTGGGGCTGATGGTTGCGGGTGCTAGAACTTGCTATTTATTCCTGGCGAAGACAACAATGGAGTAGAGAGATGACCGGAGAAAGAGGGTTCGGCTCTCCTCAGAGGTGGACATGGGGCCAAGGGCATACTGCATGCAGAGCGGGGAATTGGCCCGTTCGGAACCGATTCGCGGTCCCGACGTCAATAGTGTCCGGCCACCCGCCCTCGCAGGCTGCCTGCCGGAAACGAAAACTCACCGCAGCATGCATGGACGGCCCGGACTTCTCCAAGGTTCCCGCCTCCGACCAGCTATTAATCTTACCGTTGCCCGGTCGAGCATTGAGTTATCGTTCTCCAAGATATCCCATTCGCAAGCCGAGCACCCCCTCCTTCGAGTTTCTGAAATGGGCTTTACGCCCGATATCGCCGAAGGCTCGCCCTTCACACTTGCCAACATCCCCTTCGGCGTGTTCTCTACAGCCGCCGCTCCGCAGACACGCTGCGCGACTGCCGTCGGCGACTTCGCGCTTGACCTCCGTCAACTGAGCGAACAAGCCATCTTCAAAGACCAGCAAGTCAGCGACGCGTTTGGCCATGTGAGCATGCCTCTGTACCCCACTTAGAAGAGAACAATGGCGTTTTAATAGCTTAAAGCATGATCTCAGTATCTTCGCCGCCCTGCCGGGAACCGTGCGGACAGCTGCCAGACAGCAGATAATCGATGCCATCAAGGCCGGATCAGTTGGCGAGAAGTGTTTCGTCCCACTCAAAGACGTGAAGATGCACCTCCCCATGGAGTGCAAGGGCTACACCGACTTCTTCTGCTCGTGGGAACACTGCAGCAACGTAAGCGCGCTCCGCTCGCCACACCGGAGCCAAAACAAGCCGCGCAGCACGACTGACCCAAGAAGTGCGCCCCCATGAGCTCGGGCAAGATCCCCGACAACTTCTTCAACGCCCCCTCGGCCTACAACGGCCGCGCCTCGAGCGTCATGCCGTCCCCGCACAAGCTGAACCGCCCCAAAGGCACCTACTGGGACGCGTCCGCCGAGCCCAAGAAGGCCGTCCACGCCCCCTCGCGAGCCGTCGACTACGAGCTCGAAATGGCCACCGTCGTGTCCAAGCCGCTCCCCTACGGCTCGACCCTCGCCTCGGCCTCGGCCGCCGCCGACCACATCTTCGGCCTCGTCCTCCTCAACGACTGGTCCGCGCGCGACATCCAGCGCTTCGAGATGCCGCCGCTGGGGCCCTTCAACTCCAAAGCCTTCGGCACCACCGTCTCCCCCTGGGTCGTCACGCTCGACGCCCTGGCGCCCTTCGCCGTCGCGCCCAAGCACCCGCAGACGCTCGCCTCTCCCCTTCCCTACCTGCAATACGACAAGGACGACGACGACGACAGCAGCAGCAGCGGTGCCGGTGCCGGTGCCGGCGCCGGCGCCGCGACCGCGACCTTCGACGTCCGCCTGTCCGCGCACCTGCTCCGCGGCGGGCGGCGGCACCGGCTGTGCGCCAGCAACCTCGCGTACCTGCTGTGGACGCCGTTCCAGCAGCTCGCGCAGCAGGCGTCGTCCGGGTGCGGCCTGCGCACCGGCGACCTCGTCGGCACCGGCACCGTGTCGGGCGACGCGGCCGACGCGCGCACCGGGCGCAAGACGGAGCTGGCCTGCCTGTTCGAGGCGACGCTGGACGGGGCGCGGCCGCTCGCCCTCGCGACCGGCGGCGGCGACGGCGACGGCGACGGCGAGCGGCTGGCCTATCTGGAGGATGGCGATGCGGTCGTGTTGGAGGGGAGGTGCGTGGACGGGGAGGGGAGGACGGTGCTGGGGTTTGGCGAGTGCGTGGGGGAGCTGCTGCCGCCGGTCGCTTGAGAGGGGTTGTTGAGGGAGGGGTAGCGAGCGCAGGGGAGGAGCTGGTGCACGAGGTGGGGAACCGGACGGGGAGGTCCGTGCCGGCGTTTCCGGAAGCGCGGGGTTGAGGGGAGAGTGGAGGAGCCTCATCAGGTCAATCTTTACTTGATCCCGTCCTCTTTTTTCTCCTGAAGTAATCCAGGCCGTTCCCTCTGCCCTGATGTTCCAGATCCCGTGCCCAGCCCGCCCCTCCCTGAACTGCCGTCACCACACCATCGTCTCCCTCATCTCTTTCGTTTTCGCGGAGATATAGATCTATTCATAATCTATTCGGTGGTTTATTGATCCCAATCATCTAGCCCTGAATAAACAAATCCCAGACACCGCATTCGGACCGGGCATGGACATCGTCAAGGCATCGCAAGAAATCCAGAACGCCACTGTATAAGACCCATTCCACCCGCCAATGAGATTTTTTTTTTTCGGTGGGCCCCTCTTTGCCCGTGTAAGGAAGAGAAAAGTGGCGTTGAACGCTAAAAGGCTGCTTAGGGAGCGCTACCGTGTGTGAACAAAAGCAAATTTCGCCTCCCAGTAAGGCACTCTGGAAAGTTAAATAAAAGAAAAGGGGGAAGAAACGAACATTGGGTGGTCTTGAGGATGTCGTCAACCTTGTAGGCAGATTGGTCGTGGAAGTGGATATCGCGCGGAAAAATGGGAACGAAGAAGTGATCGCTCAAACTCAGAAACGCCAACAAACCAATGAAACCGATGTTGCGCCGCCTCTTATCTGTGAAACTATCCTTGCTTCGTCTGAAACCGGTCTGTCTCATGCTCGCTCGTCATCCTTGGCTTTCTTGGCCTCATCGTCACTTTTCTCGTTCTGCTGCTCATCACGTCGCCGATCCACCGTGGACACACCGCTCGACACCGTCCGGCTTGAAGCGTTACTCCTGATAGTCGGGTTGTTGGTGCGGCAGTCTTCGTCCTGATCCGTTGAATCGCTCTGGTCCGACGTGACCATGTCCGGTTCTTCTCTATGCTTGTACATGGTTGCGATGCCCATGCAAACAGCACTGACCATGAGGCACGCGCCGCTCCAGAGCTGGACGGTGATGTAGGTCTTGTACTCGGAGATCAGATGGCCGGCAATGATGGGGCCGACGAGAGCGGGTATGCCCGCAAAGGTGTACATCATTCCCGTCCACTGGCCCAACTTGGCTTGCCTACGCGGGTCCTTGCCGAGAAGGTTGGCCATGCTGGCCGGCGGAAGGCCGATGACAGAGCCGCTGAAAACTCCGAAGAAAGCGACGAAGACCATCGCCACATCGAAATTGGGTGCCAGAGTCCATAGGAGAAGCAGGAGAAGAGAGCTGACTCCAGTGGCAATGGTGTGGACTCGGACTGCACCGAAGCTGCCGAAGGATCAAAGTCAGTTCGAGTGGACCCGCCATCTCACGCCGCAATGACTTACTGATCACTAAGCCAAGCGGCTCCAACACGACCGAATGTGCTCATTGCGTTCATGATAGCGAGCATGTAATATGTGGCCAGACCGGCCGTCAGAGGTCGGTGCTCGCCCGGGCCAGATGTCCGGCCAATGCCTGCTTTGTACCCGAAGCCTTTGTAGGCAGCCCACTATGAGGATGGAGTGTTAGTATCGAGGGCAACTTCTGCGCTGTTGGCTGCAAGGGGCCTTGTGGTGTCAGGGCGACTTACCTCCTCAAGGTTGAAGAAGACTGGATAAAATCCCAGGAACAGGAAAGCAATACTGGCGGTGAACCAGTTGAAAGGCTTGTACTGGAATGCCTCGAAGTCCACCCAAGCTCTATGGTCCATCCAAGAACCGGGACTGTGGTGGATATGTTTCGGATTCGGTGTCGCGAAGAAGAAGGAGAACAAGGCGGTAATTCCAATCAGACCTGCGACACAGCGTACCGCATTGTTGAAGCCGATGGACGTGGTGAGGAAGCGCAACATGATTGGGTAGACGAGGCCGGCTATGCGGAATTGTTAGTGCGACCCGCCAAGGCGCCATTGCAGAGCTGCAGCAATGGTGTTAATTCCTAGGATGAACGCTGGGGACTTACAAATGCTCGCACCTGAGGCGACGATGCCAATAGCCAGACTCTTTCGGCGATGAAACCATGTAGCCGCGACTAGGAAGCACGTAGAGTCAGCGTCGTCGATCAAGCCAGCGTCTGCCATGGCTTGGTATATCATGGTGCAAACCCAACCTCACAGGGTTGACCGCTACGCCGTGTGTTGTTTTGGGGGTGGTACTTACTTTGCGAGCTGCTGACGAAAAAGCAAGCCATGCCCAGCCCCGCGACGATGCCGTGCGTGGCCTCAATGTTCGCGAAGGAGCCTTGTTTCCACTCGCCGTTGCCGTTGGAGATGCTGAGCATCATGAAGCCAAGAGTGATGAGGAAGGTGCCGGTACCGAGCAAGTACTTGTAGAGCCCGGCGTCCAGGAGGCGACCGACGACGCCCGACAAAATGAGCACCATAAAACATTCCGTTGCGCCGATGAGGTTGAAGTATAACGCATCAGTGTCCGGAAGGAGTACGTCCTTGTAGTATGACGAAAAGGTCCCGTAGGCGTTGACGAGGCCCCAGCTGTTGAACATGAGGAAGAAGCAGGCACACAGTGTCGTCCACGCCCGCCATTCGGTCGGCCAGTTCCCTTCTTCGATCTCGGCTTGCTGTGAAGGCTGTCCTGAGGTGGCCCTGTCGAGTCGCGTGGAGCCGCCTTTCTCAGGATCGCTGTCGAAAAGCGATGGAGCAGCGCTCGAGGGCGGTCCCGGCGTTGTCCTTCTGGCGTCCTGTGACGCATCCGTTGGCGGTCCAGGCTCGGCGACCTGGAAGGAGATTGTGGTCATCGTGTGGTTGTGGCGGGTGAGTGTGGGTGAGGAACGGGGAAGCACGAGGGCAAGGCGGCAAGGCGGCAAGGTGGCAATATGAATAGGTTCCAGTCACTCCGCTGAGTGTTCGATGGCCACCACAGGTATTGGATAAAGGGCGATAGGGCTGACGAATACTGGGGCTGCTAGTTTAGGGTGACAGAGGGTGTATTGATGAGGGGGGGAAGAGAGGACAACACAGTTCAATAAATAAGCCGGTTTGAGGAAGCGGAAGAAGCATATGAGCGAGAAGTCATTATCTATTGGCAGGCCGACGGCTCGAGCGCCGTCGTGAGGCCCACATGCGCGCCAGCGCGCATGGTGCGCACTCAACGATGAGCTAGTGTTAGGCGTTATCAGAAGTCAGGTCTCGGCATCAACCACGCTCCGATTCAAGGGCAGCGGGCACGGGGATTGAAAACGACTAGCAGTTGGGCACATTATGGCGGGCAGGCGCAGCACGGGCGGCGATCCAGGCAGCGACTGGGCAGGCCGTCTGCTGTCATCATCAGCGCGGCGAGCGGCAGAGATCTGCATGCATGCGGCCAAGAGGGCCAAGACAGGGGACACGGCTGCGGCGCGGAGGGCATGTAGGCGGGCTTACCGTTGGGGTGAGGTGTCTAGGCCGGAAATAGAAATCCAAGGTGTTGAGTTACGCAGGGCCGTCGTTCCTTGGGCAGGAAGGCCGGGGAGGGCGCACTGCCAAGGCCGGAAAGGAGAGCGGACCGCTACGCGGATGCCAAACTTCGTGGCTGAGCGCTGCGGACTGAGTAATGCTTGTGCGACCCCTGGCGAAGACGGATCCAGCGAGGTGTGCGTGCGGCAAGAGGAGAAAGGATAGAGTTCCGCCCAAGATTAGCATGCAGCTATCGGGCTGCGATGCCACACGCGGCCGGACGACTCTGCGAGAGGCGTGCGAGAGGCGTGCGAGAGGCGTGCGAGAGGCGTGCGAGAGGCGTGCGAGAGGCGTGCAGGGCCGGGCAAGAGCGCGATCCTAGGTACACGGGGGTGTAAGGGATGGTGTAGATCACTGACAGAGGCACGATCTCGCCAGAGATAGCCGACAACTGGGCATGACGGTTTTGCGTGTCGGCTTTTCCTTGAAAGGATCGTCAGCATTTGCCGGAGCCAATGAGGAAGAGCCCGATGGGCAGGATCCAGCGGGTTGACGTCCCGTGACGTCGGTCGTGCGGACTCGGGAGGGCCTGGCTGAATGCAAGCGTTGCGCGGACAGAAAACGCTGTCTCGGCGGCCAAGGCCAAGCGAGTGAGGGACGTTTGGGTGGTGGGTACGCAGTCGGTATCAGCCAAGAGGCGGCCAAGAAGGGCAGCCACCGCTGACGTGCAAGCGGAGTGGGGACACGGCGGTCGAGGAGCCCGTGGAGCCCAAGATGTTTTGGAAATGGACGGCGGCGGCGGCGCGGCTTGGCGGGATGCGACGGACGGTCTTGGCCCCTAGCGCATTCGGCCGTCAAGGCGCGGCGATCAGCCAGATTCGACACTTGGTGGGCGCGGATCGCTCTGGTCGGGAAATGCGTCGCAGCCGAATGGGGCAGTGCAGGAATCGCCGCGCGCTCGAGGCGGGGGGCGGAGAGCAAACATGGCTGCTCGGCGCAGCGGGACTCCCAGCCTGTCGGCAAACCTACCCACCACCGGGCCCTCCGGCACCTTTCCCAGCGATGCGGTTCACGAGCAGCCGCGACTGTCCACCGCAGGCACCGTGGTGTCTGCCGGCAGACTGCGCTTGTTGTTATCATGCTGCGGAGCCAGGGCTGCGCGCCACGCTGTGAGACCGCATTCCGCACTGGCGCATGCAGCCGGCCAGGCCTGGACTGTGGGACGGCAGCGAGGACGCTGTCACACGTCGTCGTCGTCATCTCCGGGCTTGGGGACGTGACGACGCGCCGGCTGCGCAGTCCTTGGCGGGGCCCCGGAGTGCTCGTCGCCGCTGGCCGCTGGCCGCTGGCCGCTGGCCGCTGACCGCTGAAGCCACCGACGGCCATGCTCTGCCCGCCAGGCGGGGGGCGCTAGCGGGCGAGCCTGGAGAAGGCTGGGGCCGCGGGCAGTGTGGAGCCGTGAAGCAGTGGAGCAGTGGGACGTGGGGCGTGGGCGAGCACCGGCGGGGGGCGAGGGTGTGGTTTCTTTTCGGGCCCACAAACAAGCGCTGGAGTGGCGGCGCCGCTAAGAGATGCGTCCGCTTGGCTGCCAAGACCGCTCCGACGATTTCCGCTCCTCCAGCTCCAGGGCGCAGGGTCACGTAAAATCACGTGAAGTCACGTGAAATTACATAAAGTCACGTGGAATCCCGTGGGATCACGTGGGGTCCCGTCGTAGCGGTGCGGGCGTTCCATGCTGGATGCGTCGGACATGACGTTGCGCAGTGTGCATGGCCGGCGGGGCGCGCAGCCACTGTGGCCACTCCCACGCGATCGACCGGCCAATCCGCCCGCGTTCCTGCATGCTCCCTGCCCATATCGGCAGGGCAGAATGGTAATGGGCCGCCTTTTCTGGCCGTGGTCACAAGCCATCCCAATTCTCTGCTCCTCCAGCCTCCTTTATCCCAGCCAACGCTCGTGCCCTCTGCGCCGCTCGTATACCGCCCTGCAGCCCCCCCAATCCGTCAGGCGCGCGAGCTTATATTTTGGACTCCGACGCCTTCCGGCTCTCGGACCTTTTCGCTTGCTTTTCTGTTTTTCCCCGCTACAAAAACTCCAAGGATCGCCCGAGCCGTTTCAAATCACCCGCATTCCTGCCTCTACTAGCAGCCGTTCCGACCGGACCAACCTACGTCATACTCCTTCCCGTCGCTCGTATAAACGAACAACATCAATCTCCTTTTCGTCCCCCAGGAACATAGCTCCAATCCGATCCCAACTCCGAGGCCACCAGAAACATACAGAGCCAATTCCAATCCTACCACCCCACCACAACCGCCGAAGAAACCAATCGCCACTTCCGCCAACCCGCAGCCAATCCACAGCTCGCTCGGAGAGAGAGAGAGAGAACCAAAAGAAAAGAAAAAAAACCACCGCCACAATGCGCTTCGCAACCATCGCCACCCCCCTCCTCGCCGCCGGCCTCACCGCCACCACCTCCGCCTCGCCCCTCCCCAACACCAACACCCCCCGCGCCGGCGCCCCCGCCTACAAGCCCATCACGCCCCCCTGCCGCGTCACCGACCCCCTCCCGGCCACCAACGCGACGTCCGATCCGACGACGGCGGGCCTGCGCCCCTCGGCCTCCCTCACCGCCTCCCACCAGCTCTACTCGTGGGACCGCCCCGCGTCCGACGCCGCGTACCTCAACGCGTCGACGCTGTGGACCGACTGCATCGAGCAGTGCAACGGCCTCTCCGGCTGCGTCTCGGCCTTCCTCGCCTACGACGTGCCCGCCGAGCCGCGCTACGGCGCCCCCGGCGGCGCCCTCGGCATCGCCTGCCGCATGTTCGACGTCGCCGTCGCCGCCGCGGACTTCGCCCCCGTCGCGAACGGCTCGTACGTGCGGCCGGTGGCGGGCGTGATCGGGGGCGAGGGGTGTGGGAAGGGGGAGTGATGTTGATGTGACGTGACTGGGTGAGGACGCCTGACTGACTACATTTTGAGCAAACGGACATTCTATTCTGGGGGAGACTTTTTTTCTTTCTCTTCTTTCTTGGCCCCCTTCTCTTGCTTCTTTTTCTTTTTCTCCTCTCTTGAAAAGGAGAGGGTAACTTTTTCCGTATAGCATGGCATGGCATCGCATGAGCAGAGTAATAATGACTTGGGTAATGAACAAACAGCGCGTGTATGGAAGGAGGCAGGTGTTTTGAAGAGAGTTGGAAACATGATGAGCTGGCTTGGAGCTTTTGTAGCATTAGCGATTTGTTCTTTTCCTTTTTTTTAATGCCTGTACGATATTCAGACAAGCCTATTATCTTCCCACCCACAGTTCTCGTATGCGGTTGAGAATTGTGCAAAGATGGGGTGTCAAAAAAAAAGTTTAGCATCGAACACTCCTTCACATTGATACTACTACTTCTGCTTCGGCCCAACCTTTCGACTCCACCGGCCTCCCCAAGAAGTTCCAACGTCTCCCTTCTGGTCCATTCACCGTCAACCACCGAATACCCGAAAATTACGAAACAGAAACCCCACATGATGCCGTTGAGGGCAAAGTTGAAACGCGGGTCGGATATCTCAGGAGAAAACAAAAAAGAAAGGAGATAAAAAAAATCATAAAGGCCATGGAAGTTGTTTGACCGGTCGATGTCCTCAAAAGGCCATAAAGGAAAATTCTCGTAATCTCGTCTTGTGTGTTGAAGTGATGACGCCGCCCATATTCTTTTCCCATTTTTGTTTTTGGATTCCCCTCCCAAGATATGCAAAACACCTTTGTTGATGAATAGTTGGTGTTGTTATGGACTCTGTCTTTTTCCTCCTCCTTCATGCCCGTGGTTGTGTTGAAAAAATCCCCTCCCTGCTGTATGATGTTGAAGAACGCCTTGTCCATATAAGTGTTGAAAACACCCAATCCCTTTTTTGTGTCGTTGAAGAAAAAAGCTCTTGAGAGTCGTTAGGAGGAATGTTGAATGGTTTTTCCTCTTGAGAAAATTTTCCGACGCCGCATGTGAGAACTTTTCATCTTCTCCTTTGTTGAAAACACCAGAAACGCCGACGCTGGATGCACAGTATTCTTCTTCGGCTGCGAGGATGAAAAGCAGCCGATGAATGCAATTGAAGAAATTGCTTTAGTTGGCAGTTCCGTTCTGGACTGCTGATGTTGAGTTGCCGTTGACCACCGTGCCCGAGATCTTGCTGTCGCCATTGGTGTGGGCGGCACCGTTGGTCGTCGTGTGTCCGTTCGTCTCCGAGTCCGCCGCTACATGAGGTTCCTTGTCGAGATCCTTCACCTCGAGACCTTCAAAGAGAGCGAAAATGCCGTTGTCGATATGGAAGTCGTTGTGCACGATGTTGACAAGGTACCAGGTGTCCATGAGATCTTCAATCACGTAACGAGACGGGCTGACGGAGCTGTAGCACTTGGCCCAGTCTTCTCCAAGGCGGTAGAACTCATCCTTCCAGGCAAGGAAGGAGATCGTCTCAACGATGGTGGGCTGAACGATCTCTTTACCAGGGAAGACACCCCAGGTGACAGCATTGGGACCATCGCTTGGGGCATTGGTCTTGAGGTCCCCGGCCTTGTTGACGGCATAGTAGGTCATCTCCGGGTCGCGCTCAATCCGGGTGATCAGTTCCGCGATCAGTTCGGGAGAGACAAGAACCTCCAGGTAGGCCTTCTGGTACACGTATCCATTGCTGGGACCCCATCCATGCACAGGATGCGTGGATTTGGCGCTGTTGACAGCAGGCTGCGAGTTGATGGTAAGCAGCCCGCGCTTGTTCAGGTTGACGAGGTTGTCCCTGAGCACATCGGCTTCGGAGGTGATTGGCTGCTCACTCCACGGAAGACTGTCGAGCTTGCCTTCCATGTACCTGACAAAGAGGTTGGAAATGTCCCGTACGGTCTTGGGCATGCCCCAAAGCTTGATGTTCTGCTCGTTGGTGCCCTTCAGACCAATGCCGTAAGCATCCAGCTCGCCGAAGGCAGGCGACCTTGAATCACCCCAGCGTCCGTTGGGGAATTCGTCCCAATCCTGAGTACGAACAACGTAGGACCGGTTGCGGTTCCTCCAGAAGATGGGACGGACATTCTCCTCGCGACGGCCGGGAGTGAGCGACTGGCGCCAAGGCAGAGGCTTTTCGAGCGGGCTGTACATATCCGGAGTAAGGCCGAGCTCCTCCAGAACCATGCGCGTGGATTGGGCCAAGTTCATAGTGTAGCTGCAGAGCAACGTTAGACAAATCACAGCCAACGGAACAGGATCCACTCACAAGTGCAGGTGAATGATGCCAGCCTCCATCAGCCGGCGACACATGGTAGCGATCAGGTGCTTGCCGATCTCACGCACCTCGGCATCGTCATTCTTGACCGGCTCGAGGGCCTCCAGCCAATCCGGCGGAACGCGGCATTTTGTCCAAGTCGCACGCCTCATGAACGCGGCGTACGTGTTGATGGGCATGATCCCGGGGACGATGGGGACGCTGATGCCCTTGGCGCGCACTTTCTTGGCCCAGTCAAGGAAGATGTCGACGTCGTAGAACATCTGCGTCACGATGAACGTGCCACCAGCGTCGACCTTTTCCTTCAAGTGGTCCAGGAGAAGATCGGGGTCATCCTGATCCTCACAGCCCTCGGAATAACCAGCCACGCCGATGTCGAAGTGGTCGCCGTAGGTGTCCCTAATGTACTTGACCAAGTCCTTTGCGTAGCGGAAGCCGCCGGCGGTAGCCTCCCACTTCTCTTTCTCGCGCGGAGGGTCTCCCCTCAACGCCAGAATGTTCTTGCAGCCCGCGTTATATGCTTCGCGCAGCGCTTCGTCCAGCTTGGATTTTTCCATGTCGGTGCAGGTCAGGTGCATGCAGGTCTCCAGACCGTAGACAGACTGTGCGACCTTGACCATCTCGCAGGTCAAGGTGGAGTTGCGGCCGCCGGCGCCCCAGGTCACGTCGATGAAGGTCGGGCCCAGGCCGTGCATGCGGTCCATGCGGTCGTAGAGGTTCTGGACACCCTGCGCGGTCTTCGGCGGGAAGAACTCGAAGGAGAAGGAGGGCTTGCCATTCTTCTGGCCCTCATACAGCTTTTGGGAGATGTGCATGGTGGGCGAGGTCTACCGGAGGCAGAAGGGAGGGTCTGTCTTTGTCCGAGTGTCAGTCCACGCGACAATGCGGAAGCGCGCACAATGACTGTTATACGCGGGAGGCGACGCACGGAGAACGGGCACCTGTCGGACACAATTAATTCGCCGATTGCCGGAGTGATTTGGACCCTCCACCAGGCTAATTGCCTGCTAACCAATGTAGCGAACGCGAGCCCAACGATCTGCGAGCTCTCGCAGCATGTACCGCAAGATGGAAGAGGATGCAGTCGAGGAGATGGGGTGGACGGGCGGGATATCGAGGCGTGCAGCGGAGCAGCGGAGTGATTTGTGGAAGAGCAGGCGGCGGGGCTCGGCAAATTCACGATTCCCCGCGCTAGCGCCATGGTCATGAGCGACATCGGTAGCCTCCGGCGAGCCCCGAGTGCTATAAAGAACCGAACACTACGGACTACTCGCCGCAAACTTGTTCAGCGTGCCGTTGCGCCGTGACGTTCGGCGTCCGGGGGGCGCTTTTATCTTCATATGCTCCTGCCTACCGTACATGGGCATGCCATTTTTTTTCTTTGTCTACAGGCTTTTGATGGAGCGCTAGCAGGATCGGCGCATTTTGGGTAGGTATGTATGTACATCGAACACCACACGGCGGATGTGGAGTTTGTAGGGATTGTTGCAATAGACTATGACTCACGGTTTATTGAGCCACGCAGCCGTGTTTGAAGGCACCGGAATTTGTGCGGTTTTGGCTATAGCGGTCGTGGGAACGAACCTCTCAGGCAAGGTGTGACACGAACGATGAAAAAATCGGTGTCAGAGCAAGTCTGCGGTGGTTGACGGAGTGGTGCGGCAACGACTTTGGCGGGGCGAAGAGCGACTTCGGAGCGAATGAGCGGCTAAGGATCTGACGCCACGGCGGTTTGTGCTCCACCCCGGCTACGTACCTGCTGCTCACCCTACTACGGATCCGTACTCTACTAGCTACTCTACTAGGTATCTTGCTCTGCGACCGGCACCGCTGTTCTACGACGCTATCGTGCGACCGCGTCCGTCTTCCTGCTACCGTTCTGAGCTCTCAGACCATTCCTCTGGCGAGGATCCTGGGGGCATTGTGTCGTACGGGCAGCGTGCGGGCTCGGTTGTTGGTACTGCGCAGTGTGGGTACGCAGATCTGAATGACTGGGGGGTGAAGTGGCGGGGGCAGTCGCGGTGGCCGTTTTGGCCAGATGGCGCGGGACCCTCTTACCGGCAACCGTAGTGGCTCAGCCCCACCTGCTCTCATGACATCGGTGCTAACAAAAAAGTTGACTCAGATTCGCCAGTAGTACATCTACCACCGACACCCCCACCAAAGAAGGGCATCGCTCGCCTCCAGGACGTCGCGCCACCATGACGTTCCCCTTCCTGCCCTCAATTGACTTCCAGTCCTACGCCAGTCCCGCCCAGGGACTGGATGCCCAGGCTCTTTCGTATGTCGGCGCCGTCTTCACCACCGTGACGCCCGCCAACATCGACGATGCCTTTGTCTATCTGCGCGAGACCTTTGGCACCCTCGCCACCCACTTCGACGCCTCCGCCCTCGACGAGGTTTCCGACGTCGTCTCGCTGCTCGACGCCGGCGCTGCCAAGGTCTTCGTGAGCCTGCACCAGCTGCAGCAGCTTCGCGCCGTCCCCAACATCGACCTCGACCGCCTCGTCGTCATCGTGCTCGGCCAGTCCAAGCAGGAGCTCATCGACACGATTGGCGGCACCACCGTCGGCATATACGCGCAGAACGTGAAGGACGTCGAGCTGGAGCTGGCCTACCTGAAGGAGTACGGTACCGACAGGCCTGCCGTCTTCACCTCGTTCGCCCAGCCCAAGCTGGAGAATGCGCTCGAGGTTGCGAAGCTGTCCGGCACCCCCATCATCCCCGCTGCGCTTCTGACGGTCGATGTCAACGCTGAGGCCTCGCTGATCCCGGCCGGTAAGCTCCTGCTCGCCAATGCGACAAGTGACAGGGCCGACGGTCTCTTGACCACCCTCGTCACGGACGAGAGGGGTGTTGCGCTGGGTCTCGTATACAGCAGCGGGGAGAGCGTGCAGGAGAGTCTGCGCACCGGTCGCGGCGTCTATCAGAGCCGCAAGCGGGGTCTGTGGTACAAGGGTGAGACCAGCGGCGACATTCAGGAGCTTGTCAGAGTGTCGCTGGACTGCGACTCCGACTGCCTGAGCTACGTCGTCAGGCAGAAGGGAAGGGGTAAGCATCGCAGCCGCCACTGCCCCTCTTGCCGGCAATGCTAACCTTCACAACAGGCTTCTGCCACCTCGCGACTGCAACGTGCTTCGGTCACTACCACGGTCTTTCGAAGCTGCAGCAGACTCTTCAGGACCGCAAGGCCTCTGCTCCCGAGGGCTCGTACACTGCAAGGCTATTCAATGATCCCCAGATGTTGAAGGCGAAGATCATGGAAGAGGCGCAGGAGCTGGTCGAGGCCAAGACCAAGGAGGAGATCTCCTTTGAGGCGGCCGACCTGTTCTACTTTGCATTGACCAAGTGCGTTGCCGCTGGTGTCTCTTTGGAGGACGTTGAGAAGAACCTGGATGCAAAGAGTGTGAAGATCAAGAGGAGAACGGGTGACGCAAAGGGTCCGTTCGCCGAGAAGTTCGGTGTCACCAACGGCGCAGCCAAGGAGAACACCGAGGCGAAGGAGTCCGTCAAGGAAGCTGCGTCTGTGCCGAAGAGCGAGGACGATCCCGCCGGAACCAAGGATGGCAAGATTTTGATGCAGCGTATCATCACTGCGGACCACACCCCCGAGGAGGTTGAGAAGGTCCTGCAAAGGCCGTCGCAGCGCTCGGCAGAGAGGATTCTGGGTATCGTCAACCCCATCGTTCAGAATGTCCGCGAGCGAGGCGATGCCGCGGTTCTGGAGTACACTCACAAGTTTGAGAAGGCCACTTCTCTCACTACTCCCGTTCTCAAGGCACCCTTCCCCCGCAGCATGATGCAACTGCCCCCCGAGACCATTTCCGCCATTGACGTGTCATTCGAGAACATCCGCAAGTTCCACGCTGCCCAGGCCGAAGACAAGCCGCTTGAGGTTGAGACCATGCCCGGTGTCCAGTGCAGGCGTTTTGTCCGTCCCATCGAGCGTGTCGGCTTGTACGTCCCTGGCGGCACCGCCGTCTTGCCTTCCACCGCTCTGATGCTTGGTGTCCCCGCCATGGTCGCTGGCTGTAAGAAGATTGTCATCGCTTCCCCGCCGCGTGCAGACGGTTCCGTCACTCCTGAAATTGTCTACTGCGCTGCCAAGGTCGGTGCGGAGAGCATTGTCCTGGCTGGTGGTGCGCAGGCCGTCGCTGCCATGGCGTACGGCACCGAGAGCGTCACCAAGGTCGATAAGATCCTGGGTCCTGGCAACCAGTTCGTCACCGCCGCCAAGATGATCGTCTCGAACGACACCAGCGCCGGCGTCAGCATCGACATGCCGGCCGGTCCCAGCGAGGTCCTCGTGGTCGCCGACAAATCGGCCAACCCGGCCTTCGTCGCCTCGGACCTGCTTTCGCAGGCTGAGCACGGCGTCGACTCGCAAGTCATCCTCATCGCCGTTGACCTTGACGAGCAGGAGCTCCAGGCCATCGAGGACGAGCTTCACAAGCAGGCCATGGCTCTTCCTCGCGTCGACATCGTCAGGGGCGCCATCGAGCACTCGGTCACCCTAGTCGTCAAGGACATCGACGAGGCTATGGTTCTGAGCAATATGTACGCGCCTGAGCACTTGATCCTCCAGGTTGAGGATGTGGAAAAGGTCACGTCGATGGTTGAGAATGCCGGAAGTGTGTTTATGGGCCAGTGGACCCCGGAGAGTGTCGGTGATTACTCGGCTGGTGTCAACCACTCTCTGCGTAAGTCGTCCCTTCGTTGTTATGATTTTTCTTGTTTGCACAGTTCGACTAATCATGCCCCACAGCTACCTACGGCTACGCTAAGCAGTACTCTGGTGTCAACCTCGGCTCCTACGTCAAACACATCACGGCTTCCAACCTGACCGCCGAGGGTCTGAGGAACGTCGGCACTGCTGTCATGCAGCTGGCTAAGGTCGAGGAGCTCGAGGCTCACAGGAACGCTGTGGCCATAAGGCTGGCTCACATGAGTGGCGAGGCGACGGCTTAGAGGGGATGAGGGGTGGGATGAGAATAGATGTATATGTGTGTACGTGTGCATGTGTGATGCTTTCGCTTTTGAACGTTGAGCGTGTTGATGGATTGCGGCTGTCGATTAGAAACGTGCGGAAGGAAAAAAGAGAGAGAGGCGCTTGTATATAATGAGTTTCGTGTTTTCGGCGCGCGGACACGGTTTAGAATTGTTATGAAGCTGTTTGGGCTATGTAATCCGGTTTTCCGATACCCCAACGACCCGCGCAAGAATAACTTTCTCCCAGGGTCGATGAACTCCCTATCCCGAACAACCCCCCCATGCCCGTGATATTGGTCTATCCGCAATCAATCGCGTCTCCAAGTGTTTCGTAGGCGTCCGTAGAGGCTTTTGTGGAGGATAGATCGCGGCTGGGCGTGAAGAAGACAACGAAGACGACAACGGCAACGACGTGGCGCAAGAGACGTGCGGCTCGATCCCAGCTACAGTGACGGAAAAAAAAGAAGGAAAACAGGTCAGCAAGGGCTCGGTGAGGTCGAGGTCAAGAGTGGAATACACATAGCCTGTACTGGCCATACTCAAAGCTCGCAGGGAGGAGGGGGGCCGCTTATCTCCCGTTCGCGTCCCGTGGCCAGCCAACCAGCGTGTCATCCTTCGTGCCGGAGGAGCCTTGGCCGGTGCCTTGGCCGGTGGTGTTGGTGGTTTGAGGCATGGCTGGAGAATGGGTGTGTGTGTGTGAACAACTTCAGAGGAGGGGAGGAAGTATTCAAGAGCTGGCGATTATCACAAGACGTCTTCCTCGATACTGGCTGAACAAGGGGGGAGGCCGGGAGGGGTGATCTTTAATACCAAGACGACCGCGCAGTGGAGATCTACCAGGCTGTGGTGTGTCTCTCGACGATGAGACGGCGCATTCTGCTCGATTGTCGAAGTGTGAGCTTGTACGGTCTTGGGTTCTACGAGCTGCCGTGTCTTGGGTCTGATGGCGACGCCGATCCGAACACAGTCCGTCCAACCTCCCCCATCGCATGAAGTAAGCAGGGATGAAGGTGGGCAGTCAGTTGGTTTGTCTAGCGATGGTCCCCTTCGCAGAGCTAATTGGCGGGCTTGGAGATGAACGGTGATCAACGCGTCTGCAGCCTACTGCTGTATCTCAAGGGGAGCCAGATGTAGCCAAAGCTTGAAGGGACAGAATGGCCAGTTGATTGGGTGGCGGTGGTGAGTGGGTGCGTCCTCTGGAACGGTTCTGTCTATCTGGTCTTCCCCCTGCTTGCCGCTTGCCCCGGGAACCCGGTCGGCAAGGAGCCTGCTTGTCAGATTCCATCTCGGAGTGTGTTACCCTCATTTGTGCTACTTTTCTGGCCATGTCTGCAACTGGCTACGAGCGGAACAAGGCGTCGCCTCGATCCCTTTCCTATCCCCTGTGTCCTCCGGAGGTAGCGTTTGTTCTTCCAGTTGGATTGAACTCTAGGCTTTGTCGGCTAGGTCTAGCTTCGCTTGCTCATGTGATATCTTTCCATCCGAGAAAATGTACAGAAACGAGCGGGCTTCATGTAGGACTAGAAGCAGTCATTACAGTGAGCGAGACTGTACCTTTCAGGTACGGATCCCTGTTATCACGCTGGTACGGGCAACCTGGGTTAACCCATGTTGAACGCCACTGGATCACGCAGTTCTTTGGTGACGCCTCCAACCCAGGCCGGGTGTAATGGGCGGCGGTTGCCGTTTGAGCCCATCAGTCTGATGGTGGCGACGCAGAGTGCTGAAAACTCAGGAATACCACTCATCACCATGAGTGTAGCTGGAGACGGATCTCCGTGAAGTCTGCGCCACCGTTTCTCGCCCCGGGTACCACCAATTGCCGGGACCATGCAGCCGGATGCGCACGTTCTTATGCAGTGAACATGCCGTGGTCTTGTCGTTATAACCCGTCATAGCTTCGACGGATTTTGCCGCGAGCATCGATCTTCCCGGGATATAGAAACGTAAGAGGGAATCCAAGGAAGGGTAAGGATGCCGGTTGAGGTAGACAAGCCGCAACACCCAACCCCATTCGCGAATCCCCTACGATCAGTACAGTCAATGCAAGCAAGCCGTGTCACCTTCTCGGGCCGTGCCGTTGGATTTTCGGCCTCGGCGCGGCAAGCCGTCCGGATCTCCAAGTTTTCATTTGATATCCTCATTCAATTATTTTTTTTTCCAGCGCGCGCATCTATCCCGTTTCGGCTGAGACATTTGCCGCGCCTCACCCGCGCGCTTCCTCAGCCTCGGCGGCGCCGCCCGCTACATCGCCACCAAGCATCCCATGTACGAGATCGACCGATTACCCCTTTGAGCTTGGCCACACCAAACACAAATCATTATGCCAGCCGTAACGTCATAGCGACCATACAGCGAAACTCGCGAGCTGGTCGTGCCCGTATATGTAAGATGAGGGATTAGATGTTGAGCTCGCACCACATATGTTCCAAGGGTCAATGAGGATGGCCCAATAGTCAGTAAAGTCAGACGCGAAGGGTTGTTGATCCATCCAATCTAACCAGGATTGATCCAGACGTACGCAAAATACCTAAGACACCACCCAAACATCACCCCATGTGCCTTCACAAGCATCGTAGAACTTCAACAACAATAAGATCCAAGTTCGTTCATATCACTATATTGGCAGCCAAATATCTAGAGGTATCAGAAAATAGATACTGCAAGCACGAGATTCTCGACCTATATAGTTCAATGGCTGTATTTGAGCCAGACAAGTAGTGTTCAAGTACTTTATACTTGTTACGGGCTGCGCCGAGTATCTATCTACCTCGATATTATCTCAACGTTCTTTCGAGCCATCCATCGCATCGTAATCATCATCTTTTAAAAGTATATACAAGAAAACCCCCCAAACATCTCAACCCATCACCCAATTCCCCTTACTTCCTCACACCGCCCTCCCTATTTCCGCCCTTCTCTTCTTCCAATCTTCCAACACCTCCTCAGGACACTTCTCATGCATCCACACTTCACCCCACGCCCCCCTTTCCTCCTCACTCTCACCAACACCACCTCCCTCACCATCCTCCCTCATCCTTCCCCTCTGCCTTTTCACCTTCCTGACCAACTTCGGCAACAACCTACTCCTAAACTCATTCGGTACCCTTAGCCTACCCCCGATCCACTTCTCCTCCGGCCTCCTCACATCCGGCACCTCCTCCTGGACCGGCGCGTCCAGGACCATCACACCACCTTCCGCCGTCGTCCCCTTCGCGGCGCCAAGCACGCGCCGAATAAGGCCGTTCGTGTGCGCCGCCGGCAACACGCGCAGCAGGAACTCGAGACTGGTGTCGATGTTGAGGTCCATGGCGCGGCGGGGGTTGGCCGTTTGCTTGAGGAGCAGAGCGCACGTGCCCGGGTAGAGCAGCGAGAAGTCCGACTGCGAGACGTGCACCGTGCCGCGGAGGGTGAGGAGCCAGGCCGGACAAGGAAACGGGTCGGATAAGGCCGAAGTGGTGAGGGATGTCGCCGTGTCGAAGTTGCTGGGCCAATACATGAAGGCTTCCGAGTTGATGCCGAGGAGAGGGCAGGAGATGGCGTTGCCTTCGTTGGAGGGTGGGATGGTCAGCGCTGTGCTGCTGGTGTTTGAGCTGGACGATGTGGCGGTGCTCGAATCCGTGTGCTGCTGCTGCTGGTGCTCCCGCGGCCGGTCGTCTTTCTCTTCTTCCTCGACGTCTTCATCACTGCCGCTAGCACCGGCACCACACCGGCCCTTGCCATCATCACCGAGGGCAGGCAGCACCGCAGCGCCCCAGATGTCGTACATGATGCCTTGTCCAACCCAGTCGAACCTTTCCCTCTGCTGTTCCCTCAAAATCTCCACCATTGTCGCCGCACCGAACGAATGTCCCACCACCGTTGCGTCTTTCAAGTGGAACCTTCCCTTCCAGCTCGCCCAATCCACGCCCTCGAGACCACGGGAGCTGGCGCCGACATACCCCTTGGTGCGCAGGTTCGCCGCCGCGACACGGTCGCCGCCGCCACGGTGGATCTCGCGCAGCACGCCGTACGCCTCCTCTATCTCGGCGAGGCGGAGCGCGATCTGCGCCGCCCGCAATTCGCGGTCGACGCCCTTCTCCGCGTGCGGCGATGTGTCGATCGGGTTGCCCTTGGGGAAGATGTAGTCGATGCGGTCGTAGCCCTCGGCGCGTTCCTTGTGTGTGTGGTCGACAACGCACTTGCAGGCCTCCTGACGGAACGACATGACGCGGTCTATGGCGGGCCTGCCATCGTCCTCGTTGTCGTGCTTTCCCTGCTCCGCCCCCCCACACGAGCGTCTCCGCTGCTCTTCGAAGAGCGCGGTCGCCGTGGCGGGCGCCGTGGCCTTGATGCACGGTTCCTTGTGTGGGTGATTGACGTAGGTCCGCGGTCCGCTGCCGTCTCTATGCTCGAGGGCACACACGACGAAGCCGTAGCTGGCAAACTCGCCACACACGCTGGAGTAGGCGGTGCGGTTGCCACCCAGGCCGTGGCTGAAGACCAGCAGCGGGAACTTGGGCATTTTTCGCCGCTCCCACGCGTCCTCGTCCCATTCCTCATCCCAGCAACCCTCGTCGTCGTCATCTTCACCGGTTTCGTCGTTGTGGCCCAACATGGATACAGCTCGTGCATCCTCCACGACGAACGGCGGTGGCAGCGGGCCCTCCTCCTTCCCTTGCTGGCGCGAGCTTGTGTCGTTGGCGAATGGCGGCCAATGCGCGGCCAGAGGGGCGTTGCGCCAGGCGGGCAGCTTGGTGAACATGGTGGTGGCGCCAAACCAAGAGGTGGCAGTGCTCTCGCCCATGCCGGCGAAGCGGCCGTAGCCGCGGGCGACTTGGCGTCGAGGGCGCGGCAGCCACGTCGGTCGTGACCATTTCTTGCGGCCGTCCGGGGGGTTTCCCCGTGTGGAAGTCGGCGTGGTCGGGTAGTATAGGGTGAAGAGGACGGTCTCGAGGCGCAGGAGGTGCTGGCCTTTGCGCTTGATATGTGAGAAATTGGAGGGGCGCTTCGCCGGGATTTCCATGTCCATGGTGCCGACCTGGAAGTAAAGCTGGTCAGCGGTTGTTTGGAGAGCCGTGCCTGTTCTGATTTCCTTACGCTGTATGGTCCAGTGTACTTGGGCAGAGAGCTGTGCAGGAGGCCGAGCTTCTCGCGCAATGTGTTGGGTGGGCGGGCCTTGGGTTTCTTCGCATTGGGGACTTTGCCGCTGGAGGGGAGTGCAGCAGCGCCGGCGCCGCGGTGCTGGTGACGGTCGCCATGGTGTGGGCGGCCGGAGATGCGTCCGGGGATGGAAATTGTCGAACTTCTTCTTCTGGGTTTCATGTTCGCGCTTTCGTGGGGGATGTGGGCGGGCAGCGGGTGGACGAAGTGGTGCAGCAGAAGCAAGGAACTGCAGGCGGGCAGTTGCCCAATCGGGCTATGCGCGAAACAGCAAGAGTGGCAGGCAGGGGAGGATGCGCTGGCGGCGAAGAATAAAAAGCGTCGCACGGGAGCGGGAGGCGGCGGACATGGGCCATGACGGAAAAACGTGCGGGAGACTAGCGTGGGCTTGCTGGGTCGGGCGACGGGCGATGGGGGCGTCGAGGTTCAAGTGCGCTACTTACAGCAAGAGCGGGTTGTGTAGAGATCGCGTCACCTGCTACGGTTGACTGTAAGAGGGTCCGCGAATCGGCCACTGCCCTTGGCACGCGGCCGAATGGCGCAACCGCACCCTCCCCACATCTCCAATCTGCTGCATTCCCATTTTCTCCCACATCTTTTCCACTTCGCACCGCACACTTCTCCTCGCCACACCACCGCCCGACCAATTTCCATCAATTGAGGTCCCCCGCCGTCGGCCTCTTCCACCCTTCCCTCCGTCGGCGCCCGCCACCTTCGACTCGTCGCAAACCTTGTTCCCCAAGCATTCCCGCATTGCCGCACATCATGTCCGCCCCGAACGACGGCCCCAAGAAGACCGGCCCGCTGGGCAAGACCATGCAAACCGTCGACCTGGACGGCCACAATCTGCCACCTAGCCCGGCACCCAGCAGCCCGCACACTGGTCGGAAGTACGCTCTCGCGACCGAGTTGGTCTACACCGAGAGCAGCGACCAGTACAATGCTTCCAGCACCCCAATCTACCAGGTAAGACTGCCATCTTGCGTCGCCGTCCTTCTTTGGCGCTCCTCGTAGCTTCGGCTCGGTGCTTACCGACTTCCCGCAGACTGCGACGTTCAAGCAGGACTCCGGCAGCGGCGGCGGCGAGTATGACTACACGCGGTCCGGTAACCCCACGCGCACCCACCTCGAGCGACACCTCGCCAAGATCATGAACGCACGGCGGGCCCTTGTCGTGTCATCCGGCATGGGCGCCCTCGATGTCATCACGCGCCTCCTGCGACCCGGCGACGAGGTGGTGACCGGCGACGACTTGTACGGCGGCACCAACCGTCTCCTCAAGTACCTCTCGACGAACGGCGGCATCGTTGTGCACCACGTCGACACCACGGATCCGGCTGCCGTGCAAGCCGTCGTCAGCTCCAAGACGGCCATGGTTCTCCTCGAGACGCCGACGAACCCCCTCATCAAGATCGTCGACATCCCGACCATCGCGTCAGCAACGCACGCCGCCAACCCGGCCGCTGTCGTCGCCGTTGACAACACGATGCTGTCGCCAATGCTGCAGAACCCGCTCGAACTGGGCGCTGATATCGTCTACGAGTCAGGCACCAAGTATCTGTCGGGCCACCATGACCTCATGGCGGGCGTGCTGGCAATCAACGACGCCGCCCTGGGCGATAAGCTATTCTTCACCATCAACGCTTCGGGCTGCGGTCTGAGCCCCTTCGACTCATGGTTGCTGATGCGCGGCATCAAGACTCTGGGCGTGCGCATGGAGAAGCAGCAGGGCAACGCTCAGCGCATCGCCGAGTTCCTGCAGAACGAGGCCGGCTTCCGCGTGCGCTATCCCGGCCTGAAGAGCCACCCGCAATACGACCTGCACTGGAGCATGGCGCGCGGCGCCGGCGCCGTGCTCAGCTTCGAGACCGGCAACGTTGAGCTGAGCGAACGCATCGTCGAAAGCGCTCGCCTCTGGGCTATTTCCGTGTCGTTTGGCTGCGTCAACTCGCTCATTTCCATGCCTTGCCGCATGAGTCACGCCAGCATCGACGCCAAGACGCGCGCGGAGCGCAACATGCCTGAGGATATCATCAGATTGTGCGTAGGCATTGAGGACGCCGACGACCTTATTGATGACTTGAGGAGAGCCGTAAGTCATGACTTGGGACGATTTGTATGAAAGCTGCGGGAATACTGACAAGATATACAGCTCGTCCAAGCCGGCGCCGTCAAGGTTACCATGAACGGCATCTCCTCCCTTGCGTCGACCGACCCTGCCGTTTCGGGTACCGCTGAAGGTCAGCAGATCGCCGCTGATGGCTTCAAGGAGCCTGAGGCTGCGGGTACGGCCGCCACCGAAGAGCAGTAGATTTTTGGGCTTGTTACCGTGGAATGATGAATATGGTCTTATATGTGGCAGTCACCTTGTTGGTTCTTCGATGGCAATGTGAAGCCACAACGGTGTTTGGAGTTTGTCTTTCTTAATGAATACTGGACTGTATGGAGGCTGGCTGAAAATAAGCGAAACAAGTGGGAAGGGTAGAGGTGAGAATATATGGTGGCGGCTTACAAGGTGATACCAAAACACTAGATGTGAAGGCGACTTAGCCAAGTTTTCTCAGGGTAGCGAAAAACAAGCATTTCTCTTTAGCAGTAGCCCTCGTGACTGATATGTCTACGATGTTCCCTTATTCAGCCGGGGAACCGCCCGATCCACTATTCTATTTACTCCACGTCCTCGAACCTTTTCCGCCACTCCGCCAGCATTTCCACCGTAACATAACTTCCTCTATAATCGGTCTAAGGGTGCTACGATATCCCATCATCGCTAACAAAGGCGACGCGCAATACATATAGCATGGCGACGCGATAGACCTATACCTTGTCTTAGTCGCTCCCTAGTAAACTCTTCGGCACGAAGGTTCATTCTTCTCTTACCGGTTGTCGCGGGATTCGTGCAGTCACTATAAGTTTGCATTACCTTCATTCCCCACTGCCAAGTCACCGTTCGGGCCAATCATCGCCTTATGTAAATGACCATCACTTTTTATATCCGCGCCATAAAATTGGCTCTTTATCGTAGAAAGCTCAACCGGTGATGCCGCAAGGTCAGAGCACATTTAGGCCTAACTTCGCGTGTCCGTTACACCCTTACACTAAAACGAGTCTTCTTACTTTAGAGGTGTACTTCGTATCTTTCTACTAACATAAAGAAGTGCACACGGAAGGAAAACTCTATCTGGTCTAGACGACAGCCACCCGTCCCAAGCTTGCATAACCACCCACCTACCCACCCACCCATCCATCTCCGATCCCCTTCTGAACCTGCTGCTGACTCACAACCTACTCCTTATACTGGAAACGTGGGTACCATCACCATCACCGTGCCTTTTCCGCCCCAAGATGTAAGATTCCGTCAACACAAAACAGGCTCGAAAGGACAGAGGATCCGAACGGATCGGATATAAGAAGTCATTTCTGCTCACCAGGCCGTGATGTCGTCCACCTCCGCCTCCCCGAAGGTGCTGCTCTTAGTAACGCCGAGGCCGTCGCCGTTCTGGGAGGCGATGGCGTCCTTGGAGGGGCTGCGCTGCATGATGTCGCGTAGGTGCTCGTTCATGAAAGCCAGCAGGTGGCCGTTGACCTGCTCGAACTCGAGCAAGAAGGCATCGTGGCCCTCGGGCGAGTCGATCGTCTTGAGCAGGGCGTTCGGGATGGCGGCTGCGAGCTCCTCCTGCTCAGCAAAGGTGAAGAGACCGTCGGACTGGATGCCGAGGATGAGCGTGGGCTGGGCGATCTGCGAGAGCGCGGTGCGGACCGAGTCAGCCGAGAGGGAACCGGTGCTGGACTCGAGGTTGTCGGTGATGTTGTCCTCGACGCGGTTACGGGAGACGTCGTGCGTGTCAAGCTTGCGCGTGATGGCGATGTAGCAATTGGCGTCGAAGCGCTTGATGAACTTGTCGCCTTGGTAGCGCAGGTAGGATTGCGCGCTGAAGTAGGTAGGCGTGCGGTTTGCCTTGTTACGGATCGGGCCCGTGAGTTTGGTCGGAGCCGCGGGCGAGGCGGTGCGGCTGATTTCGACGTCGGTCGTGGCGGCGGCGGGGAGGGTGGCATTGGCGGCGGCGGCAGTCAGATCGACGGCGCTACTTGGGCGCGAACCGCGGGGGGAACGGGCGTTCTTGTGTCCTTCGTTGTGGATGGCCCAGTGCTCGTTTATCAGGGGGGACGGGTGTGGCTTGCGGTTGATATTCTGTGGGCGCGAGGGATCCGGCGTGTTGCGGCCGAAGCGGGATTCGAACGAGTCGCGGCTACGGTAGGTGAGCAGGGCGGACATGCGCGCTGCAGCCAGGCCGGTCGTCGGCGGGTCCTCAAATGCGTAGTAGCCGTCGTCGTACTTGGGGTCACTGTAGATGCTCTGCCGCTGCGCCTCGCCCCAGCTGATGCCCCACGCGCTGTAGCGCGCAGACGTCGCAATGGGAATTATGCAGCGCACGTAGTCCTTGCCGAAGTAGGCAAATTCCAGCACCAGCATGCCGCCCATGGAGCCACCAATGACGGCCGCGATCTGGCGCACTCCGAGGTCGTCCAGTATGAGCTTGAAGAGGTTGACATCGTCGCGGACCGTGGTGAGCGGGAACTCGGGGCCATACAGGCCCTGCTCCGAATCGCCGTCTTTGTTTGTGACCGGGCTAGCACTGCCGTAGGGGCTGCCCAGGCTGTTCAGGCACACGACGAAGAAGCGCGATATGTCGAAGGCCTTGCCCGGACCACCTAGCAGTGGGCCCCACCAATCGCCGACATCGGCACTGCCTGTCAGGGCATGGCAGATGACCATGGCATTGTCGGCGGCGGGGGAGAGGCTGCCGTAGGTTTTGTATGCGACGGGCACATTGCGGAGCTCGACGCCGGACTCGAGCGTGTACGACGGGACGATGGCGAAGTGCTGATCGGGAATGAGCTTGGAGAAGGGGTTCTCGGGCTGCTCAGTCACTCGTTCTGCGGAGCCAATGAGTCAGCAATGGCACCTGAGGTGAAGAGACGGGGCAGTCGGCGGAGTCATAGCGATGGGAGGCGCAATCGGGCGCTCGTTGCGCAGAACCCGGGCGCCTTCTGGGCGCAACCACGCGCCGGAGACGGTGCTCCGGACATGCAGAAGGCGCCTCGAAGCTGCGAGCACTCGTCTTGGCCCTCTGTCGCCATTGGTCCCCAACCGACGTGGTGCGACTGTTCCGGGGGAGCGTACGGTATTTGTGGGATCCATTGGAGGGTTGGGTAGTCATGGCGACTGGTAGCAGAGGATGGGAGTCTCGGAGGAGTACGGCGAGTAAGTCTGTGTGCGAACAAGTTCCATGCCGCGGATGAGTGGGAGAGAAGTGTGGAGCGTGGGGATGCGAAGGTTTTGGTGGATTTTGCGCGCGCGACCCGCCGAAAGTTCGGTGCGGGCGCTTTCCGCTGCCGCCGTCGGCTGCACCGCCACACCTTCCTAGAGCAGGACACGCTTCGCTTTCCAAACGACGCGCCTCTTCAAACACACTGCGTCATTCACCACAATCGAAACCATGGTGACCTCCAGCTGATTCACCACCATCCGCGACCGTAAAGCCCATCTGGCTTTTTCTTCCGCTCTGGCCACACACCAGCCATTCACTTTGCGCCGCAATCACCGACGCACCCACAACGACCGTCGCCATGGCCGACCCCGGCCCCATCTACGAGCTCTTGGGCAAGCTCGCCTACGCCTTCACTGAGGTGCAACCGCTGCTCCCGACGTATTCGCACCTCCTCGTCTCCGCCCTGTTCCCGATATATGCCGGTGCGCACTCGTCGCTCACCCGTCCCGGTTCCGCCGCCAAGCCGAAGAAAGCGCCAAAGAACGAGACAAAGGACGAGGGATACGAGTCTGAAGAGGATGAGGAGGATGACGTTCAGCAGATGGAGGGGCTGTCGACCCGCGATGCCATAATCTTCCCGATCATGGCCGGAGTGACGCTCACTGGCCTGTACTTCCTCATCAAGTGGATGCAGGACCCGCAGCTCTTGAACAAGATACTCAACGCCTATTTCTCGCTCTTTGGCGTGTTGAGCGTGAGCCGCTTCATCACCGACGGCATGGACCTGGTGCACAGCCTTGTCTTTCCACGTCGGTACGTGAATGGCGGGGTCCTGTACGACGTGCATTCGCGCGCACGCATCGCGAAGCCAGCGGGCTCTCCAGGGCTGGCTGAAAACCCCTTGAACACCTCTCCACTTCCTGGCCGCTTCTCTCAAATCCCCCTCCCGGCGGTTGTCAAGGCCTTCCTGTGGAACCTTCGCAATATACCCAGGCAGAAGTGGACGGCCAAATTCTTCCTGCGCAATGTCGCGTCGGTGCGCGGCCACCTAGGCCTCCACGGGGTGGTTGGCTTTATTTTTGCACTCACGGCTGTTGGCTACTTCAACTTTGTGGAAAAGCCGTGGTTTTTGACCAATCTCATGGGCTTCGCTTTCTCGTATGGGGCTCTGCAATTGATGAGCCCCACGACCTTCGCTACCGGGACCCTCCTGCTTTCCGCCCTGTTTTTCTACGACATCTACATGGTTTTCTTCACGTAAGTACCACAATCTCCCGGTCGATCAGGGTTGGTGCCATGCATGCTGACGCGATTAGGCCGATGATGGTAACGGTGGCAAAATCTCTGGATATCCCCATCAAGCTCGTTTTTCCCCGCCCCGACATCCCCTCGGCGGATCCAGCTAAGCCACCGACCAAGCAGCTTGCAATGCTGGGCCTCGGCGATGTAGTCCTCCCGGGGATCATGATCGGTCTCGCTCTCCGCTTTGACTTGTACCTGTACTATCTCCGCAAACAAACGAGGCGTGCAGACGAACAGGCGTCCAACCAGGCCACTGAAGCCAAGGGAACTGGAAAAAAGTCGGACGCGAGCTCTGCCGACCAACCCGTACAGATTGTGAAAGCGCCGTACGTTTCGGTCTCCAACAAATGGGGCGAATGGTTTTGGGCGCGTTCGGCGGCACATTCGTTCCCGAAGCCGTATTTCACAGCGACCATGATCGGCTACGTGGTGGGTATGCTGGCCACGCTAGTCGTGATGCAGGTTGCCAAACATGCCCAGCCTGCGCTCCTCTATCTAGTTCCAGGCGTGCTCATCGCGTGCTGGGGCACTGCTCTGGTGAGGGGTGAAGTCAAAGAAATGCAGGAGTTCAGCGAGGCGTTCGAGGAAGAGGAGGAGCAGCTCCGCAGCCAAAGCATCTTGTCCAAGGAACGCACCAAGCGCGCAGAGAAAAAGCTAGAGAGGGCTACCAAGAAGTATGTGGAGCTGGCTACGGACGAGAGTGGCGACGAGAAGCGACGCGTTAAAGTGGCCAAGAAGGGAAAGGGAGCAAGCTCGTCGCACGATCACGAGCACGATCACGATATCTTCTACTTTGCCATTAGTGCACCCTTCTCGTTTTCCCCGAAAAAGGCGGGTCCCGAGTCGGAGCGGGATGAGTGGTCGGAGACGGACTCGGCGAATAGCACGGTGAATTGGCGCTCAACAAGTGGGACGCAGCCATTCGACGGCGAGCCAGCGGAGAAGAGGAGGCGCACAAGCTAGACTGAAAGTCTATAGCGTCCTTGTCAGACTGGGGGGATTAATTGACCAGGCGAGGCGTTGAGCTGTGTACGGGTAGAGCATCCAGCTAATAAAAGGCGCAAAATTAGCAGCGATCGAGCGAGACTGGCAAGTGAGGAGCGTACAGCCTTGGCGACCACGCTAAAAGCCTTGGCGACCACCGGCGAGACGACCCGACCAGTTAGAATCATATGACATCCCTTACTCGCTTACTAGTGCGTGGTTTTCTAATGCATTATAAATATATTACGAATATATTACTTAGATTTAGTTAGAATTAACGTCTTTCTATCTATAATATATTAGAAATACGTTAGGAATGCATTAAGAATACGTTAAGAATATATTAGAAGTATACTATATTCTTAACGTATTCTTAATATATTCTTAACGTATTACGGGGGAGACTTTCGTAGACCCTTCTTTTCGAAAAGATCTTATAGTATTCTTAATATATTCCTAATATATTCTTAAGTAATTACCGTGGAAAGTTTAGTTTTAAAGAGCCTTAGCGATTTTACGTAATTAAATTTTTTAACGGTAAGACGGGCTATACGCTCGAGCCCGTATACGTAAGTTACGAGTAATCGCTAAGACTTTTAGTCTAGTTAATATAGCTATTATCTTTAAGTAAGCGTATATAGTAAAGCCGAGTAGTAATAATACGTAGCGAAGAAATATAGACTACTATAAGACGATTACGCCGGCCGAAATACGTATAAACTAGCTATAGAGCCGCTAAAGCTAGCGATTCGCTATTCTCTAGTTATAATATCTCGATACTCGTTTACCGCGCGATTTCCGACTACGGACGGCGGTTATAAGCTAGCGTACTACTAGCCTATACGCTACTATAAGTAATAGTATATAATCTAGTATAGACGGCCGTTAATAGATATAGCTTCTATAGCCCTAATATTCGTAGCGAAGCTAGAAAAATAACTAAAGTATATATAATATATATTCTATTAATACTACTAAATAATATACGAGGAATTAAACTAAATAATTATTTTATTATATTTTTTATTATATCCTTTACTACGTTTCGTTATTTATATATAGATTTTTAGCTTAAAATCTCTTTTAACGACTTTAAATCTCTATTATAAATTAAATAAACTATAAAATTTATTTTAAAAAAAATATAGTCGTAAATAAAAAATATATTAAATAAAAATTATATCTAGTAAAAAAATATTAGCTAATTTTTTTCTATTTAGTAAGCCTAGTATACGCGTAGTTCTCCCCTTCTCTCCCCCCTCTCCCCCCCT